ATGTTCAAATTAAACTCGTGATTATTTTTGGGGATCTCAATTACGTTATTGTATGAATGTCTCAATTACATTGTTATTAAAATTGAACTATTATGACTTGCGATCATCTATTTATTTGTTTAAGTACATTTATGGTTTATGCATTGTTATGTTTTAACAATTTAGTTATTTAAATTTCACGTTTATATATATATATATATATTATTTATTTATTTAAATACGAATATGTGTTTGAATATCTAGAAGTTACAAAAATTTATAATACAGGTAGGTATGGATCGAAGTTGGATGAGTGCATGTCATATTTAGGGATTAATGATAATTTAAAGGAGATACATAATATTGGTGAAAAAAAATTTAAACATATTTATATGATTATTTGAAATCTGATTTTGACCAATAATTATACCCAAGATGTAATTTTACAAGATTATCAACAACTTTAAGATTGTTCAGTTCAAAAGCAAGAAATTGATGAACTGATAAAAGTTTCACCGAATTATTGGAGTTGTTGAAGGAGATACTTCCCGAAGATAACACATTATCTAATCGTAACTATGAGGCAAAAAAAATATTATGTCCAATGTGTTTAAAGTATAAGAAGATACATGTATGCTTTAATGATTGCATATTGAACAAAAATGATTTTGCATGTCTAACATGTGGTTTATCGCGGTTTAAAAACAAAGTTGATGGAAGTAGTGGTGAAGTAGAAATAGATGTCTCATGTTAAGGTGCTATGATATTTGTCATTAATACCTAGGTTTAAAAGAGTTTTTGTCCTAAAGTGTGACAATCTTCTTTGATATCCAATTGATTATCCATAATAGAAGATGATTGATGAAATAAAACATTTTCGGAATTTGGTGCAGAGTAAAAAAACTTTAGAATTAGATTAACTACAATGATATGCATCCTTATGGATATTTAAGTAGTAAACTTAGTTCATGACCAATTTTGGTTGATAATTTATAATTTTTCTCCTTAGTTATGCATGAAGAGAAAATATATTATGTTGTTTATGATGATTTCAGGACTTTAACAACGAGAAAATGACATAAATGTATATCTTAGTCTTTTTATTGTTGATTTGAAGATGTTGTGGGAAATAAGAGTGGAGGTATTTAAAATTTTTTGTTGTTTATATTTAAATCATAGTCCTCGACAACCTTAATTATTATTTTTATTTAAATTTTGACAATAATATTATGTTTTGTTTCTCATTTCAATATAATAAGCAAACAAACTTCTTTGAATATGGTTATTACATCATGTATTAGATGAAAGTTACAGTTTTATGCTGACACAATTGATTATTGAACATAGGTAATTCCTTTTTAACATTTATTAAATTGATTTACCTTTATTCATATTGTATGTTAACGGGAGTCAAATTAATGTTTGAGGTATTTCAAAATTAAAAAATAAACAAGATTTTTCGTTCAAAATTTCTAGTACTTAATTTATTTGTTATTGTTTGCATTATATTGTATTATATTATGTAATTTAGTATTTAAGTAGTTTATTTTTTGTACTAGTTTAACTTTGGAGTAGTTTAGTTTTTATATTAGTTTAACTTTGTGCTATTTAACTTTTATAATTTGTATTATATTGTACTATAATATTTTGTATTGTATTATTGTATTTTGGATTTTTGTTGAAAATCTGAAATTTGGACTGTTTGTGATTAAAACATGTGTTGCACATTTTGGTTGTAAGTAGTGGCGTATCTTCATGGGAGTTAAGAGGGTTTAGTAACTCCCATGTAATTTATGATTTTGGCTCCCTAAACTTAATAAACATTTAATATATTTACTTGTATATTTACAATTTTATCCTCTCAGTCCCTCCAACTCTCATATAATTTATGATTTTGTCCCTTTCGAACTTAATGATCATTTAATATATTTAAGTATATATCTACAATTTTATCATTTCACCCTTTCATTTTATTTCTTTCTTTTATATTTATTTATTAATAATATATTATTTGACCATTCAAAGATCAATTGTCAAGATCTGTCAAAACTAACTAAATATTAAAAAAAATGATAAAATTTACATCATATGTGCTAATACTTAACGTAAATTTATACCGAATTCTATTATAACTAACATAAATTTTATCATTTTTTTAATATTTGAAATTTATTTACATATGATTCTTACTTTTTTTAATGTAAATTGACGTCAGATGATTACCTAACTAACGTAAATTAATGTCAGTTTTAGTATTCAAGTTGAATTTACGTTTCGTACATTAATTAATGTTGAACTTATATCTAACTCACAACACAATAACATTCCTAAAAATATTTATATACACTAGTGTTGTGAGAATATGAAACTCCTATTTCATAAATATATGTATATAATTACTAAATGCTTATGAAATAATTTTTTTTTCTTTCAAACCCTATAATTTTTTTTAAAGTTGTTAAATGAAATGTAATAAAAAAATTATAAAAATACAAGTATTCATAAAAATTATTCATTGGAACAAAACTTGTAAGAATTTAATATTAGTGGTTTAAATGTTATAACATAACACATTCTATTTAAGGTGAAATAAATACTCTAGCGTATTATTTATAAGAATAAACCCAATATGCTCTACAGATTATGTGAGTGTATATAAAATTTTATAATTTTTTAGGAATAAATGATCATGATTATAATTTATCTCTTAATTGAGTAAATATTAATAAAATAGTTTATAATTTCTTGTATACATTTTTTTCGTTATTTTTATGTGATGTGGAATATTAAAAATTAGCGTGATGCTATTGTTTGTTTTCTATTTATTTATTTTTTACTATTTCTTGAATTAGTGGGAGCATTTGAACTAGTCATAACTCTATCCCTCCTTACTAACATGCATTTTTTCTCAAGACTCGTTCTTTCATGCCAAAATTTTGGCATCTTTAGTCCCATTGGATGTGCTCATTAAATAAAACATAATATTTAAGGAAAAATGAATATACAAGTAAAGTAAAAAAGATAATAGTTTTGAGGAAGAAAATGTTTGGCTAAGATTGAAATATATAGTATAAGTTTCAAGGAAATAATAAGATTAATATGAAATAGTGCAATAATTTAGATAAGAAATGGATGTTATAGATAAAGTAGCAAGTGTTTATGTAAGAAATGGAGATTGAGATAGAGTAGTATTAGAAAAAAAATTGATTAATGAAATGAAAAAGCATATAAATACATATATTCTTTGTATATTATAGTAGATGATTCATAATATATTGTATAGGGTTAAAACCAGACTATATAGCACAAGTAAAATTAAGTGTTTTTATAATTATAATATTATTTAATATATTCTTTCAATGCCTTCTATATTTTGTTTTAAGTATTTATGAAGAAAGATTATGTTCTACAAAAGAAGACACCATGTTAGATTAAAAACAATAAAAAATATGTTAAAAAAAATCATAAAACATGTATTGATATAAAAACTACACAAATAAGCATGTTATGTTATTTTATCAATAACATAAATTGTTGGAATATATTAAATTTCATTTAATAAACAATGATAATATTTTAATTTTTTAGTAAGAAAATTAGACAATATTATTATATGACATCTATCTTAGTGACTGTTTGTTTAAGACTTATAAGAAACCAACCTAACTATTTATTCATCTATTAATCTCTTTAAATTATTAATAATCTCTTTTTTAGTGTTTTTAACTAAAAATTTGTATCATATCTATTTAAGACATTGTGGTTTGTAATAATTTTTTATTATTAAATACAAAATATTAAGGAAAAATAATTAAAAAGAATAGTTGAATTGTTTTGAAGTGACTTTGACGTTAATTTTAAAGTGGTGATATTTTGACACCATTATTCATTTCATATATCCAATCTACAATTTATTATAATATTAATAAAAATAATAATATAATAATAAAAAATATATAAATTTAAATTTTTGTATCAATATTATATAAATAAAATTGGATTGTTTAATAAATATTTATTAGATTAGAGTTTCAACTTATCATTTTCGTTAATTTTAGTCAAATTTAGAAGTTTTAAAAATAGGATGTGATCTCAATAATTAAAACGAGTAAATATAAACGTTTAGTTTCTTTGTTTTTTTTTTCTTTCAATAAAAAAATATTTTGAAATGTCTTTTAAAGAAAAGAAATTAAAATATAGAAAGGTTTTGAAAAATATAATTCAATCTCCTTGTTATTTTTAAAGTATGATAAAAGTTTTATGAAGAAACGGTGATCACATAAATGTATTTCTAAAATAATAAATTATTTCAATTTACAGTCAATTTTAATTAAAGTTAATTTTACAGAATAAAAGCCACTTAAAAAAAAAAAGAAGATTTGCAGACAAATAGAGAAAGCTCATTGGAAGAGCTAATAGTGTATGGGAAAATGGTGTACACGTCACTTCAAGAACTACCACTATTTTGGAACCTCATCCAGTACCAAAAGGAAAAACCCATTTAAAATCCAACGTTTTTAACTAACACTAACGGATTAACTTCTGTTATTTCCAATGCTTTTAAAATCAAACATGTCATTCAACCTGTCATATGTTATTTTAAGAAGCTACTTGTTGAAGTTAAATTGAATACATATTATCATGATTTGATAAATTAAAAACTAAAGCAATAGTTTTTTTTTATATTTTAAAATTATATAAAAAATAAAAACAAAATACGTAATCTTATTTAAATAAAAAATATTAAAACTTATAAATATTTATTAATAATAATAAGTTTTTTTTTAACTAATGAAATAAAAAAAACACTGACACAAAGATGAGAGTAGGTGAGTGTGGTGGTTATATATACAACCATGAGGCACCATTTAGATTCCCCCCACCACCACTCCTTCTTGGTTCTTTCATACAATACTTCACCATTTACACATTCTTCTTCACTTTTCATTTCAAGCATTCGCAATCAACTCATTGTGTTCCTCAAAAGGAAGATTGCAGTGAACCAAAGAAACCTTCCAACCATGTCTCCCTTCTCACATTCATCTCATCAATTCATCATTTTCCTACTTATCCTGGCTTTCATAGGTACACTTACAAAATTACCAACCCAAATACCATTTATTGCCATTTCAAATTAACATGATGGTTGCTTTAGTTTTCATCTCGTGAATTGTCTGAATTTTTAATATCAAGTGCAAAAATGTGTTTTGTTTTATTAAAGTAGTTCCCTGAAAAACATTCTTTGACAAAACCAACGAAACCCTCTAACAAAAGGTTGCTCTGTTTCGCAACGTTTGCGGCATGCAGGGGTGCGAGTTTCAGCGACAACATTCACATTCGTGAACAAGTGCGACCACACGGTGTGGCCAGGGATTCTAGGAAAACCGGACCTCGGAACAACCGGTTTCGAGCTCAAAAGAGGAAGCACGCGCACCTTCGACGCGCCACCGGGTTGGTCGGGGCGTTTCTGGGGCAGAACCGGTTGCCAGTTCGACGACTCCGGTCATGGAACCTGTGCCACCGGCGACTGCGGCTCCGGGGAGGTACTATGCAACGGCAACGGCGCCACGCCGCCGGCCACGCTCGCCGAGTTCACGCTCGGGTCCGGGTCGCCGGACTACTACGACGTGAGCCTCGTCGATGGTTACAACCTCCCCATGATGGTGGAGACCAGCGGCGGCTCCGGCTCGTGTGCCACCACCGGGTGCGGCGCGGACCTGAACCGGCGATGCCCGTCTGAGTTGAGGGTGGATGGCGGCGACGCGTGCCAGAGCGCGTGTCGCGCGTTCGGGAAACCTGAGTTTTGCTGCAGCGGCGCGTTCAATTCACCGTCGGCTTGCGCGCCTTCGATGTACTCGGAGATTTTTAAGAACGCGTGCCCAAAATCTTATAGCTACGCGTTTGATGATGCTACGAGCACTTTTACGTGCAGCGGTGCAGATTACACTGTCACATTTTGTCCCTCTTCTTCTCCAAGGTACAATTCAAGCACAAAACTTTTCACACTTGTTCACTCTCTAATTCTCAATGTGTAGTTTCTTTGGCCTATTTGATGAATGAATTTGTGGGGTTTGCAGTTTGAAGTCTTTAATGGAATCAGGACCAGGATCATCAGTAGAACAGGCTGCAGTAGCCACTACTTCATGGATAGCCAATTTGGCCACAGGAGCCTCCACCACAACCCAACCATTTTCACCTTTCACCTCTGCATTCTTTGTTTCTGTCACTTTCATTCTTTCCTATTTTCTCTCATGGACTCTCTCTGTCCCTTTCAGAACCCCTTCTTCCTTCTTTTAAGGGACACACATAAGTAGGATCAACACCATCATCAATTCATTGGTGTAAAAATACATCATGAAATCAATGTAAATTACATGCATTTTAATCCTTCTCCTTCACTCTTCTCTCAGCCTACTAGTCAGAGTAGTGTTTGCTGACTCACTCTTCGTAACGAATTACCAGAAAAAACAACCCCATAATGTAAACACATAAACAACAATAAAATAAAGGAAGAGGTTGGCAAAGAAAGAAAAGAATGAAAAGGGAAATGTCACACATGCATGACTCATGACCGATGCAAAACCCTGTTTTCATCTTTAGTTTCCATTTCCTATCACTTTCAAAATAATACACCGTTCGAAAGTAAAATCTATTTTTAGAATTTATTTTATAACAAAATAGTAATTAAATAGTTTTTTAATTTTTAAAAATTAGAAGATAATAATAGTTTAAAAAAATGTAAAGTTTCGATTGCTTGAATTGTGAAAATGAATTCCTAAACTGAGCGTATTTGGTTGCTACATTTCTGATTAAGTCATACCACATGTATTCCTTTAAAGCTTTGAAATTGAATTAGGGTTAATAATTAAGTGATTAATAAATTGATTTCATAAAAAGAAAACCTTGACCACTTTATTGTATTGAGATGTAGGGATTAAAAAAAAGAAGAGAATTTTTCAATGTTTATTTATTAATAGATCGTGGTAACAAAATATTTTTATAATATATATATATATATATATATATATATATATTTAAAAATGAAAATTACTCTTTAAATGAATCTTTCATTTTCTTAATGAATGAACTATTATTTAAAATTAGTATATTAAAAATATCAATATAAAAAATAAATATTAATTCTTATTCTTTAATTTATATATATATATATATATATATAATATTATATTTTCTTAAGATACTCAAGTAAAATAGTAGTTGTTTAAAGAAAATTTTTTATGGTTCTTATATGACAAGTTTCTTATTTTTTTTTATAATTATTTCATTAAAAAATAAATAAATCAAAGTATATATAAACAATATAATAAAAATGAGTTTTTTAAAATTCAATAAAAAACATAAAATAAAGTAAAATAAATAATAAATTATTTAAAAAAATTTAATAGTTTTTTCACACAAGTTACAGTAATTATAAAAATAATTGTTTTATTATATTTTCATGTTACTGTAAGATAACGACTTTGAAACTTTCATTCTCCGTCACATTTTATTAAAAATATATAAATAATTAATTTTATTAAATTTGATTGAATATTTGGACTCTAACCAAACAGCAGTTCATATCTCTGGTAGGGAGATAAAAAAATGTAAACGTCCCATTTTTTCTTATTTTAGAAAAGAAAATAAAAGTGTCAATAAAAAGAAAGATAAAAGAGTAGATGATAAAAAGAAGAAGAGAAAACTTATGTCTCTCCTTGTTCAATAAAAAAGGGTCAAGAACATGAAAAAATAAAATAAAATTGTATAATTGAATGAGGCCAAATTTTGATGTCATGAAGTTTGGTGTAGCAACTAGAATTGACAAACTGGTGACAAAGAAAACTCTTGTTCCTTTCCTTCTTCTTCAGTCGTAAGCTACTTTCATATTCCGATAACGTCAATTATTTTCCCTTGCAGGGTCTGCAAAAGTTTCTAATAGTTTAATTACTCTTCTTTTTTTTGCATGTGAAAGCAAGATAAAGCATATTTTGCACATTTGTGATAAAGTCAATTATACGTCAGATTAATTTAACATTTATTGATCCCACATATATTGGGATTGGATCATCGTCATCATCACCATCGTGAATTTTATTTGCATGTAAATATTCTTCTTTTCTTGGTACAGTGCATGTGTTACTTTAAGAAATGGACATGATCAACACATCCCAAAACTTTTCATTCTTTCACATTCTATAGGTGAAATGTGCGTGAGATGAAAGTGATAGAGAAATGCTTTAGTTTCGTGGGCTTTCTATGTTCTATGTGGGAACATTTCAGACACGAATCTTTATATCTGAAAGAAAATAAATATGCAATTTCAGACATGAATGTAATTAATTTCTTACTTTGAAAACATTACATCCCTGATGAAGTTTTGGGTTTGTACGTAGAAGTACTGTTGATTATGTTCATGAATCTGGGTTTTGTGTGAAAGATGATGCACAATATAAAGGAAAGAAATGAACCCACTTTTTAGCTAGGCTTTTAGGCCAGAGATAAGATGATAATTAAAGTCCATTTCTCATTGGCTTACTTTCCAATTTCAACTTTTTCTTGAATATTTATTTGTACAACGAAAGATAGTGTGAACAAAAGATTGATTTTTTTTTTAATTTAATTTTTCTTTTCTCAATTCTAATTTTCATTATTTTTCATTGATCTTTGTAATTTTGGATGTTTTCTAAAAATTCATCATATTTTTTAAATCTGACTCATAAACTCCTTTTAAATCTTTAAATTCGTACTATATAAAATCGTTAAAATCCAAACTACAAAATCTTAATAATAAATATCTTTTAAAAATTCTAGTAATTTATATGCTATTTGTATATGGTGTTTTAAAATTCATGTTTTTAATATATTAAGCAGTCTTTCACATGCGCCCTGCTGAAATCCTAAACCTTTCTTAAGTCATTTTTTTCCCCAAGACTCACTTTTTCTTTTATTGCTCATAAATTCACTATTTAATCATAAATATTTGCTCACTTATAGTAATATCTTTAAGAACTAATTAGAAAATTGATTGAATTAAATAGTTGACCAGTAATTGGTAACCTGTTAGTGAGAATAATGTACTTATAATAAAAATTGAGCAACAAATTGACTGTCTTACAAGGGGGGACAAGGCCAATGCACCATTTGAAGAATAGTTATAAAGACATAAGCAAGATTTAGAGAACCAGAAAGAAAGGAATTTTGAAGAGATACATTGGCCAAAGCAAAGACTAGCATTTTAAAAGATCCCAAAGGTTCAAAAACTAAATTCAACCAGGTTCCCTCTTATTACAAGTTTTTATAATTTGGACCCAAAACCTATAAAATCATACATAACAGTCTAGGTTAAGAATTGACTGGACTTGAAATCCCATCAACTAGTAAGGACATGTTCAACACATCAAAAGTTAGTGAATATTACATAATATTAAAGGAGCAGAAACAATAATTTTTAATTACTTTCTTATACGGAAACTATAATTAAAGCATGTTCATTTTACATTAATTAAAAATGTATTTAAACGTGGATTAAATAAGCACCTAGCTAGTATAAACTATTATGACCGACTCTGAACTGTCTCGAGTTTGTCTCTTGCCCCACCCTATTCTGTATATTCTTTTTTAAGAAAGAGTAGGAAAAATAGAGAAGGGTCCAAGGAGACATTCAGTCAAGTCCAATCGACAACGCAATAAATGGAAATTAATACTAATAGTTGCTTCCGTAACAGCTAAGAATCCCGTGTCGTGTAGATACATAATCTTTCTACAAACACAAAGCACATCCCATTACCGTTACAAGAGAAAGGTAACCAGGAATCCACTTGGATGAAATTCTAGTTTAATTGAACCAATTGCTAGCTTTTGACACAGTGCAGCTTCATTCCACTGGTGGATTTACTTTGTTCACTCAATGGACTGCTCATCTTAAAGCTTTACACTTGTAAGTATGATGCTTCGACCAAGATAAGGAAGCTTTTTCTGTCAAAAGTCGCATGCAGAAACCAATAGCAAATCCTAGATACCATTACAGATAACAAAACCATAACAAATCCACATATGATTCATCTAACCTGCCATTATTTATTCGTAAATGGGACACAGACGAGCAACATTTTAATCACTACTATTACTAACATGCTATAATTTATCAGGCGCAGAACTTCCAATTATTATTATTTTTTGTTCTTCTTTTAGTTGCTATGACTAAGTGGATTAGACCAAAAGGAAAAGTTTTTAATTATCTTAGGTACTTTTAGGACCGAAAATGTAATGTTCACTTTAGAGGTGAATCACAGCATACAGATTCATTTGAGCCTTCCTGGACGAGAATAGTGCTGTCTACGGAAGATGTGACCCAACAAACAAAATATATTACGCAATGGAAGGATGCAATCGGTTAGTGTCTGTATCAGGACAATTTCTGTCTAGGAATAGGTTTGAACTTTGTCTAACAAGAGTCAACCAACAATAGAAGAGGCCCCAGGAGAGGTCCCGGGGGAATATGTGAAAGAAAGTTCAAAGGGTAATTCTGATTAAGAGTGGATAGCTGTGACCTTTCTCATAACTGGGCCAAGAGTCCCTGTCTTCATTCAAGAAACCCTCATGACGTTTCCAGACTTCTTGGTCATAGTTCTCCGTTACACTGAATCGCAAGCCATTTTCCTTGGCCACCTCTAAGAACAGGTCCAACGAATTTCCTCTTTTTGGACTTAAAAATATAGCCTCAGAAGATCCTTCTTTTGATAATAAATGTTTGACAATACGAACAAGGTCTCTGTGGAATTCCTTAAAGAAAGTGCTGTCAAAAATGACACAATCAATGTCGTAATATAAAGATAAGACTAGCATATACAGACCAAATGAAAAGACGAGTCAAGCTGCATGCATGTGAATCTGCTGATGCATTTGGTACAAGATATAACTGCCTTTTGCCGCCACTTGAAGAATAAATATAGATATCTAGACATATATCCAACTTTAAAAATTGAAACTGATAAAAGTTAGCAAAAGAAAACAAAGAAAAGTAAGAGCATTTTCCAACCGACACACATGAATGCAATTTTTTTTTTATTATATATAAATAAAAGCTTCAACCCGACAAATAAGAGATCGTGTCTCATGACTACTACTCTGATCCTTATCCAAATTATATAGATAAAGAAAAATGCTATTGACATGAAATGACAGTTTCCAATAAGCAGTTACGCGCTTACAGCTATATCACAAGAACTACAAATAATATTTTCATCTACGAATGGGAAATGCATTCAAACCAAGTTGAAGCTGTCCAAATAACAAACATCTTACCAGTCACTTGCAATGATGATATCAAATGTGTCCGCCACATTAGACAAATCTTCCTGATTCCAGTGAAGAGCCATAGGCTTTACAACTGTATCCCCAAACGCTCCATGGTTGGCTTCAATGTTACGCTGAGTATCTGATGGTCATGGAAGAACAACGCAATTCAACTAGAATTATATATCAGAAAATTCTAAAAAGGAATGTTGCTGCAAGCAGTTTTTTTATTTTTCTTTTAAAGAATGAGCATTACATATTGTGCTGACTAATGAGAAAAAGAAAAAAAAACTTCACATTAAGCACAAAGTGGGAAACATTAAACAAATAGTGTTCAACCCATAAGCAGAGTAAAGGATGCTGAAACATGACAGGGAGTAAAACCGACAGACTTCATTGGTTCTCTACAATTTCAGAGAAGAAAAATAAGATAGTAAATGAATTAAGTGTCTCCCACAAATTAAAATTAATTTATACAAGATTTAAATCAACTTTTGCAGAAATTAAATGAAAGTTTCTATAAAATTTTAAATATATAAGTTAATTTCAACTTGTTAAAGAAACATAATTCATTTTATCTCAACTTCTTAATAGTGTTTATCTTATTAGTTTCTTTTCCTACAACAGCTTATAGAAAAAATTATCCAAACAGGGTCGATAAATGCCTTTACTATTGCATTTATTTATTGATCATTATATGCAATGTGCCAAAATAACATATTTGAATAACCAGTTTAATCTCTTGTTAAATACATCGCCCCTCCAGGGCCTATCTTCTTTGGAGGAATGATCATTTTGATCATGTTAACTAGAGCGCTACACCTAGCTCTCCCAGAAGTATAATCGTAGACTGTCATCAAGCTCTCTCCAGAATGCATAATCCTAGACTATAATCAAGCTTCTTCCTTCATGCATCTCTCAATAGAAAAAGATATTGAAAAATCCATCAATACAATGATACAATCCCACAAATAGTTTTCAATCTTAGCTTGTTGCATGATGAGGCCAGTATAGCAAGGCATTGAAATACCACATCTTGCAAAATCCAATATATATATATATATATATATATGTGTGTGTGTGTGTGTTCTGGTAATTTCTTGCACACTTAAATTTCCCAAACATAAGTTCTGAATTTACCACAACAGTACATTAAACTGTGCGTCAGTTCTGGATTTCAGATTTTTATCAATGTTACATGGTTCGTGGTATGATTAGGTATGTGGCAAGGAACTTTTCCAGCATGATACGATTGTTCAGTTCATTATTTCGGATCAAAATTCATTTAGGCTTTGATTACAATGCATAAACTTCAAATTATTGTATTAAGTAGTAAAACTATTATGATGTATGAATCAGAAAATGACAAAATAATTGAACACGCAGAAAACTAGCCATTTCTCTTCTGTTTACTTCATTGCTTTTCTGTCTTTAGTGACTTGTGCATTTTGCACTTCCCATCCCTAATGTTCTATATCGTGTTCCCAGCTCTTCTCTCCCTCTTAAATTCTTTCATCTATGAACAGCTGCAGCACTAGGTTCCGTGACTTCTTTCATCCTTGGCACAGTTTTCTTCCTCTTATTTTTTCTTCCGTCTATTGGAGCACTTCCCACAGCATTTTGGGCCATGGATCATCATTCAAATGAACCATTTAATACTTATTATCATATTAGTAAGTTATTCTTATTACTAAAATCCAGAATGTTGTTTTTACACAGCAAAGCAAAACATCTGTTTATGCCCATCCTAGAAAAAGGTTCCTCATCCCTAATCAAAAGGCAAAGAGAGGCTAGTCACAACTCTTAGTAATAAAAGAAACTTTTGCCTTCTTAAAAAAAATGAGCTAGCAATTAACTGCACAGGAATGAGATAACTCTCAAAGTTTTCTATCACCATCCAAACTGCTTGTCCAGGTTGTGACATTACCTTTGCTTTTGCAATATCTAATTCAAGATATATTTTTCCCTTACGAAAAGAAAGCAAAAACAGCGGACAGATGACAATCAAGATTTACAATAACTGTGCATACCCTTGGACAATTACTTTCATTGTCATGAGTAGGACATGTAGATATATACACAAACACAACAAAATATCAAAAAATTGCAACCAAAGTCATCGGATTAGGTCAACTTTCACTCTCCTGGTACAGCATTCAAAGCCTCTTACCAAGTTAATGGCAAACATCACAGACCAGTGAATAAACACTTGTGCAAAATGAGTTTAAAGAAGGTTTAGGTAAGAAACATAGCAACTAATTATCGCATAAAGGTATTATCAAATTCAATTTTACATATATGACATCTAAATTTAGGAAGAAAAGTTTAAAAGGAAAGAATAAATTTGTTTAAATCAGTACTCAGAAGGCATGGTACCCTTTTTCACATCCACTTTTGGCGAAGTTAATACGATGATTAATTCTCTCTTTCAAAAGCACGAGTTAAAAACTATTATCATGCATATTACTATACCAAAAGGATACAATCAACTACTTGCGGATTTCCATCTGAGATTACAACCTCGGCTGCCTCAGTAGCAGCTGCAATAACAAATCCAGCCAAGCCATAGCCAGAACCAAGCTCAATAACCTTTTTAGACCTAAATGAATTTAAACGCACACCAAAAGACAAAGAAAAATATAGCATCAAAAAGTAACAAAATAACAGTCAAAATATGCTAGCAATACACAATCAAATATTGAAGAAAAAAAATGCAGTTTTCATACCTGAATATATCTACATGTGACAAGCAATAGTGAGCAAGAACATCTTCTGAAGGCCAATTACCTGTAGAAGACACAACGAATTTATAAGCATGTGAAAAGAAAATATACAGAATTAATATTTAAAAGTTAATGAAGATCAAATCGCCGAAAAAACCAACTATAGTTATTTCATCCAAAATGTAAGAGAAGTTAACATAACATCCAATTCATTTTCTTCTAAATAAAAAGGGTGACCCAATGCACAAGGATCCCACCTAGTGCGATGTTAAGGATGGGTAAACGAATGCAGTCTTACCCCTGAAAGTAGAGAGGCTATTCTTACCCCTGAAAGTAGAGAGGTAGGATTTGAACTTGTGATTTTTAACAAACTACCAGGTCATAAGGTTGCAACATTACCATTTTAACAAGGCTGTACTAAAAAAAAAGCATTATTTCTACATCCAAATATTTGGTAAAATTATAATGCTTCTTGCTAGGAACCAAGAATTGAAATAAAGAAGAAAAGAAAGTTTTTTGAACTATTTAATTAACTCATTAACCCCTTAACTAACTAATCAGTATGCTAACTGTCATGACTAAATCCTTCTTTCCCATAATCATTCTTCTAATGAATGAAATGAAATGAAAAATCATCTTAATATCAGATAAAATTATATTAATTTTGCAATTTTACAAAAGCAACTCATCTACAATACTACATCCAAAGTTTTGTTCGAAAGTAACTAATGGGACATCCACCCCCCAACAAGAAAGAAAAAAAAAAGAACCAAAGGAAAAGAGAAAAGATTGGGGAAAACCTTAAAAAGGTCACATGCTAATCAAATGTAAGCTGATCACCTAATCTTCCCAAGTCAGCTAAAAAGACAAAGGGTAAAATTACAAGATTATGCTCCAGGCCTCCAACCAAATTTTAGTCCAAATGAAATTGGGTCATGTCCTAAAAGAATATGCTTCCCTTCAACGTAGAATATATAAAACTTTGATAATGAACTCGTACTCATGTTTCACTTTATTCTGAAATTTGTTATTAAACCTTATTCGTTGAACACCAAGGCTTTTGTAGTCTCCGCATCTTCATTTGTGGCCATGTTTGTCCATAATTTTCTACTATATCACAATTGTAACAAAATTGCAACTGCGACCGCAATTTAAAACATTACTTTCAGCACTGGCAATAGAAGAGTGCAAAATCTAAGGAGGATGATAAAAGAAACTTACAGACAAGCCCAGTATTGTCAATGTTGTATCTGTTACATATCTCAAAATCACTGAGGTCAGCATGACTGTCCACTCTTTGTCTGCATAAACAAAATATAAATAGATAATCATTCAAAGGCGAATGAGTTTATAAACCTAGAAACTTACACGAAATGATATTGTCATTTACTTCTGTAGATACTAGATGTAAGTTGGAAGAGTGTTATCAACACACTTTCAATCACACTCCTTCAATCACATTTTCTTTTAGTAATCAAAATTTATTCAAAACGGCAAAATCACGAATCAAGTACACTTAATAAGGAGTGGCACCCACAAATTCTTGTGATTTCCAACCAATTTCAATCGATAATAGAGGAGGCATTTCTAGCATTTCTCATGGAAGGTACGGTGATAGGAAAATCAGAACCAATTCGTTCAGAGCAGATTTGTTTCGACAGAATTTACTTACTGAAAACTATTTGTCCGAATTTCTAATCAATTGGGTCTGAAATGGCCCAAAGAAAACAAGCAATCTGATTAATGGAAACTGCTGAAGGTTTACCAAACGTACAATTGCCATTTACTTTAGTTTCTTTTGCTCAACATTATAGTTTTTTTTTTTAAAGATTAAAAAACACAGAAAAAAATATTCCCAATCAAAACATAAACGACAGAGTGAACACCAAAACGGAAAAGGAAAAGGAAAATAGCAAACTGACGTCAAAAAGAGTTGAGGAGCATTAGGGATGGGTAAAGTGTAACAAACGCGAGCATCTCTGGTGGAAGAACCGTCGCGTTTATTCGAGTCACGTTCGTCGTCGACTACATGAGAGGGTATCAGATTGAATCCATGGCCAGTCCTTCTTGAAATGCGCTTAATAATCATTTGAGATTGTTCTTCTGCAGAAGGAATAATAAAAGAACTGTATCAGTAGAAGAAGCATTTTGAAATCGAAAACGTGAAAATTGAATGCGTGTGAAAATGATATTACCTGATTCTGGTGGAGAGGAGCGTGAGAGAAGCGCGCGACGAAGAATTTCCCATCTCAAAGACGAAGCTTTTTCATTCGTCGTGTTGTCCATGACACCTTTATGTTTTTCTCACAAAGGGTGAGTGACCATTTTTATTTACATTTCTCCTTCCTTGTAATTTGAATAAATGGTTAGAATAAAGTTTGTGCAAGTCTCTTCTATACCATATCAAATTTAAAGTGAGTTCATGAAAAGAAAACGGAAACCATTAGTATTCATGACCATAAATAAATTGGCAACATCAATCTTTATCATGAAATTAGGAAAAAAATATTGTCTACTAAAAGATAGAGTTTTCATGAGAAAACTTATAATGCACACACATACACTAAAACTAGATGATACATTGTTTGAAAAAACAACTCATAAATAATCATATTATATTAATATAAGGAAATTCAAGATTAAAAATTAAAGTAAATAATTATTATTTAGTTGTTTGTTTAAAAGTGAATGATCAATCAATCTTTATTCTAGGTTAATTAAGAAGAAAAATAGTAGTCATAAAATTAGTGGTTATGTTTATTTATGTGTTGTTATTCGTAGACAAGGAAACTATAATTAAAAAATATTTTAAAGTTGTAACTTGAATATTAAAAAAATCTATTAAACATTCCATCAATGTATGATTTCGATTCACTGATGTAAGAGATTTGGGAATAAAATTAGATAATTAGTATTAGAGTTTATTGGAATAAATGAAAAGATAATTATAAATGTGTTAAAAAAATTTAATATTAGTGACATTTTGAATAGTTATTATTTAGTAGTTATGTTCGTCCATGTGTCTATTATTCGTAGACAAGGAAACAATAATAAAAAAATATTTTAAAGATGTAACTTCAATCTTGAAAAAACCTATTAAACATTCCATCAATGTATGATTCTGATCCATTGATGTAAGAGATTTGTGAATAAAATTAGATAATTAGTATTAGAGTTTATTGGAATAAATGAAAAGATAATTATAAATTTGTTAACAAATTTTAATATTAGTGACATTTTGAATAGTTATTATTTAATTTTGTGAACGTCTTAAAATTTGTTTATAATATAATATAATTTTTTTAGTTAAGATATGATAAAGAATTAATAATATATAGTTTTTAAAAAATTCATTGTTGTCAAATTAATATAAGAATTAAGATTTTTTTAGAAGAATTAGGGTTATTCAGAAGAGTAAGAGTTAGGGTTTTTTAGGAGAGTTGAGGGTTCGAGTGTTGAGTGTTAAAAAGAAGAAGTGAGATAGCTGGTCTGAAAAACATTGTTGTTGCACCTCGACTGATTAAGGAGGTCAGTTATGATAGATGAAGTGTCGGGATGAAGGTTCTCTTCAAAGCTCGGAATTGATGAGGACTAGTAGAAGAAGGTTTTAAAGAACCTGAGATCACAAAACAATTGACGATCAATGCACTTAGAGAGTTGAACAAGAATCGTGAGATAAACCGTGCATTTTTGTTTACATTTTTTCGAGTGGTAGAAGATAACGATTTTTAGAAGATTACATATGCTAAATTTGTAAAAGAAGCATGGACGATGTTGAAGACAACATATAAGAGCGATGACCAAATCAAACAGGTTCAGTTACATACCCTATATGGCGAATTTGAAAGCATGAGGAGAAAAGACTCCAAAGAAGTTTTCAAATACATCACCCGTGTCAAAATCGTGGTAACTGAACTCAATCGAGATGAAAATACGATCTTTAAAAATCGGGTTATGCGAAAAAATTTAATCGTTAACCAACAATTTTGAGAACAAAGTTTGTGTCATAAAAGAGTTTCAAATTTTATCTGAAATCATGTTTCACGACTGTACAAGTATTGAAGGTCGAGCTAAAAGAGGAGAACACACTCTATTATTAGAAGAATAGAGGACGAGGACGAGTTCGTGGTGGTCGGGCCTGAGGTGGTTGATCTAGACGATCTGATTTGAGGCCAAGGTGATGAGAAGGAAGAAGGAGTTCAACAAAACTGACGAGGAAGATGACGTGGTCCGATAGGAGATTGATCAACGAACCACTCAAACGTCAAGTGTTTCAAGTGTGACAAATATGACCACTATCGGACAAGTGTTACAATTATGGTGAGATTGGACACTTTGCGAAAGAATTAAAAGGTGGGTGAGACCTATCTCATAGTGAAGACAAAAGATGAAGAAGCAATATTGTTGATGACGGATCTCGAGATGGGAAATACAGTCAGTGACGGATCTTCTTGGGAGCTGAGGGGGGTCGTGACCCCCCCAAAGTTTTGTAACTCCCATATAATTTATGATTTTGACCCCCCCCCCCCAAATAATGAACATTTAATATATTTACTTGTATATTTACAGTTTTATCCTCTCAGCTCCTCCTCAGTTTTGTAACTCTCATATAATTTATGATTTTGTTCCCCTCAAACTTAATGATAATTTAATATATTTAAGTATATATCTACAATTTTATCTTTTCACCCTTTCATCTTCTTTCTTCCTTTTATATTTATTTATTATTTATTAATAATATATTATTTGGTCCCTCCAAGATCAATGGTCAAGATCCGCCACTGAATACAGTGATAACGTTCGGGAGGATACTGATCACAAGTCGGTATGGTATTTGGATATGGATGCGAGTAATCACATGTGTGGGGGACGAACACCTATTTAACAAATTGGAGAAATTTGAGAGCGATGTACTATTTGTTTCTTGCAAAATGATGGTCTAATCGAGTTCATCGGAGATGTGTTATATGTTCTAGATCTCAAGAATAATCTTTTAAGTATAGAACAGTTGATAAAGAGAGGATACTCGGTTTTTATGAAAGACTGAATACTATAATTGAAAGACAAACTCAGAAGGTTGATTACCCGAGTAAAGATGGGAAAGAATGAAATGTACAAGTTGTAGTTGAGAAACATTCGGGAGAGAAGTCTGAAATCAAATGTAGAGGACACGTTGAAGAAGAATCATCGATCTAGTCACATGTATTTTTGTGGTCTGACCGAGTTGATTCGTGATGATGATCTGAATGTTCGAGTTGATGAAATGAGAGAGGAACTAGGGAGAATTAGAAGAAGGCAGAGGTCAAGTTGCTGCAACACCAGTTGTTGTCAGCTCGGAAGGAGACCGAGCTCTTACACCATCAATAGTAGTCAGATTAAAAAACCAAGAAGGAAGAAATAACCATGAAGTTGAAGAAAAACATGAAAAGCATGGTGCTCAGATTGTCAAGCATATAGGGAAAAGTTTGTGAAGGTGTGTTGTTCATATTATCAAGCATGGAGGAACGAGTTTGTAGAGGAGTGGTCGGTAACAAGGTGAGTACCAAGTATAGAGAGGAATCTTAGTTAAGTCCAATTAGTGGATTTCAAAATAACCGTGTCAAAGTTGTTATGGATAAAATGATCCAAGCTGTTGTGGATAAGAATATCTGAGTTGTTATTGAAGATGAGAAAGGATAAGAGTAAACATATTGACGTGCATTTTCACTGCATCCAAGAACATGTGAAGGAAAGGAATGTGAAACTTGTACATCTGGCGAGTCGAGATCAAGTTGTTGATATTTTCACAAAGCCACTACCTAGTATGTTATTCGAGAACTACAAGAAACTGATCGAGATGAAGGTGTTAAGTGGTAAAAAGTTGATATAATTGTACTTTGAATTGTTATGAAATCACTTAACTTATGTTGATTCTAATATATTTTTCTCTCAATGTAGGATTAATTCGAGAATACCTTAATACAAGAGTAAAGAACATAATTATCAACATAATTTGAGCAAAACTGAAAGGAGGAAGAAGATTTTTAGCATGGAAGTTACTCGAGCGAGATAGATTTTCGCTTGAGCGAATATCAGTTATTCTTTTCTGGAAGTCAGTTACTCAAGTGCTAGTAAATTTGCTTGAGCAAATATTAGTTATTCGTCTCTGGAGCTCACTCGCTCAAGTGAGCGATTTGTTGCTTGAGCGAAAATAGGGAACTTTCGCTTGAGCAAGTGTTGTCCCTTGAGCGAAAGACGCAAAACCCAAAAGCCTAATTTCTCCTATAAAAAGATAGAACGAGTTTTGAGAAGAGAATGCGGTTTTTGGGAGAAGATGCGCAACTACTGCTAGAGTTTCGTCCAATCTTCATCAATTCTTCATTTGTTCCACATTTGGAGCATTGTAATGACCAACATGAGTGACTAACTTCATTCTCTTGGGATTTGGTGTACTTTCTTTAAACTCTTTTGTATCATGGTGATATTTTGATATATTAATCTATGTTTTGATGTTGTTATTTTTATCCTTTGTGCTTTGGAATGATTTATTCTTGATGTTTGGGGTATGATTGGAAAATATATCTTGAACCCTAGATCACGTTAATAATATTTGTTATGTTAATTGTCAGGAATAGAATGAATGTATCAATTGCTTAACACTCTAAACTTAATGCTGGAAAATCTCTTAATTGTGTGAGTAATCAACATTTATTAGGTTTTCTTATGAATTTCATGTGTGAGAAATCAACATGGATGATGTGAGTAGGTGACATCAACATTGTTAGGTTAATTGATGTTCTTAATTGACATAACCATTACAAAAAAGAGAAAAAGAAGGAAGTCAATCCTAAGTGCCTTTAATTAATCTTTTCTAAACAATTTACAATTTTTTGTCATTTAATTTCAATTCAACTCTTTATGCAAAACTCATTTTATTTTAATCTACTTATTAAGCATATAATTGAGAATTTCCATTGAAATTGTTTCTCGTAGGATCGAATTTTATTTAATCAAAATATTATACTGCGATTGATAATTTTGGTACGCTTGCAATAATTTAACAGAAGGATGGTAAGAGCTTGGGTGATTGGGAAGATAACAAATTGCGAGATTAGGTTAAAGAAGTATTGAAGATAACAAGTTGGGAGTCAGAATATCAAGCCGATCTCATTTTTGTTGAAAATATTTAATTTTAATTAGTTTTGTTGAATAAAATTAAATAATTAATTTTAAAATTTATTGGAATAAAAAAATAATTAGAAGTTTATAAGAAGATTTTAATATTAGTGATATAATGAAAAGTTATTATTTGATTTTATGAAGATCTCAATACCTATATAAATATAGTATTATAGTCCTCAATTGAGATATAACAAAAAAATCAATAATATACCATTTATAATTTTTGGTAAATTCTTTATTGTCAAAGACTACGTTCCAAGAATTACTCCACCTATTTTTTATTTAGAAGAGATGATAAGATAAAATTGTGGATTTCGGAGAAAATTTAATTAAAAAAATAATATTTTCACTAGCGTAGTTTTTTTTTTTTTCGCGATATTCAGACACAAATTAGAAAAAAAATAGACAGAAATATTCGGCAATTTTTGTATGAAAGTGAATTCATATATAATTAAACAATTTAGTTAGTCGTAAATATATATATATATATATATATATATATATATATATATATATTTTTTTTTTTTTTTTTTTTTGTAAAATGAATAATTTTGTCTTTTATTATGACCTTAGAGACGAGTAATTAAAATAATTCATCACAATTTATTCTACATCCTTCCTAAATTAACCTCTTTTTTTTTCTCATTGTGGATCATGCCTTTTCTCCTCATTGTGGATCAACTGCCTGCAATTTGACACTCCCAACTACAATTTAGAACCATGGGTATATTAACAGTTTAACATCATTATATCATTCACAAACTTAGTAAAGAGGACACCCTTCTGATTGAACACCTGGAGCAGTTGGGCATGAAGCTAATGGGCACCCATCCGCATCACTGCCCCACCAGTTTAGGCTGATACGTTGCATCCCTAAACAAAAGTAGAGCAAAACCCCCATCAAGGCTAAACCAGCATCAAGTGCCCCAGATAAAACATAGTTGTGTCGGCTCCACCAACCACGATAGTAACGGTAAACAACAAACCCTGAGACAAATCCAACAAGGACCCAACTGGTGTAGTTCACTGCTGTAGCTGGAGGCATATCAGATAATGCACCCAAGAGCACAGGCACAGTGATAAGCCTAATCCATTGTTTTTGAGGGAAGGCCTTTTGTGCTAGCCAAACTATGAAAGGACCTATTGCTCCAGCCAAGAAAAACCAGTTAATCGCCGAGTAGTGTCCAAGGTCTCCAAAAATTCTACGAGGCCCCACCAAACCCCATATCACAGACGCGTCATAGAACACATGATCACCAGGGCATGTCCATGGACTACCTGCTGGAAGCAACTCTCTTTGGCATATATTTGGAACAGTATCTATGAGCCACCATGCTGTTAGTAAATGCACAACCGCAGATATTAAGGTGCCAAGTACCTACAGAATAAGAATGACAAGTAAATGATGATTGATAATTGAAGTTTGTAGACTTAAATTTGAAGAAACTTGATTTTGTAAACTGAGATTATGAAATATCTCTTTTCTTCCATTTCAAATTGAGTTTGAAAGATAAAACTGTGACAAAATCCAATTTATGGTAATATAGGATTCAACTAAAAACCAAACAAGAAGTTTTTCTATTGTACTTAATGACACGTTTGAGACCTCCTAACTGAAAACCAAACATGACCTTAGACTTTGAAAGGCCATATAACAGAAAAATAAATAAATTAAAAGAATCACTTCTCTTTTGTTTATTCTCTGTTTTTGCTAAGGGGGAATAGGTGTGTAAACCTGTGCCATGAACATTTCTCTAGGAGGGATCTTCATGTAATGGCCAAGCTTAAAATCTTGTAAAAAGAAAATCGCCTGCTTCATGCTTACATTCCCATACACTTTAAACAACATGTTGGCAACGGGATATCCCGGGTAGACGTATCCAATTATGTATTCTGTTATTATATTCAAAGCTGGTGCCTTCAAGACAAGGAAAAATAGTTATTGTTAGGTCATGTGATCGATAATGAAGGGAAGAAATCAAACTATTTTAGGTCATATGCAGTATTTGGAATATGAGAGGTACCACCTATACTTTATTTACACTATTTAGGACATATCTGTGGTGCAATCACTAATTAGTTACACCAATACAACTGCTAAAGTGGCAGTTAATTTCAACCACTAGACTGAACTTGAAGCAAGCAAAAAGTAGTACTTGGATATAATTTAACTGCCAAGAAATTGCACATTCGTGTGGCTTCAGTGCAATATGTACCTGATTTGTTGTGGCTCTAATTACTCCAATGGGAAGGGTAAATGATATGGCAACAACACAAGCTAACATCACACCCCACCATGGTAATTGGAGTTCATTGTTGAAATATTCACATATGAATATAGTTGCCATGATGTTGAGCACAAGAATTAAGAGAAACCACCATTCAGGAACTTGTTTATAGTTCTTTCTCATGATCTTCGTGTGTATATCTGTCTTATTCTCTTGGAAAGCAGACTTGCTTAGTCGCAATATTTCACTGTAGTATTAAGACACCAATGCAACTAGTAACACGTTAGTTCATACAATTAAAAGTTTCAATGGAAAAAAATGGAAACAAGATTACCTTCCATGGAAGAGTGATACATGAACAAGGGTTGCAGAAAGGCAAGCAAAACCAATGCCATATGACACAGCAAACATGGTGCTAATATAAGCAACATTAGCCGTAGCAAACCATGGACTGGCCAAAGGGCTACCAAGATAGGAACATATACTTGACCAGTCAAAACCAACAGCACCAACTCCAAGACCATGCAACCCTGAACCTAACTGGTGTGCTATTACGGAAGTGGGAAATATCCAGCAAAGCCACGAAATTGATGTTAACATGGGGAAGAAGTAGCCAGGAAAAACATAATAGGCAAAGCTGCAAATAAATGCTATAAGGAAAAACTGATTCCGAGTTAACCCTCCCTTTCTTCTCTCCTCTTTCTCGTGTAGTGTCCTGAAATACATAATTACGATGCATGAGTTGTAATATTATTACGTAACGTGGAATTACATTAGTCGTATATGACATAGCTGTTGTTGTTCATAGTTTTGACAGGATTATCTAAACCTAGATTGCATCAATTCTTAGGTACAATCGCATCAATCATTGTAAATTGTTTTACAATGTTTAGTACTTAGGAAAACTTTTTTAGAATGTGATTTAACAAACAACTTTAATTAAGTATTTATTCAATGTTTTTTTTTGTTATCGTGTAATCCTTCTTTTTTAACCTTTATAATAATATTGATATTAAAAATGGAAAATACTAATTCGCATATCTAATATTTATATTATGTGTTTGTTATATGTTTATGTTCATTTTTAATACAATAACTTATTGCGACTTAAATTTTTCTTATTTCTTTTAATATTAACATTTAGAAAATAAGATATTAATTCATATGATGAAAAATAATTTTATTATTGTAATTTTGATGGAAGATATGTTGACAATGTTGGCAAAATTTGGATAATATATATATATATATATATATATATATATGATACATAATTTAAATTTGTTAGGATCATTATTTATTAAGCCAAATAATAAAGTGATTTGACTAAATTAAAAAGTTTGACTAAAGACATATGTCATGAAAATAAAATTATGTAGAGAACATAAAACAATTTTTAATTTGATGAGGGGCCAAATTAGAAATACTAAAACTTAAGTAATTAACCTAATTCTGGTTATTTTAAGGGGTCATGGTCCTCTTTTGGGAGCACGTAAACAGAATGTAAGTTCCATTCTCGTTTCTTTCTTTTTATCCCCATCAAAAGAGAAAATCAAGAGGGAAATACAAGTGCTCTTCAGGTGGAAGACCATAAAATCAATATAGTGCTCTACAAAGACATCATCATTATGACTAATTCAGGTACGTTTTCGCATTTAGTTTACAGCATGTTTATCAGTATGAGATTACGTTTATGTTTGATCGTTAAAATTAAAATCATAATCATAATAGGGAATTACTAATAATTGGTATCAGAGCAACTCATACTTGATTCATATCTGTCTTTGGAAATTAAATTTAACAAAATTTAGATTCTATTTAAATTGAGAACCCTAGGTGGAGAATAATCTCCAAATTTTGTGAACCCTAAAATCTAATTTGGGGGTAAAATTGCCCCGTGAGTTCAGCGACACACTGTCGCTGGTGAGGAATCTCTGGCGACACCGCAAGGTTTCGGTACGCGAACAAACAGGAGCATAGGTCGGTGATCAGGATCTCGCGGATCGTGGCAGAGACGCTGCGGCTTGGGATGAAGGATGTGCGGTGGTTCGTGGCGGACATCGACAGCAAGGAAGTCAAGGCGCAGATCTGGGACACTGCGGGTCAGGAGCGCTTCCGAGTCGTCACTTCCGCTTAGTCTAATTCATCCTTTTGCTTAAACTAATTCATCTTCCTCAACGTGTTCCTCCCAATGCTCTTTAGAGCAGTATAAGGTGTCAAGGAGGGATTTGAGGGTGGTTAGCCATTGTGGATGATGGGTGTTTTATGGGATGGAGAGAATAGGAGTGTGTGAGTGTCTAGTGCTAACTCCAGACCCGAATCAAAGATGGGTCATGCACCACAATTACTTGACACGTAACAGTTGTACCCTACAATTTAATGGATCCCTCTTTCCCCTCTTTCACACGATTAATCCTCAACATCGTGTTATGTTATGTGTTACAAATACTAACAAATAATTAATTTATGGAATGTTTAAACCGTGGTAGAGGTACACTATACAATTCATTCAATCAGAACCAACAATATTTTTTTTAATAAATAAATAATTATATAAATTTGGTTTTGTTATATAAATAAAATATTAATTTTTTGGTAGTTTAATATTTTTGTGAGCAAATTGAGTCAAGAAGTTACCAAAGTAACCTCTCTTGAATTGGGTAGTTCGTAAAAAATATTGAATGTTAATGTTTGTGTATATTCATGCGAGTATTAGTCGGCCCAAAGGAAGATTAATATTTGGCCGAATTGCATACACACCTATAATGATAAACATGTGATAATTATAAGGATTTGCTTTGTCGATGATAAATCAATCCAAAGACTGGTTTGTTGTTAGACGTGCTTTATTGTCAATATTTGATTATTACAACAAGATACCTCTAGTAGTTAATATTACTGTCCAAAGACTTGATATTGATGGTGCATTAGGTGTTTTGAGATGTGTTAAACCATTATTTGAATATATACTTTATTTAATTATTTATTTGTATAATGTGAGTATAATTAATTTATTTCTCTTATTCCTAATTCAGCTACATTGTTTCTGTATCTGCCAATTTAAATTTTGTTCCGTTCCTCAAAAGTATGTTTCCTACTTTGGTTTGTTCTGAAGTCAATTTAGCATCAGTGCCTAGTAACACTTGGTAGTTATACTCATCTGCAACTACTAACATCAGTGTTTATATGAAGGGTTGTCTAAGCTACCGAAAGTCAATTGATTCTGAAAGATAGATATATGTTGGAGATGACAAATCGGTAGAGGTGGAAGCTATAGGACATTTTAAATTGTTATTGAGTACTGATTTTTATTTGAATTTGAAAGACACTTTTGTTGTGCCGTCATTTAGACAGAATTTGGTTTCAGTTTCTTATTTGGACAAATTAGGTTATTTGTGTTCATTAGGAAATAATAAGTTCAGTTTGTCTTTTAATTCAGATATTATTGGAACTGGTTCACTTTTGCCTTATGATAATCTATATTTACTTGATACTGTGACCACTTATAATGAAACTCTTAATACAGAATCACGGGGTACCAAACTTAAAATTGACGATACTCACTCAGGATCATTATGGCACAGACGCTTAGGTCACATCTCTAAAAATAGAGTTCAACGACTTGTGTTAAATGGAATCTTAGAGTTTATTGACTTCACAAACATTGACATTTGTATTGAATGCATTAAGGGCAAACAGACCAGAGCGAAGAGATTAGGTGCATATAGAGTTACAGACGTCTTAGAGTTAATACATACGGACATTTGTGGGTCATTTCCTACACCTTCGTGGAATGGTCAACAATACTTTATATCATTCATAGATGATTACTCACGATATGCATATTTATTTCTTATACATGAAAAATCACAATCTTTGGACGTGTTCAAAACATTTAAAGCTGAAGTTGAAAATCAACTCAACAAAAAAATTAAGTCTGTCAGGTCTGATCGTGGTGGTGAGTACTATGGCAGATATGACGGGTCAGGTGAACAACATTCAGGACCTTTTGCCAGGTACCGAGAGGAGTGTGGAATTGTCCCACATTATACCATGTCGGGATCACCTAGCACGAATGGTGTAGCTGGAAGACGAAACCAGACTCTTAAAGATATGGTCAGGAGTATGATTTGTCATTCCACCTTACCGGAGTCACTCTGGGGAGAGGCACTAAAGACGACAGCTTATATTCTAAACAGAGTACCAACTAAAGCAGCTACCAAAACACCTTATGAGCTTTGGAATAGGCGACAGCCTAGTCGGAAGCATTTACATGTGTGGGGTTGTCCAGCTGAGGCAATGCCTTATAAGCCAAATGAAAAGAAATTGGACTCCCGAACAGTAAGTAGTTATTTTATTAGTTATGGTGAAAGATCCAGAGAATATAAATTTTATGATCCCACATTAAAGACAATTTTTGATACGGTAACTGCTACGTTCTTTGAGAATATTGAGTTTGGAGGGAAGAATAAAATTAGGAACTTTGTCTTGGAGGAAAAATCGGTAACAATTTCAGAACCGATTCAAACAGTTACTTTTGATAAAGTAAGTTTGGAACCTCCACAAGGCATTGTTAATGAACCCCTTACTCAAGATTATTTAGTTGTTCATTAAGAACAAACTCAAGATCCTCAAGAACCTGTGCATCATGAACCAATAACTTTGCGGAGATCCACTAGAGAAAGAAGAAATGCTATTTCGGATGATTACATGGTATTTCTTCAGGAACATGAGGAAAACAATGGTATGATGGAAGATGACCCAGTTAACTTCCGTCAAGCTATGCAAGGTTCTAACTCTGAAAAGTGGATTGAAGCAATGAAGGAGGAGTATAAATCCATGCAAGACAAGGTTTGGGAACTTGTCCCATTAGCAGAAGGTATGAAACTCATTGGTTGCAAGTGGATATTTAAGACCAAACAGGATTCTAAAGGTAATGTAGAAAGGTATAAGGCTCGCCTGGTAGCTAAGGGCTATACCCAAAAGAAAGGGATTGACTTTAAAGAGACTTTCTCTCCAGTTTCATCGAAATACTCTTTTTGGATAATCATGGCTCTTGTAGCACATTATGATTTGGAGCTTCATCAAATGGATGTCAAGACGGCATTTCTCAATGACAATATTGATGAGACGATTTATATGGTACAACCAAAAAATTTTGTGCAGGGAGATTCAAAGAATATGATTTACAAACTGACAAAATCCATTTTTGGACTAAAACAAGCATTTCGTCAATGGTACTACAAATTTCATCAAGTAATTCTCTCATTTGGCTTCGAGATGAATAATGTTTATGATTATATATATCACAAGTTTAAGGAGAGTAAGTATATTTTCCTGATCTTATATGTTGATGACATTCTACTTGTCACTAATGATATAGGCATATTGCACGAAACCAAGAAATTTTTATCAAAGAATTTCGAAATGAAAGATCTTGGTGATGCGTCTTTTGTATTAGGAATTCAGATACACCGAGATCGATGTCTGGGTATTTTAGAATTATCACAAAGGAGCTATATCGAAAAAATTATTAAAAAATTTAGCATGCATGAATGTAAATCCGGGGATACTGCAGTTGCTAAGGGAGACAAGTTTAGTTTCAATCAGTGCCCAAAGGGAAATTTGGAAATTGAGGAAATGCAAAAGATTTCCTATGCATCAGCTATAGGGAGTTTGATGTATGTCCAAGTATGTACGCGTCCAGACATAGCATACATAGTTGGGGTTTTAGACAGATATTTAAGCAATCCATGAATGGACAATTGGAAAACAGCAAAAAGGGTCATGAGATATTTAAAGAGAACAAAAGATTACATGCTCACATACAGGAGGTCAGACCAGTTGGAGATCGCTCGATTTTCTGATTCGGACTTTGCAGGATATTAAGATAGTTTAAAATCCACTTCAAGTTACATTTTCATGTTGGCAGGTGGTGCAGTTTCTTGGCGCAGTGTCAAGTAAACCCTTACGACTTCATCTACTATGGCAGCAGAATTTGTAGCATGCTATGAGGCGTCGAATCATAGAATATGGCTGAGAAATGTTGTCGCAGGGCTGCAAATTGTGAAAGGTATTGAAAAATCACTTAAGTTATATTGTGATAACAAATCAACTGTATTGTATTCCAACAACAATAGAAGTTCAACTAAGTCAAAGCACATCGACATTAAATTCCTAGTTGTTAAGGAAAGAGTACAGAGTAGACAGATTTTCATAGAACATTTAGGGACAAACTCCATGATAGTAGATCATCTAACTAAAGGACTTCCGCCTAAGATCTTTTATGAGCATGTTGCTCACATGAGTGTTTTACAGTTTGAGGAATTTGTGGTTTAGTGAGAGTTAGTCACTTTCATATATTTTATGTTATATGTTTAATTTCATGTATGTATACATTAATTATTATTTTTTTTTACATATTTGGTTATTTATAGATATGCGATTTTTCGTTCATTCATTACACTTTGTACAATAAGGTTATTATATCGATCTCGATAAGTTAAAGTATGAACCAGTTGAAAATAGACGTGTACAGGTCACCTCCACGTAATTTTTCATGCTACACATTTTATGATGAATCCATGTCATTTGGTTATGTCAGGATGAGTAATCATTGTTGGTTTTAGTTGCGATGATGCAATGAAAAGCTGGTTTTATTCTATATCCTTATTTGATTAATGGACATGACTTTTGGAGTATATTAAAGGAATATAATGACAATTTTGAGCTCATAAAATCTAACACATTTGTAAGGTTGTAAGGACATATATATTTGTGACGAGTGGGAGATTGTTGGCAAAATTTGGGTCATGTATATATATGATACATAATTTAAATGTGTTAGGGTCATTATTTATTAAGTCAAATAATAAAGTGATCTGACTAAATTAAAAAAATTTGGCTAAAGACATATGTCATGAAAATAAAATTGTGTAGAGACCATTGAGCAATTTCTAATTTGATGAGGGGTTAAATTAGAAATATTAAAACTTAAGTAATTAACCTAATACTAGTTATTTTAAGAGGTCATGGTTCCCTTATGGGAGCACGTAGACAGAACATAAGTTTTATTCTCGTTCTTTTCTTTCTATCTCCATCAAGAAAGAAAATCAAGATGGAAATACAAGTACTCTTCAGGTAAAAGACCATAAGATTAATATAGTGCTCTACAAAAATATCATCATTATAACTAATTCAAGTACGCTTTCGTATTCAGTTTACAACATGTTTATTAGTACGAAATTACGTTTATGTTTGATAGTTAAAATCAAAATTAGGATCATAATATAAAATTACTAACAATAACTCTTCAAACGTGGATCAAATCAAATAAACATTTTGTAAATCAAGTTATGTATAGTCAAACTAATAAAAAATTATCTTCATCAAATAATTTCTTTAAAATGTAAACGTAAGGGACAAGGAAATCTTTAAAGAATAAAGGTCAAACAATAAGAAAGGATGAAAGTGACTTTTAAGTACTATAATTAGATACCGTGTGGCTTAAGGAGATTAGAGAAGAAGTATTTCAACCATCAGATCAAATTCTAAACAATCTAACATTTTAAACAAATATGTAGTTGGTAATGAGCACCGTACCTAAAGAGTGAGACCTGCACAAGGTTTTGGGGCCACCACATGGTAGCGGGCTCCACGAGGTAGCGTCTAAAAATCCCGGCCCAACCGAAGCCCAAAACTTGCGTCGTTATAACCACCAATAACCCCGCCAAAACCGTTAACTCTTTCCGGTAGAAAACTTTAACGGCGCTAACGAAGTAGATGGCGTAGACGCTAGCGGCTCCCGAACTGGCGAAGATAGTGATAACCACGTGCTCCTTCACGTTGAACTTCCCTGGGTTCAGCGTGAACTCCCACTTCGTCCCTTTCATGAACACACGCCTCGTCACCACCGCCGCCATCAGGTGCCCCGCCGGCACCACCGCGATCTGCGCTGAGATCGCCGTCACCGACAGCGGCTCCCTCCGGAACCCGAAGAACTGGTTCAGGAACGAGAGAAGCACGCACGCTAGAGTTCCCAAAATCCACGTCCGGAAAGTGAAGGAAGGCAGCGACGGATCGTCGCTCACCGCAACAGTCAGCGCCACCTGCTCGATTGGAGAGTTCTCGCCGGCCAGCGAGTTCTCCGCCTCGGAGATGGCATCGTTGTTGTGATGACGCCTTTCAACTGAAAAGTGAAAGTCAACGAATATAAGAATAACAAATGAAAGCGGTAACTAATCATTGTTTGGATCTGGTAATGGAGAAAGAACAAAAGTGCGTTTGGAGAATCAGGGAAAACGAAGGTACGAACTTAGAGGTGCGTTGATTTCAGGATCATTAGCCATGTCGCTGGAATTTGTTTCTGATTCGTGTAAGTATAATTTCTGCACGTTTCATTAAAACATTAAATAATTATACAAAATAGCCAAGATATCAGGTATTCGTTTTTTAATTACTTTGTATAATATATGTTTTATTTATTTAGATAATACAATTTTGTTTTATTATTAAATTGAGAATTCGATTTTTTAGAATACAAAACTTAAATGTAATTGTATTTTATAATTTTTTTTAAATAATTTAAAATTCGATTTTTCGACAACCGAATTCTAAATAATTTTCTTTTTATTTTGTTAAAAAATAAACTAACTAAAATATATATATATATATATATATATATATAATATATTATAATATTTTATTTAACATTTATAGTTTTAAATTAAGTATTTAGAAAAATGTGTATATTTCTAAAATTAATAATATATTTAGATTTATTGTTGAAACTTTTAAAATAATATTTTTAAAATATATTTTTAAATATTATATTTAAATTTATTTGTATCATTAATTTTTTTTAATTTTATTTATTTATTTGATAATAATAATATTTTAGAAATTAATAATAAATTAGGAAGATAATAAAAATCTTAAAAATTATATGTATATAAAAAGAAATAATATTTTGATGTAAAATTATATATATATATATATATATATATTCTAAAATATAATTTATATTAATTACTATAATATAAAATTTATATTTCAAAATATAAATTATTTTAAAATAAATTATATTGTAAAATATATATATATATATATATATATATATATATTAAATATAAATTATTTTCAAGTTGATAATTATTATTCTAATTTATGCAAAATATATATATATATATATAATTAATTTAAAGTTTTTAATTTAAGTAATATATCTATATATAATTATAATTTATATAATATATATAATTTATTTAACATTAATTTTATAGTTATAATTTTTTTTAAAGTTATAATTATACATATGATTTTTTTAATTATATAATTATAATTTTTATAATATATAATTGATAAATAATTTTTTTTAATTTTAATTTAATATATATTTTTATTTATAATTTTTTAATATATATTTGAGAAATTAATCAATTATAATCTATTATTTGAAAAACTAATCAATTCTAATCAATTATTTTAAAAACTAATTGATTATAATTAATTATTTGAAAAAATTAATCGATTATACATTATATTTTCAAATAATTGGTTAGATAGTGGTTAACGTGTAAGCGATATTATATGTTCACTTTTATATGTGACACGTTTAAGAGCGATTAACATTTTAACCGCTCTTAAAAGTGAACATATAATAGCGGTTAAGTGAACATATAATAGCGGCTCCACGTTAACCGCTATCTAAAATATATTTTAAAACATTATTTAAATACTTTTAATAATAAATTTAAATATGTTATTAATCTAATAAATACATAAATCTTTTTAAAACTATAATTTAAACTATAAATTTTAAATAAAACATTATAATATTATATATATATATAAATATATATATTTTTTTTAACTAATCGATTAGTTAAAAAAAATATATATATATATATATTAAAATATAATTTATTATTAAGTTGATAATTTTTATTTTTATTTATGTAAATTTTATATATAAAATTAATTTAGAGTTCATGTAATTTTAATTTATGTAATATATATATATATATATATAAATTTATTTAACATTAAAAATAGTTATATTTTTATTAATTTTATAATTATAATTTTTTTTAAGGTTATAATTTTAAATATAATTTTTTTAACTTTATATTTATAATTTATATAATATATATAATTTAAAAATAATTATTTTTTTTATTTTAAGTTGATATATTTTTTTATTTATAATTATTTAATATATATTTGAAAAATTAATTAAATATTTAAAAATTAATCAATTATTGAAAAAAATAACTGATTCTCATCAAATATGAAAAAACTAATCAATTACTTTTTGAAATAATCGATTAGTTTTTTAAATAGTTAAAAAAAAATATATATATATATATATATATATATTATATTATAGAAATGAAAATAATTTATACTTTGGAGAATATATATATATATATATATATATATATATATATATATATAAAATATAATTTTTTTAAGTTGATAATTTTTTTTATTTATGTAAATTTTATATATAAAATTAATTTAGAGTTCATATATGTAATTTTAATTTTTGTAATATATATATATATATATATATATATATATATAATTTATTTAACATTAAAAATAATTATATTTTTATTAATTTTATAATCATAATTTTTTTTAAGGTTATAATTTTATTAGTTTTTTCATACTTGAGAACCGGTTATTTTTTAAAATAATTGATTAATTTTTAAATAATCAATTAGTTTTTCAAATATATATTAAATAATTATAAATAAAAAAATATCAAATTAAAATTAAAAAAATTATTTTTAAATTATATATATTATATAAATTATAAATATAAAGTTAAAAAATTATATTTAAAATTATAACCTTAAAAAAAATTATGATTATAAAATTAATAAAAATATAACTATTTTTAATGTTAAATAAATTATATATATTATATATATTATATATATTATATAAATTATATATATATATATATATATATATATATATATATATATATATATATATTACATAAATTAAAATTACAAACTCTAAATTAATTTTATATATAAAATTTACATAAATAAAAAAATTTATCAACTTAAAAATAAATTATATTTTAATATATATATATATATATATATATATATATATATATATATATATTCTCCAAAGTATAAATTATTTTCATTTCTATAATATATAATATATATATATATATATATTTTTTTTTTTTTAACTATTTAAAAAACTAATCGATTATTTCAAAAATAATCGATTAGTTTTTTTATATTTGATTTTTTCATACTTGATGAGAATCAATTATTTTTTTAAATAATTGATTAATTTTTAAATAATCAATTAGTTTTTCAAATATATATTAAATAATGATAAATAAAAAAATATATCAACTTAAAATTAAAAAAAAATTATTTTTGAATTATATATATTATATAAATTATAAATGTAAAGTTAAAAAAATTATATATAAAATTATAACCTTAAAAAAAATTATAATTATAAAATTAATAAAAATATAACTATTTTTAATGTTAAATAAATTATATATATATATATATATATATATATATATTACATAAATTAAAATTACATATATGAACTTTAAATTAATTTTATATATAAAATTTACATAAATAAAAATTATCAACTTAAAAATAAATTATATTTTAATATATATATATATATATATATATATATATATATATTCTCCAAAGTATAACTTATTTTTATTTCTATAATATAAAATATATATATATATATAAATATATTTTTTTAACTAATCGATTAGTTTTTTAAATAGTTAAAAAAATATATTTATATATATATATATATATATATAATATTATAATATTTTATTTAAAATTTATAGTTTAAATTATAGTTTTAAAAAGATTTATATATTTATTAGATTAATAACATATTTAAATTTATTATTAAGAGTATTTAAATAATGTTTTAAAATATATTTTAGATAGTCGTTAACGTGAAACCGATATTATATGTTCACTTTTATATGATAACTGGTTCTACTTTAACCGCTTTTAAAAATGAACATATAATAGCGGTTCCACGTTAACCACTATCTAACCAATTATTTGAAAATATAATTTATAATCGATTAATTTTTTCAAATAATTAATTATAATCGATTAGTTTTTTAAATAATTGATTAGTTTTTCAAATAATAGATTATAATTGATTAATTTCTCAAATATATATTTAAAAATTATAAATAAAAATATATATTAAATTAAAATTAAAAAAAATTATTTATCAATTATATATTATAAAAATTATAATTATATAATTAAAAAAATCATATGTATAATTATAACTTTAAAAAAAATTATAAATATAAAATTAATGTTAAATAAATTATATATATTATATAAATTATAATTATATATAGATATATTACTTAAATTAAAAACTTTAAATTATATATATATATATATATATATTGCATAGAATAATAATTATCAACTTGAAAATAATATATATTTAATATATATATATATATATATTCTAAAATATAATTTATTTTAATTTCTATAATATATATAAATAAAAATAAGTTATATTTTGGAATATATATTTTATATTATAGTAATTAATATAAATTATATTTTAGAACATATATATATATATATAATTTTACATCAAAATATTATTTCTTCTCATATACATATAATTTTTTAGATTTTTATTATCCTCCTAATTTATTATTAATTTCTAAAAAAATTATAATATCAAATAAATAAAAAAATTAATATTATTTTACTACTTTTAACAATAAATCTAAATATATTATTAATTTTAGAAATATATAAATCTTTTTAAATACCTAATTTAAAACTATAAATATTAAATGAAATATTATAACATATTTATATATATATATATATATATATATATATATATATATATATACTTTAGTTAGTTTGTTTTTTAAACAAAATAAAAAGAAAACTATTTAGAATTCGATTAGTCGGAAAATCGAATTCTAAATTGTTTAAAAAAATTATAAAATACAATTACGTTTAGGTTTTGTATTTCGGAAAATTGAATTTTCAACTTAACAAAAAACTGTGTTATCTAGGTAAATAAAACTTACAAGTATGCTATTTGAGTAATTAAAAAACGAATACGTATTATTGTTGAAAAATTTTCACAAAGCATTGCTCATGAGAAAAGAATAATGCTTAGAAAATTAAGTACTTTGCATGATGTATTTCTCTTGTACTTAGAAAATATTATACAAATATTTTTTAATAATGTGCGTTTTTTATTTAATGAAAATTATAACAGTAGAATTAGTAATTTTGTTCATAAGATTATTCCTCTCTTTTAAAAAAAAATTATATTAATGTGTGATTCAGGTGTCATCTGTTGTGGATGAGGCTTGTTCTTTACCCCAGATAAATCAGGTAACCCCTCGTATTTGGACTTGTTTCTGGGTAAGATGCATTGGATGAGCACCAGAGAATAGAAAATTATATGAAAAATATTATATTAAGGTATTTTTATAATGTACCAATTATTTAACATACAGCTAAATCATTTTTATTAACATAATTTACTTCCATCAAAACCTAAATTACAGAAGTTACATAATATGAATATCTTTATGCATTGTAAATTTACACGATGACGTTTTAGGATTTCATTTTTATACTAGGGTCAAAATAAACTCCTACTTCCATCATCTCTACCAAAATTATGTTTTAGTTATTTTATAATTATTTCTTCTCTCATTGTTTTTTTCCACCAACACACTTTATAATTTTTACTCTTCCCCTCTTCTCAACTAATTAGAAAGAGAAAGAAAAACAACTTATCCCTTAAAATAACATCATGATGTCAGCTAAAAGAATAACAAGAGAATGTCAAGTTTGTTAGCCGCTGGCACAAAGTGGCAGTGGTGGGTCACAGAATTGGCTTCGCAACCCATACATAAGGGATTAAAAAAATAATAATTTATATAAACCCTAAACACCAATAAATACTTATATGTTGAAGACTTCTGGAATTTTCAACCAGATAAAAGGTTGGTGATGTGTGACGGAAAAAGCAGACCTACCATGGCCATTTATTTAACCACAGTTCCGTTGATTATGGGTTTAGGGCATCTCCAACTTGTCTCTTCGCATAAAAAATTGTAAAACACTCTCACATCATTTTTAAATAATTCAAATGGTGATTTTATTTTATTAATTTTTTTAATGAATTTTAAAAGAACTTTTTCTTTATTTTAATTAGTTGTTTTTATAAATTATTTGATAAAATAATTAAAAGCTTATCATAACATATAAAATTCTTTTAATAGAAAATTATTTCAACCAACCATTATTTCAGTGGATGGATCACATGACAAATAATTAATCATAATATTAGTTCTTTTCATTAAAATATATATATATATATATATATATTATAATTAGTTACAACTTACAATGATTTAATGAAAATTAGCATTCTTTTACTGGGACAAGATTAGTTATGTATCTTTAATTTTATAAATATTTTCAAAAAACAACTCTCTTATTATATATTAATACCTAATTAAGACTCCATCAAATAAAAATTGGGCAATACATCCTTCTATGATCGCATTGACTATATTGATTACATTGAGCTTCAATATTCTCGTTTCTCAACTTGAATCCAAATGTAATGATCATAATTATATACAGCTTCAATCGTTTCATCCATGTAATGAAATTTATCTCATTATTTATTCATGTAAAGGGTTGTCATACATTTATAACTGGTTGTTTTACATATTCACAACTGCTTTCAATAATATAGTAAGAAATATTTTTCATTCTCATTATTATCATTTTTATAATAATATTCTAAATTAACAAATCATTTTAACCAAGATTATCATGATCAATATTTTAAATAAATCGAAAAAGAGGTTCATAAAATTATAAATCTATACTATCATAATATTGATAAAAGATCTTACTTTCCATAAATATAATACATATAATCATATAATATTGACTAGTAAAATATACATGAAATACTTTAAAAAGTATCATTAAAAATAAAATATAATGAATGTAATTAAATTTAATAAATTAAATTAGTATATATTAATTTTTATATTATTAGTTAATAATAAATTAGTATAATTGGTGATAATATAAAAAATTATACTAATAATAGTTATTAGGTTGGAGTGTTGAGGGTAAAGGGTTAGGATTTTTGAGAGATATGAAATGGCGTTGATGAATATTATCGCACATTGTTAGGAGCCATTTGGGAATAGTGACGCCCAAAAAAAAAAAAAATGCAAGGATGGTTACTAACTCATCAACCTAATACTCAATCGAGTCGAAAATAAGGTTTTAAAAATATTACTTACAAGTTAGAATAAATTAATGAAATGCAAATTTTCATGTATGCCAGTGATAAGTAGAAGGTGCCAAAATAAAGGCTATATTTATCTAGCAACCTACAAAGTGTGTCTTGTCCCCAAGCATAGAAGAAATATGAATGAATACAAGAATAGTCTCCAAAATATGTTGCGTGATAGAGGTAAATCTAATTGAGAAAATTCTCAACCACAACCTTTATTCCACAAATGTGGAACCGCAAGATGAGAGTCAGAAATATGGACATAGAGAGCCTCTTGACAAAGAGGATACAAACCCAACAAATTACCAAACAATCAATTCTCCCGTTCCCAAACTCCCTAACTTGAAGCTCCTTAACAGCTTTAAATGCAATATACTTCACGCTTACATGGCAACTTTACCATTGAAAAGTGATAAAAATAGTGTAGGTATGTCCTACTATTTGTATTAACATTTTTATTTTAAAACTCAAAGGTGGAAGCAGTGAAAGTGAATGTAAAAAAAAAAATCACAGAATTTTTTTTTACAAATTATCTAATATATAAATTTTAGCCCACAAAAAATTAATTTTAATTTCACTTTTTATTTTTCTCTATTAAAAATACTTACAAAGAAATTCATCCAATCACACCCAAAATTTTAAACAACCAACGTAAAATTACTTGTATATAGAATTCTAGGCTTACAAACATCTTCATATATCTCTATAATTTACATGTGGGGGGTAATTAACCACACATCATCATCATAGTAGTAATATTAAAAGAATTCTCTATCGTATATCAAACTTTCAAACGTATTAGGAGTACCCATAAAAATTACCTGGCATTTTAAAAGAATATTTTCTAACTTAAAAATATCAAATGACTACTTTTGTGAACTTTGCTATAAAGAGGCCACTAGTTTGTGATGTTAAAGGGTCAAATCGCCATGTTTTTGGTATGCATCCACCCTTGCAAGGCCAATTTCTGGCAGCATCTATCTCTATCAGCTCTGAAGATTGAAATAAGAATGCAAAAACATAAGAGGAACGAATATCTCAAGAACATGCATGTTATGATAACTCAACTGCAAGACACGAAGCAAATAATAATACTGCTAAAAATTTAAAGTACGCTCACTCAACCCATTTTACAGGGTAAGACTATGTTTGGCTAGTACATATGCTCTTTGCATCCATTTTCAAGTTACTGACCATTACAAAAATGCTAGTATTTTATTGTTTTCTAATTTCAAGGGCTTGTATGATAAAAAATAAAAACAACATTTCATTTATTCATCATTTATTGTACCAACTTTAAGAAACTAGTATAGCATATAAACAATACAACATTCTTGTAATAATTAATATAAAAATGAAAATAGAACATATTTCTGAAATTCAGAGACATCCTTACTTAAACATACACTTTTGCAAGGTAACTGTGCCCCCCGAAATAAGAAAGAAAGATGTCACGAAAGGTCAAGTAGACAGAGTTGATAATTTTGTAAAACTGACAATTTCCCATCATGCAGGACTTTCTCCCACCACAAAAGAAGCATGATGGGTGAAAGAGGGTTAAAACAGGATAGAGGCACTATGTGTACGCACCTAAGAATGAGGAATTTCTACAAGTGAAGCACACAACATTATTTAACAAGAAACAAGCATAGTAGAAAAGCCAACCATATTACTAAAATGGATATGATTAGATGCAAAATGGATTACACGAAAAAACAAACATGGACCCAAGAAGTACTTGACGATACAAACATAATTTTCACACTGGAAATAAGTTGAAGTATTAGGATCTACCAGCAGTTCTACTTTCCTTCAAGAATTGTTCCACCACATCTTCATTCTGAGCAACAGTTAAGCTAATCAACAAGGTATTTGTCAGAATAAAATGAGAAGTGGTATTGCATTAAAAAAAGTCGAAGAAGATACAAAGTAAAGGTACCTGCAAGTGCTGTAGACAAGGGATCCTCCGACTTTTAGCAGTCTGAAACCATTGGTGAGAAGATTAAGCTGCAGTCAGATACAAAAGCTATGTGTGTTAAACTAAGGTGTCATCTAAAGACTAAAGGCATGCATGCCATGAATTATGCCAAAAACGGAAATAGAAACAATCTCCAATATCTTGTTCAGATACTTTTGGGTTAAATATGGCCAAAACATTTAACTACGTGAATATGAAACTGAAAGCATACTAGTATACTATCACATTACTGAAAATGAGACATGTCATATTTACAAGTACCGACTTAAAATCCATACACTCTTGTTATAATGCTTTGACGGATTGGTGCTCATATAGTCCTGGTCCTAGACATAAAATGTTTATAGAGTAATCTCATAAGATCATAATTGGTAGGCCTTCAAAATGAAGGCTTCCCTCCTATTTTATTAGTTATTGTGTAAGTAAACATTCCTTGTTATCTCTAATTCTCTACTATTTTCTGGGGATCTAAAGGTATCATTGAAGAGTTAGCCAGTTTAATCATCTCAATCACCCAAACGTATCTGCAACAATATAGTTATATAACCTCAATTAACACTTGAGCACTGAGATTTTCAAATATGTTTTAGGCATTACACATTGTTGAGCATATTCCAAAGAGTGCCTCAGTTCATTATTGGTATGTCATTACCCCTTAGATGACTTTCTATCATACAAAGCTCAGTGCCTGGCACTAACACAATAAATAATCCTGAACTATCTCATCAATACCCAATCTGTTTTACTTCTTAGATGGAGTTGGTCTTATAATGTGAGAGAGAGACAAAGAAATGATGATTATTCCAGCAAACTGTTCTATGGTAGAGAATATGTATTAATGGCACAAGAGAAGAAAGGGTCATTTGCCTGAAGAGTATGTAAGTCATCAGTCCTCTCAGCATCTAATACACGGCGTTGAAGAGTTCTCCAGCCCCAATGTTCAAACTTTTGAATATGTTTAACTGAACCATCATGAGTGCACTCTGCATCCACAAGGACCTGCATCAAATCCCAACAAATAATAAAATATTGAGGGTTGGAGAAAGGAAAGAATTTTATGCAAGATAAATTCAAAGGAAGTATAAGTTACCTTGTCATAGCCATGGTTTGCAATCTCATTGTCAGATAAAGTCTTATATAATTCTCCTTTAGTAAGACCAACAACTCCAGAACGTTGTCCATAATAAATGAGTTCAGGAGACTGAGACCCAGAAACCAATTGTGGAGTACCATTTTTATTTGCTCTTTTCCTTTCTTTCCATGGTCTTCTAGATGTCCACTCCTTGAAAACATCCACTCTTTCTTCCAATCCAGAGTCAACTGTTTGATACTTGATAGAAAGAAAACATTTCAAAAACAGACAATACTGAATAATATATGTAATATTTAAATTTCCAGTATTGCATTCCAGGATGAACCATCTCTATAACTGCTCAAACTTCAATTACATGATTCACAATCAGAGTGAAATCTGCTAGGAATAACTGAAAATGCTGTTCCATCAGCAACAAAAAGCCGGCATTGATCACCAAGCAAATATTTCTGCAGCATCGTCCTGCATGCAGCCAAACGGTGCCTTGCAGCATCCACTCCAGTCACAGAGCCTGAATCACCAAGAAGGTCCAATATCATACAAAGTTTAGCACCTGAAAATAAAATTGTTACAAATACCGTTATGATCAATATTGAATCATTTCTCTAGGAAACTGATAAATTAAATTCAAAGCCTCCCTTTCAACAGAAAACAAAATCCTACAAAAGCAAAGGCAAAAGCACGTAAAAGCATCATTGAAATATAACCAATTATGCATTTTCTTCGCGAAATAAAGCAACCTTAATCTCAAAATCATGCATTTTGCAACAGTAGATGGACAGACAATACTCCCTTTAATCTCATAATAATAATAATAATAATAATAATAATAATAATAATAATAATAAAGAAAAACTCATGTTAATTAAGAAGGATAGCTAGCATCATTTAATTGTATCAATCTCATTTAAAAACTAATAATTTTACCTACATCACAATTCCTTGGAACTTGATATCAAGAACAAAAGAGAGTCATTGGCAACAAAACCTCCATTGAATGAAGAGCAGTTAGGGAATAGTAAAAACATTTAAAATTTGCTTTTATTTGAGACCAACAAGCAAGAATTGATTTACTTTTTTGCCTACATTTGAGACTCATAAGCATAAGCGAGTAAGGAAAGAAACATCTACCAGGGGCAGCACACAGGTCGAGGACATGATCCCCAGGTGACACATGTAAAGCCGTAACCGCAGCTCCAGAAGCAGCATCAATTCCATATATCTGACTCATAGAAAATCCAACAACAGCCAAGTTTTAAACAAAAAATTCAAATTCTGACCTTAAAATTTACTTGGCTATTGTACGAAGAGCCAAACTAAGATTTCTTGATCAGTTACCTTCCCTTCTCGATATGCCCTAGAGCCAGCAATTTGAACGTGCGGTGGAAGAGAGTAAAAGTCAGGTAACCACTCCAATTTTTGGAGGTTGCATTTGACCTCTGCTTCAACCTCTTCAATACATGCTTCACTACCGGGTTTCAACCTTCGAAGGCACAATATCAACAAAAGAAGTGTGAAATTGAAAGGGAAGAATGAGTGAAGGAGGTGGAGAAAGCGTGGAATTGGAAATACCGAATGTATCTTGGGGTGGAATCGATTGCAGTGTAAAGGGAAGGATCGAGCCCATTGGCCTCCAGGAAGTGGAGGAAAGCCTCTGGCAGTGACGCCTTTGCAGCGTTTTCTTCTTCCATCATAAGCTCGATTCTGGTTCCGCCGGGAGAAGAATTTTGTCCGTGTAAGTAAAAATATTTTGGTGGATTGGGTTAACAAGCCATACTCATAAAATTAAATTAACTTTTTATCAATTTAGCAGCTAAATAACTTTTTATTCTTTTTCATTTCATATTTTTTTTACCTTTTAAATTTGTCTTTTATCAGTTTAAGTGCTAATTTTTAAATAAATTAATATTATTGACAATTAATGTAATTATGTTGATTGATAAGATGTTGATATGTGAATATCATATAATTGATTATTAATTTTTTTATATTTATATAATATCATATAAGTAAAATTGAAAAAAAAAACTATTTAATCTTCTTATGTTATTTTATTGTGTTGAAAAAATAATTAGATACTATCTTTTTTTACTTTTTTATGTTTTAATAATTCTACATTTATCTTTTGTATTTTTAAGTTTTTGTTTTGATAATTTAAATTTAAAAAAGCAAATCAATTTCAAAGTTTACAATGTTTAATATTTTATATTTAAATATATCAATGTTAACATAACGATGGTTTAAATTTATTAAATTAATTATATTATTATAAAGTAACTAATTAAAATATTTAATGATTTTTAATTGTCGTTATAATAATTTTAATTTATAAACAAAATTCAATATGATAAACTTGCAGAGTTAATCCACTAGTTTTTTAATATATATATATATATATATATATATATATATTAAAATTAAAAAAATAATTTAAAGTAATATATTCTTTTGTTTTATTAATTAAATATATATATAGAGAGAGAATTTTTAATTTATTTAATTAATACAAAATATTTAGTATTGTCTGTTTTATTTTTTTATATTGTTATTTTTTTTATCATATCATTTGTTTGATTTTAATTATAGGTAGATTATTTGTATGGTTTTTTTTTATTTTTAATGATTATTTTCTCATTAATCTTATAGTATATTAAGACTAAATTATATTAATAAATTTAAGATAGATGAGGTAAATAATAATAATTTTATTTTTATTTTTTGTATGTTAGTTCTTTTGTTGGTCTCCTTAATGCAAGCAACATTCAAATTGACATCTCCTTGTACTATAATATAGTGTTTGGATCTAATCATTTGATTCAAAATCAACATTTTTCCACTCACAATACTTATGTATGGAGGTTAGAGAATACAAGAATGAGTTTCTAGATATATCATGATATAATTAATAGGACAATATTGCAAAAAGAGTTATTATGACAGTTAATTTTGAATTTTTGTGTCATATAAAGTTTATACTTTTGATATCGGTTCAAATTTAATTGACTTATTAAGTAATATTTTTAATGTCAATTATAAGTTTAACGACATAAAAAGTAAATTTTCATGGATTTTTTTTCCAATATTTAGATTACATTAATTTCACACTTATTTATTATCACATCTCTTTTTGTTCTACCACCACGTCCACTTGTTCCAAAGTCACATACGCTTGTTTCATCTTTGCATCTACTTAGTCCACCATCGCATCCTCTTGTTTCGTTGCAAATATCAATAAATCCTTTATCACCACGGGCATAAACACCAAACTTTTCACAACTTTAACAAAAAAACCTAACCAAACAAAAATCAAACAACTATTAATGAAGTATGATGAGAAAAAACACGAAAAAAATTATACCACAACAAAGACGAATTAGGGACAAAATGATGGAGACAAATAATGAACACCAAAGGTGAGAAATCCAAAATAAGGAAGAATAAGAATAGTGAAGACAAACAGTGAAGGTGTGCAAGGAGAAAGCGAAATGGGAGACAAGAAGAATAAAAATTGCGAAGACACTGTATAAAGAGAGAGTGAAATAGAAAGAAGAAGTGAACATGAAAAGAATTATATTCAAAACACTTATCAACATAAAAAAATACTTATTGGTTAAAAATTAAATCAACATAATAAATATTTACTATGTCGATTAAAAGTTAAATTGATACAGTAAGCATTTTCATACCTACGAAATGACAATCACATACTTATTATGATGGATGAATTATAACCATTATAGTAATTTGTTATTAAATGTGACTTTTGCATTAATGATAGACGCAATCACATATTTTCCCATTATGCAATACTATTTCTTTTATTATCAAACACAAGTAGAAGAAGTAATAAAAGGTTACTCCATCAACTTTAATGTACCATGATTACTCTTTCATATAAAGTTCCAACAAATTTTTAATACCCATACGAAAGCCTCAATTTCGAATCCCAAGTATATACCAACTACAATCTCAAATAGAAAATATGCATGAGACAAATTTTGATCATCATAATGATTTACGTTTTGATACGGAGAACATGTCATATGAGGCAAATATATTTTTCATGGTCTATATTGTATTTTCTTATGCATCTATATTATTTATGAGGTCTAACATACTAAAAACTTAGTGACTATGAAAAAAGGTACTTTCTTAACTCTTTGAAATTGGATAATAGGAACTTCTTGCATTATGTGAATAGATTGGGTACGATGTCAGAGCTTTATTACAGGAAATGATTGCATATTAAATGAACACAATATTTACCTGATAACTTGGATGAGAAGCTTTGGAGGAGCAGGAAACTAATATTTACATAATATGTCAATTATAAATTTTAGTAACATGCATAACTATATTAACATTTATCGTTCTCTTATTAATTATAATATTTATGCATAATTTTACATGATGAATGTAAGAATAAAGAAGAAATTAAGATTCTTCAATACAAGTGGCGGATCTTGACCATTGATCTTGGGGGACAAATAATATATTATTAATAAATAATAAATAAATATAAAAGGAAGAAAGAAGATAAAAGGGTGAAAAGATAAAATTGTAGATATATACTTAATTATATTAAATGATATTAAGTTTGATGGGAACAAAATCATAAATTATATGAGAGTTACAAAACTGAGGAGAGAGTGAGAGGATAAAATTGTAAATATACACGTAAATATATTAAATATTCATTAAATTTAGGGGGTTAAAATCATAAATTACATAAGAGTTAAATTGTATACAAAATTATTGTAAGAGGAAAATGTTGTCCCATTTGCAAATCAAGAACTTTACCTTTCAGATAATATTAAGTTGAATTTCTAATTTGGGTTTTAAGATGATTGATCAATTATTGATTTTTCTTTGTTTTTTAACTTGAAAACTTTATTGCTTTGATGTATTGATTGGTTATAAACACATATGATATGCTTTGATTAAATTATCTTATATGATTTATTTAATCTTAATGAAACTTCATTGAGTTACTTGTATTTTTTGGATTAACTTTGGCATTAAGATAGATTCACTACCTTAAAAATATTTGTGTGACTAATTATTGTTGTTGTTTTTTATTGGTTTTTGTGAAATACTAAAATTATTTTTATTATATTTAGTACTTTAAAAATTATTTCTTTAAAAGATAGAAATATGAATAAAAAGTACTTAAAAATATTTAGCTACTATATTTATTTTAGGAAATTTATTATTTTTACATATAATTATCGAATTTATTTATTTGTTGGCTGTAGAACATTTATTAAGTTATATAAATTTTCAAATCTTAACTTTAGAAAATTATATTATTGTTATTTTTTACATTGGATAATTTTATTTCACATAATAATATTTTATAGATAGATATATAAACAAATTCTTGAACATGAATATTTTTTTTTACTATGAATTTACTTTCTCATTTTCTTAAAAGGTTCAATTTTTTTCATTTAATTAATATTTTTTGATTTTTTAGTTTTTAATAATTTTTTTATTTAGAAAACTAGAAAGAGTAGACTATAATTTGATTTTTAGATTATCGTGTATAATATAAGAGAGAAATAAATTGACGAAGAAGTTAAGTAATAACAATAATAATAATAATAAAATCAATAATAAAGTTTGAATAGTAAGAGATCTAATTAATTCCTTTTAAATGTTAAATCTCAAACAATTTTTTTATGTTTTGTCAAAAGTATTTTAAATATTTAAATCTTATCTATATTTCAAATATTGATTTAATTTTGAATGTTTCTTCTTTAATTTTTTTTTCAAATAATAACTATTTTATTTTGAGTAATACTTTTTTTCAACACTTGTATTTAAAAAATATTGTCTTAAAGGATAACGTTACATTATATTTGATGTCAACAATAGTGGATGAATTAAAATAAATTTTAATTACAAATATGATAATAAACAAAATAAATTTTTGTTACGATATCAACATTTTATATATCATACTCCATTAAAGTATTTAAAAATAATTTCATATTTATTTTAAATCATGATTTTTTTTATTATGATGTTTATGAACATACAAAATTTTATAATATCAACCTAATTAATTTCTATATTTTAAGAATTTTATCTGGTGTTACAATGGACACTTCAAAATATTCAATTAATTTCAAAAACCAATCATTTTTAAATTACTTATAATATCAACATAATTAATTCCAATATTTTAAGAATTTTATTTGGTGTTACAATGGACTAAGGAGTGACCTAGTTTACTTATTTGAAAACTTGAATCATATTTAATTAAGTAGTTTAAGTGAATTATTGTAGTTTTTCCAATGTAGTGTTTGTGAGTGAATAAATAAATAAACAAAATTGAGTGAAACAATTTACTCTGAAAGAGACGTGTGGAAAGTAATACGGATTTAAGACCTTAAATAGACAATTTATTTTTTTTACTCATAAATAAATTTATCATACAATAATAATAAATGAGTTTAAATATATAAAATTAGAGGATAAAATAATTTTTTAAAATATTTAATAATAATTTAACAATATTATACACATATCGGGAAATGGAATCCAACACACACTCAACCAATCTGACGCGTCACGCAATTCTATCGCTTTTCTGTCCTTTAAGATACTCAATTCTATCGCTTTCACTCAACAACTGTTCAAGCTTCTTCTTTTTTGACAATTTTTTTGGAATTTGTTGAATCATGAAACCATTGTTGGTCCAAATACATAACACAATAACCACCACAAAACTCTCCCTCCATTTTGCATTTTCCTTCCTTATCCTCTCTCTCTATATATATTCATCTATATTCTCCTTCATTTTAGGTAAATAGAGTCAAACATTCATCCACAATCAATTCAACCTAAATCCAAAACCACTTCTCCTCATGGGTTCTATTGGAATTGAAAGGTTTGTTTTGTGGATTACTATTCTCTTAAACACTTGCCTTAACTAATTATATTTATTTTCTACATAACAAATATCCATCCTCCAATATTTACATATGTACAATAACTTGCAATTATTCATAAAACAAAATTTACAATATAATTTCTTCTTCTCTCCTTCCATTGTTCTCATTTTCTTTCTTATTATGCAAGAATGGGTATTTTTCATTTTTAATGATTTTTTATTTATCATGTGAGGATAAGCTTCATCATCATCATCATCATCATCTGTGTTTGTGTGTGTGGCTGTCTTTATTCCCCTGTGGGTCTTCTTGTTTTCGTGTTCTGTAGGTCGGGATCCGAGGTTGTCACCATTGATGTTCATGCAGCCAAGGGTTTGATCCAGACCAGTCATGTTTATCTCGATGTCAGGTGATTAACAGTTTTTATGTTGGTTGAAATCAATTACTGAAATTAATCAATTGGTTGAATTTCTGGGTTTATGCTTAATGGTGTTAATCTTTTCGAAAGAGCCTTAATCTTTTGGTAATTAATAGGACGGTGGAAGAGTTTCAGAAAGGGCATGTGGATGCTGCGAAGGTCATTAACATTCCCTACATGTTTAATACACCAGAAGGTAAAGAACTTGTCATTGCTGTAGCAATAACTTCGTACCATTCTTTTTGGGATATGAATGTTCTTTGTTTCATGCTTGATACATAGCTAGAGTTAGTTTGATTTTCATTAAAACGTTATATGAACAAATTTGGTTTCAATTAACATTTGATTAATTTTTATTTACTTTTTTTATCGATTCAACTGTCAACATATCTGATATTTATTAAACTGGTTAATTAAGCTGGTTATTGCAAATGAAATTCTGTTATCAGAATGTAAAATCTTGTGATTTTGGAGAACAGGTAGAGTGAAAAACCCAGAGTTTCTGAAGGAGGTTTCATCAGCTTGCAAGAAAGAAGATCACATCATTGTGGTAATTTTTTACTTAATAAAAGATTGAGTTTATTATCTTTTTCATGCTTGAACTCTTCTTATATCTACTTTTACTTCCAAATTTAAACTTTGATTGCTCAAAGATTCTGAACTTATTTTCATTTTATCACTTTAAATAATACCTGCTGCTGCGTAAATTTTTAAGTAAACTATATCTTTAGTTTATTATTAACTAGTTTGAATAAACAATTCAGAGAGTTGTTCTGTCTGACTATTTTAATAACATGACAATTATACTAGTTTATGTTAATGTCACTGTTATGTTATCAAATAACCAATATGATTACTCAAAAGTATTTATAAGAAAAGTTTACTCAAAGTATTTATAACAAAACTTTCTTAGACTTTTGTTCCACTTTAAATAGGTTTTTACATTACATTATGTTTAAATATTTTTTATAAATGGTAAACGATGAGATATTATAAAAAGTATAATGTTACAGTTAAATATTTGAATAAATTTTTTTTTAAATTGATGCTCCAAAAATATAATAATTGATTTTAAAAAAGGATTTTTATTTTTTTTAATTTGAATACTCCCACTATGATAACTTAGTATAATTCAATGAAAGTTTGTAAAAAAATTCGATCTTAAATTTAATACTTTTATAATGGAGGTCTATATTAGAGATGCTTTAACATCAAAGTTAAAAAATAATAGTAGAAAATTGTTCAGATATTTTAACTAATCTAAAACCAAAAAATCTAATACGGTTTATATAAGGAGGATAATAAAATAAATCTTAAAAAATTCATTTTGAGAGAAAAAAAAAAACTATGTCTTATACCTTTTCTTGATTGCTAGTTATTAAAGCTAAAATTCTTAATTTATTTTTGGTATGAAATGAATCTGGATTATAGGGTTGTCAAAGTGGAGTGAGATCTGTGTATGCTACTACTGATCTTCTGACAGAAGTAAGTATGAGGACATGCAATCGGTTCATTCTTTTTTCCTTCAGTTTGCTTTGTGTTTGTGCTAACCAATTGATGACACTGTAACATGATTTGACAGGGGTTTAAGGATGTGAGTAACATGGGAGGAGGATATCTTGCCTGGGTTAAAAATGAATTTGCAGTGAAAACACTTTTGGACTTGGTTAAAGATGAAGTTCCAGTGAAAGCACCAGTGGACTTGGTTAAAGATGAAGTTGCAGTAAAAGCACCCTAATTCAGCAAAATTAAAAATGGCCTCTTGAACTTGATGCTTTTGAATGCTTCACAACACCAACACAAGGACATATGTTATTTATCTTCGGTATTTACTACTCTCAGTTTGTTCCTTGAGGCAACCAAGGAACACAATGTAACATTGTATCTGCATAAATGAAGGAATGCACAAGGTTTTCTGGTTAAGGTCATTCAGAATCTTGTTCAATTTTTTCTCATTATTTTTTTTATTTCATATATGTGAAATCGAGTTATCTAGTATTATAATATATATGAGATATCCATTCTGATATACAAAAATTCACATGACAAAAAAAATAATATTTGAATCTTATTAATATTTTAAATATTGATTTAATTTTGATTGTTTATTTTGTTTTTTCTTTTATTTTGTTCATACATCAACTATTTTATTTTATTTTGTGTGATAATTTTTGGTACACCATTTATGTTCTTGAGAACATCCGAACAAAATAAACAATCGATTATTGTATTAATGAAGAACTTGTATTATTTAGATTTGATGTTAAAAATATTTAATCAGTTAAAATAAATTTTAATGGTGGATAAAGCATAATAATAAACAAAATAAAATTTTGTCGTGATATTGATACCTTTATCATACCTTAGTTGAATATTTAAAAAATATTTCATAGTTTATTTAAAAAATACGATCATTCTAATTTTGAATTAATTTGTAAAATGACATAAAATCAACCATATTACATATATATTCATCCTATAATGAAAATTACACTCCTTGTTATTATAAACCACCTCCTTATGAACCTAACTACCCTCCATATCACTATAAAAACCTCCACCTCCATATGAATACATATGCCATGCATATCAATACAAATCTCCTCCACCACCATCTTATTATAAACATAAATAATGAATACAAATATCCACAGTCTCCTATGTTTAGGAATCACTTCCACCGCCTGTTTACGAATCTCCGCATATCTACAAGTCATTTTCACAAATTAATCAACTAAGCATAATCATTTTTTTTAATTTTGTTTTCAATTAAAATTGAATAATTAATAAAAACCAATTGGATAAAAACATATGATACTCATCTTTAGAGAAAAAAAACTCCCTAGTCATTTTCAAATTATGAAGTAGCAAATAGGAGAGAATGACATCGTCTTGAGTTAATTAACAAGTTGACGCCGAACGAGTTCAATTCTGATTCACAATTATTTAAAAAATGAGTGGAAAAAGTACGAGAACATTATGAAATGCGAGGGTCGGAGAGAAAAAATAAGACAAGAGTGGGAAATTATTGCAATTCAAACAACAACTTCTACAAGAACATGTTCACGAACAATTCATGCGATAGTGTTGATTAGGTAGAGAAACCTCTCAATTTTTATTTATTTTATATTTTAATAATTTTTTACAATTATAATTATTTTAATAAAAAAATATTTTATTATTTTTCTACGAAAAATAATTAAAAAAATTTGCAAAAAATATTATTTTTAATTTTTACTGTCATTTTTTAAAATATTATTAAATATTCTTTTACGAATTTTATTATAAAAAATGGTAGGAAGTAATTTTCATTTTTATCAAATATTTTATAAATATATATTTGTGAAAAAATTTATAATTATATGATAATTGAAGAAAATTTTGCAAAAAATTCTTACCATTAATTTTAAAAAAATCTAACATATTTTATGAAAAAAATATTTACAGATAAATTTGTAATAACTTTTTATGAAATATATTTAAAAAAATTGTAACTATTTTTATCAATTTTTTTAAGGAAAAATCACATGAATTTAACAAATTTTTAATAGTGAGAGTTGATGAATAATTAACATTTATAAAAATTAATATTAATATAATAATATTAATTATTATTTAATTAGTATAAATGGTAGGAGAAAGATGTTTAGATTCTCTCCTTAAATAATATTACAGTATAAATAAATAATCTTTCTTGCATTCATATTTTATTTATTTAGCTGAAAATTTATCTCTTAAATAATAATTTTAGAGTTTTTAAATGTAATTCCAATTACACTTTTGTAGTTTGTCTGATTATTTACTTAAATTAAATATTTTTTTATTTGTGTCTTTTATTTTATTTTACACACATTTATGTCTTATATTACATATGATTTTTCCAATCATACAAATAAGTCTATTTTTATCATATCATTTTATTAAATACTTATGTCTTAAGAAGCTAATTTTATCATATATATCTTATTATACAAATAATTAACCTTGGATTTAATGTTTTTTTTTCCCTTGCAAGAGGTTGATATATAGCACAGTTACGTGGCTATCGAATATTGTTTGGAAAGAAGAGAGGGTTATATTGCAGACAGAGAGCAACCTCTTCAGCAAGTAAACCCGAGTTCCATTCTCTTTTTCACGATACATTGCTCCCTCTCTCTTGTTCTTTCTGCTCAAATTCCAATTTAGTTTCTGAATCTCCAACGATGGTGCTCGAGGTAAACCCTTTTTCTCCTTCGTCTTAGTTTCAACCGTGCCATTACAATCACTATAATCCAATCAATTAGGGTTTCTTCGTCCGATCATTTTTTTATTACTAATTACGATTCTTTTTCTGTGCGCGGAAAAATAGGCTACGATGATCTGTATTGACAATTCGGAATGGATGCGTAACGGAGATTACGCTCCTTCTCGATTTCAAGCCCAAGCAGACGCTGTCAATCTTATTTGCGGTGCTAAAACCCAGGTGTGAACTCAAACCCTCTCTGATGTTGCTTAACACTCCTATTATCTGTTACTTCTATTCTTAGTAGAAAAATAACATTTGTCAAATATTGTCGTGTTTCAGAGTAGGATTTTAAGAATTAGTTTCAGGTTTAGGAAATTGCTATAGGGTTCAATTTGTGCTGATTTTTTTGTCTTTTGATAATGTAGTCTAATCCAGAAAATACGGTGGGAGTTCTGACGATGGCAGGGAAGGGCGTTCGTGTCTTGGTCACCCCTACCAGTGATTTGGGCAAGATCTTAGCTTGCATGCACGGTCTGTGTTTTGTTTCTTGAAATATTTGGAACAAGTGGCATTTGAATTTGGCTTGTTATAGAATGGTGTGCGTAATTTCTGTGTTATAGGATGCCTGTTATTGCAACTGATGTTTCATGGAAATTATTTCTGAAAATATTGAACAAATGCAACAAATTCGCTCTGACATGTTCTTTTATGATTTGATTCTTCTGTTCATGTAAGATTTGATGTTTTCCCTGTTTTTCATTCCCCCCTTTAGGACTAGAAATAGGTGGTGAGATGAACCTAGCTGCTGGTATTCAGGTGGCACAATTGGCTCTTAAGCATAGGCAGAACAAGAAGCAGCAGCAAAGGATTATTGTCTTTGCTGGAAGGTGTGGTTAATTGTTTCTTCTGTGTTTTTTTAAATTGTTTTGTGTGTTGTCCCTATATTCTCTCTCTCTAATTATCTTATTTAATACTTTTTAGTCCTGTTAAGCATGAGAAGAAAATGTTGGAGATGATTGGTAGAAAATTGAAAAAGAATAGTGTAGCACTTGACATTGTCAATTTTGGCGATGAAGAAGATGAAGGAAAGAATGAGAAGTTGGAAGCGCTCCTTTCAGCTGTCAACAATAATGATACTAGCCACATTGTTCATGTTCCATCTGGTCCGAATGCTCTTTCTGATGTACTAATAAGGTTAGTGGGTTTAGGGGTCCCTTTTATTGCAACTGATGTTTCATGGAACATATTTTTGAAAATATTTAACAGAATGCAACAAATTTGTTCTGGCATGTTATTTTATGATTTGATTCTTCTGTTCATGTTAAGAGTTGGTGTTTTCCCTGTTTTTCATGGCTTGCTTTAGGACTAGAAATAGGTGGTTTATTTCTTTAATTTCCTTTTCACTCAGCTCAGCATTCCCATTTGAACTTAATTCCCAGTTAAGTAACGGAGAAGTTATTGATTTAAGTACCCCTACTACTTCTATTCAGTTCTGCCCATTTTTCTTTTAGCTCTAATGTGGTAGTTTGGATTATGGGCTTTTGTGCATTTTGTTTTAACTCTAATTTCTCTCAACATTGGACTTTTGTGGCAGTACTCCTATTTTTACTGGTGATGGCGAAGGTGGAAGTGGTTTTGCAGCAGCAGCTGCTGCTGCTGCAGCAGGTGGTGTATCTGGATTTGAATTTGGGGTTGATCCAAACTTGGACCCTGAGCTGGCTCTTGCTCTAAGAGTTTCAATGGAAGAAGAGAGAGCCAGACAGGAAGCAGCTGCCAAAAAGGCAGCAGAGGATGCTTCCAAACAGGAGAAAGGTGGTGAACAGAAGGATAGCACACAGGATACAACAATGACTGAGGGTGCCAGTGCATCAGCTTCTGAAGCTGAGACTAAGAAAACTGATTTGACGGTTGGTGTAATTTGTTATTTTAGCAATATTTGTTACTTGTTTTTTCATTTGCTTATTTGAATTATAAAAAAACAATTATCTAAGTTCATTTAAATAGTTTGTAGGACTATCTGTTATAAATATTTTGTAAAATAGTTTATTTTTTAATTACCAGCATTTACATGGTTTGAATCTTTCAAAGGTTGATATTAGAGCTAAACTAACCCTAGTTTTCTTCTGGATCACTTGCTTATGAAGTCCGGGGAGCTAGTTGCTAATCGAGATTCTAAAAGCACCCCTTTGCTTGTCATTTATCCTTTTCCAATTTACTGTTATCCAGTTCTAGTAACTTCAGTATGACTGTTGCTGGGGCCTACATGTTTACTCAAGTGATTTAATCAGAGAACTTGTTTTGGCATCTCACAATGTATCACAATTGTGGCCACTTTTACCACCATCAGTGCTATCTTGTTTTCCCTTTAGCGTGCTTTCCACTGGCTCATTGGCAACATATTCTTTCTACGCATGTTTTTTTTAGTTTATAAGCTAATGCAGATAAAATGACTTTCTGATGGATTTTATCATTACATTCTAAACATTATGAGTACACAGTCAGTTTGGTAACTTGTTTCTAGCAACATGTTACTTTTCTAATTGCAGTTCAACTTGATTGGCAACAAATCTATTTAGCGATCTGGTTGATGTTCTTGTCCCCCTTCCCATAATAAATTGCTTCTGCTTGCTTTGTTTTGGATAATTTCTCTTGTTTCACATTCATTATTCCCATAAATGAGTGTCAGGAAATATTATGTGATCTGTTTGAGCTGATTTTCAATTTTAAACAGGACGATGAGAATGCTCTACTACAGCAGGCTCTTGCAATGTCAATGGACGATCCTGCAATTAGCCATGATGTCAGAGATACAGATATGTCTGAAGCAACTGCTGATGATCCTGAGTTGGCTCTAGGTGAGTTTTCATGCGTAATCGTTCTGTGTTTAAACTTGGTGCATGTTTTCTCATTTTGTTGGTTGATGATTGATCTGGTTCTGGTATTGGGAATAAACGTTTGAGGGTCTGGCTATTTTTTCTCCTTCGGTTTTTAAGGTATCAGTGATTTGGTTTTGTTTAATCACGTATAATCACGTTCTCTTTTTAATGTCAACTTGTTCTGGCTCATAAAATCAATTTGCATCTAATAGAATTTACAGGAAAGCTTTTAGTAGTTGTCCTGATCAGATCAAATTCTTGTCTTATATTATAGCTCTCCAATTGTCAGTTGAAGATAGCTCAAAGGACTCATCAAGTCAGTCTGACGTGAGTAAATTGTTGGCAGACCAGTCTTTTGTATCTTCTATCCTTGCATCGGTATGTCTATAAATCCTAAAACTTTTCTTTAAATACTTGTTTGGTTTGGCTGGCATCATTCAAAACTGGGCTTGCAATCATTGAAGCTAATATATATGAAAGCTTCCACGTCTTATTAACTGATAAGATGCAAATGATGTGTGGAAGCAACACAGAAACGGACATACTATAAATGTATTATTAGAATGATTTGCTTCTGCGCTAATAATATTTCATTGCTTCTGCAGCTTCCCGGGGTTGACCCAAATGACCCATCGGTCAAAGAATTACTGGCTTCTATGCAAAATCAGTCCGAGGTAGTTTTTTTTTCTTTTTAATGAAAAATAGTCTGAGTATTCTCCATACTAACTTTGGTTGGAAAATTTATACATGTTTAACGGAAAATTGGTCATTACAACGGATCAATAGTTGTTTGTTCGATACCATCTGTTTTTCCCGGGAATCATTTAGATGAAGAGAGGGTGTAACTGGTTAAAAAATGGCGCTTAAAGTACAACAGTTTCCACTAAATGGTGTGCATGTGGAAATATAATCTCTATACAAATTATATATGAACACCTTTATGCTCAGTACTGCACATAACTAATTTTAAAATTCAAACAGTTTTGGTACATTCCTACACTAATAACAATTTATTGATTGTTCTGCCAAACAGCCTCAACAGAAGAATGAAGACAAGGCACCAAATGAAGAGGAGAAAAAGTAATATTGATTGAGAGTCTCTTTGTTGTTTTGTTTACGTTCCTTTGGTAGGCTCATACTAGCATATTGGGAAGTTATTTTACTTGGGGCGTTATTACCCTACTGATTGGAACGGGTGTACCTCTCGATATATAGTGCAGATAAAAGAATATTGTCAATGAGCGCATGGTTTTATTAAGAAATACTCTATCCTTTTAAAACATTATAGAATCGAGTACATGGTTTCATTTTCTTATTTGTATTCATTCTAGTTTAAAAGTTTATATTAACGCTAAAACGTGGTCATTTCCAAGTGCAATACGTAAATATAAACAAATTTATTATAAATGTTGACCAATTATCGACAGCGGAAAGGAGGATTTGGAAGCTGAATTTTATATTAAGTGACGGGTTATATAAATCAGAAGAATTCCCTGGGCAGAAGGGATTATATAAATCAGATGGATTCCCTTTAATGTACGCAGATCAATTTCGCACTAATTTAGTTAGACATTAAATAATCACTACGTTATCGGTGTTTGGTCAGTATATTTGATTATTATACGAGTTGGTTTCGCTTAGTTTTACGATAGACAAGGCATTGTGTTCTAAACAATTTCTGAGTTGGTCCCAGTGGAATTAGGTTTTATAATCCAATTCATCTGACCATTGAATCAGAGGTAGGACAAAACCTTTTTAGCAAATGCTACTTTTAACATACATGCAGGCGCTAAACATACTAAATAAAACGATAGTAAAGAAAATGGAGAAGAAAGAAATAACAATAGAATGCTTTTATGAATTTGAGAATAATTCTAAAAGAGCTATTTTTATCTAAATATTTATTCTTAATTGAATGGTTTCGATAATTTGAGAACATTCTTGAAATACTTTAAAAGTAATTTTATCTCTTAAACATACTTATGTGTAAAAATGTCCATAATTTCAATTTAAACGTAGCAATAATTATTATTTTAGATTATGAGATAAGAAATTATATCAACTTACCTAAAATTTATAACTCGATAAGATGGTTTAACTCTGAGTAGCGCAACTACTAGTTTGTGTAAGTAGCAGTAAACTTTTCAAATACTTCCAGTTGCTCAATCCCGGATCTTAAAGAAAAAAACAATGTAAGAATGTCTAGAACCGTGGAAAATTTCGGTCTCAAACATATTTGGATAGGGAATGCGTAAGAGAGGTGATGTCAAAATGAAGCTTGTGACAATGTTATGCGACACAATATGAAAATAAAATAAAACTCTCGTAAAGTTGTCAAATTCAAAATTTCAAACAAGTTTGCTAGGTAAGTTAAAAATGGTGGAAATTAATTAATTACCCCTATTCCAGTACCTAGTTTACAGGGCCGGCCTTCTTAGGCATGGACCAATCAATTCCCATTTTTAAACTTTATTTGCTGGGTCTATTCTAAGCTTTGGTTATATCCTTTTTCTTTAGTATTTATCGAATGCCATAATCCTCATACCAGCAAAGTTTTGGAGGCTGGAAATGGGAAGCACTTCAGCTCCAGAGGCTCTCTCTGCTTTTCTATTGCTTTGTTTCTATGGCACACTAGTTTGTGCCAAATACATAAAGTACGATACTGGGGCTGCTATTGTGCCAGGAAAATTGAATGTTCACCTGGTTCCACACTCCCATGATGATGTTGGTTGGCTCAAAACCGTTGATCAGTATTACGTTGGATCAAACAATACTATTCAGGTTACATTCATCTGTCTTCCTTTTGAGCTGACTTGTTGGACTCCCAAGTTTAACTTTCAGTTTTGTTCTGTGTCCGATGAAACAGGGGGCTTGTGTTGAGAATGTGCTGGACTCGGTGGTTGTGTCTCTTCAGAAAGACCCAAATAGAAAGTTTGTGTTTGCCGAAGTGGTAAAATGAAATATATCATAATCCATGTATGGCACCATGGATTATGTTTTCGTACATTTTCTTCAAACGGAAGATTCGTTCATTTCCTAATTTCTAAATGTCAGGCATTTTTCCATCGATGGTGGGAAGAACAAAGTCCAGCAACACAAGAACAAGTGCGAAAGCTTGTGGACGCGGGGCAGCTAGAATTCATGTACGTCCCACATTTTTTTTTTCATTCATCTTTCTATCTTTCCTTTTACTTTTTCTGTTTTAGTGTTTATTGACTTTTTCTTAATTTTGTTTAATTACTATTTTCAGTTTTATCTATACATTTTCTTCTATTAATGTTATTAATCAAATTTATGTAAAAATATATTATATCACATGTTTGTTTATTTATTTATTAACGTGATGTGTACGTAACATGTATATATATATCATATTAATATTATATTATTAGATAAGTTAACAATATTGATTAATGTATATTCATTTATTTAAAAATAAATAAATAAGAAAGCAAAATAAACTATTAAATCTCTTATCTTTATTAGCAATATCTTTAATTTTTTATTGTTTTCCCTATAGTGAGGTGGTACTTTTTATCCTCCTTTTGTTAGTGTTGGGTCAAAGATGTGTGTCTTTTAGTGGAAGAGAGATGGGGGAATCTTGTTTTAGTATGCAGTGTTTTGCAGACGTGTCAGTTTGTTTTGAGATGTTATTTGTCGGCAGAAACGGTGGTTGGTGCATGCACGATGAAGCGGCAACGCACTACATAGACATGATTGATCAAACGACTTTGGGCCATCGATTTTTAAAGGATGAGTTTAACAAGACTCCCACCGTTGGATGGCAGATTGATCCATTTGGACACTCTGCTGTGCAGGCTTACCTTCTCGGAGCTGAGGTAGGTCCATTACCCATGGGCCCAATTTTTACCACTTTTATTTTATTTTATTTCATTTCATTTCATTTTTTTTAATCATAAAAAGTGTCTTTCTTTTTAATTGATTCTATGTTTTAAAAAGGTCAATGATACATGAATATTTGTGTTTTTTTTAACACCTAGTTAACATTTATTTATTTATTTTGTTTTTTTTTTCTTATCACATTATTATACAATGGTATATGGTATATTGACAATCCTTCTGTAATATACTATCATCTTATAGCTCTTTTATAATAATATAATAATTAAAATACAATATAAAAAAAATTGTTATCATTATATATATAAAAGAGTTGTTAAATAATTGTATATATTAAAGAAAGATTATCAAAATATCGTTTTTTCTATCATAACAATTATAAAATTTATATTTTTTCCTCTTTTTAGGTATATTTGACATGTCTTTATGTGGGTGTACATGTATAATTTTTTCTTAAAAAAATGACATAATTATAATTTGTTATTCTAATTTTTGTTCTCAATGAGACTAAAAGAATTGAGTAGATAAAATGGGTACTTATAATAAGTCATAGGTAAAAGAAATTGAGTGAATGAGTTAATAAAACAAAAAAGTAATTAGATTTTGTTTTTATAATATGTATATAATGATTTTGTTTAATACTGAATGGTAGCCCGTGAGACGTTGGTTATTGTATGCTTGTCTAATAAACCTATTGTTTTGGATTTTAAAGAGAAAATGGTGACGACAAGGGGCTAAAAAAAGGACACTTTTGCTCCTACATGGAACAAATGTGAAGAGATACTTTTAGTTTGATCTCAAATAATCAGTTTTAATTTTGGCATTGCAGCTTGGGTTTGATTCTATACATTTCGCAAGGATTGATTATCAAGATAGAGCGAAGCGCAAAGCTGATAAGTCTCTTGAAGTTGTTTGGCGTGCCTCCAAAACATTTGGTTCTTCATCTCAGATTTTTGCCAATGCTTTCCCCGTTCATTATAGTGCTCCAAATGGTTTCAACTTTGAAGTCAATAATGTTGATGTTAATGTTGTCCCAGTGCAGGTTCTAGCCCTCAACAACTAAAAAATGATGCTATTTTGCATATTTGTTATGCACATGGCTTTTATATTTCACTTCACTTTCACATATGCAGGATGATCCTCGTCTTTTTGACTATAACGTTGAACAACGTGTCCAAGACTTTATTGGTGCTGCTATTACCCAAGTAATCTCATTCCATCCAAGAACTTTTTCATCAGAGTGGCAATTTCCTTAGTATGACTAATTAGTGTATAATTATAGTGGGAAAAGTCACAAATTTTGAATATGACTTTTGAAACTAAATGTGACGAGTTAGCTTTCTTATACCAGTTAGCTTTCTTCTCACTCAAATAAACAACAAGAATGTGCAAATTTAATTTGCTTGTGGTTAATTTAGGCTAATGTGACGAGGACAAACCATATAATGTGGACAATGGGTGATGATTTCCAGTACCAATATGCAGAGTCTTGGTTCAAGCAAATGGATAAATTAATTCACTATGTCAATGAGGTGATGAATTATAATACACCCCAGCTATTAATTTTTATGCATGTATTATTGATTGTTCATATCATGCTGAGTGCAAAACATGTTTCCCTGTGTTTTGAATCTTCAGGATGGTAGAGTAAATGCTTTGTATTCCACTCCATCAATTTACACCAAAGCCAAAAATGCTGCTAATCAAACTTGGCCACTGAAAACTGATGATTACTTCCCGTAAGGAGATGCTATTGTTTTGTTTGCAGAGTAGCTTATTATCTCAATCACTTGTGCACAAATTCATGATTATTGCATATATATAGGTATGCTGATCGTGCTAATGCTTATTGGACTGGCTATTTCACGAGTCGCCCAGCCTTAAAGCGATATGTTAGGATGATAAGTGGATACTATCTGGTATAATATTATTGTTGTTCTAAACAAAAATTGGATGGATTTTTTCTTGTTTGCTCGTTCTAAATAAATACAAGACATTGCTGAAATTTTGATGTAGGCAACGCGTCAACTTGAATTTTTCGTTGGAAAGCAATCAACTAAATACAATACTATTGGCCTTGGAGATGCTCTAGGAATTGCACAACACCATGATGCTGTCAGTGGTACTGCCAAACAGCATACAACCAATGACTATGCCAAACGACTGGCTATTGGAGTCTCTGAGGTCAGGAATTAAAACTTTTCCAATTTTTTCTAGAATTTTACTACATATTTTGTTTCCTGGATTCGTGTATCTAGTTGAATTTTCCAAAATCAATGATTTCTTATAGGCTGAAGCAGTTGTTAGTTCTTCCTTGGCTTGTCTTACTAGCAACCTATCAAGTGATCAATGTTCAGCACCTGCATCGGCATTTGCCCAGGTCAAGTTTCAATTTCAAATGAAAAGAGAATTTTTTTTTTCTATTTCCTATATTTATTACAGTTGTCCAAATGTCTTGCCAAAAAATGTTGTAGATAGTTCTGTCATTGATCTAGGCCTTCAGATACAGATATATCTATGAGACTTGTTTACCATCATATATTTATTTGTCTACTTAGATTATGTAGTCAGTCTCATATTCTTGATTATTTAATTATTTTTTTTTCATTACTGTTGGATCTTCTGGCAGTGTCAATTGTTAAATATCAGTTACTGCCCTCCTACTGAAGATAGCATTCCAGATGCTAAGAGTTTGGTAACATTTTCTTAATTTTTGACAAGGAATTCTGGTTAAATTTTATCCATCGTATGTTAATAATAATTATTTCCAGGTAGTTGTGGTGTATAACCCACTTGGATGGAAACGTACTGATATTGTCAAAATACCAGTGAGTACACATCATTTACTTGCAACATCATAATAGAAATCAATTTCGATATCGCTCTAAAGGTGACAATTTGCATTAGGTTAATGATGCTAATCTTGTCGTCAAAGATTCACTGGGCAATAATCTTGAAGTACAATATGTGGATGTAGATGATGTTACTACAAATTTAAGAAAATTATATGTGAAGGCCTATTTGGGGGTGTCACCAAAACAAGCCCCAAAGTACTGGCTTTTGTTTCAGGCGTCAGTACCTCCGCTTGGATGGAGCACGTACTTCATTTCTAAAGCAACCGGAAAAGGTATACTTCCACTTTTCCTCCACTTTTCTCCCATTTTCGATTTTATTTTCCCTTTTTACCACACTATTTTATCTTCTGAGCGTGGCTCATTAATAAGGATAGCTTTGGCCCTGATGATCTGTTCAAATGCATTTGGGAAAACATAAGTCATGTTTAGCTACTTGGAAAGTCATTACATTAGTTAGGAGAGAGGAAACGTGAAAAGGCAATTTTTTTTTGTGTTGGAGCAAGTCTTTGTTAGGCTTAATTTTAATGGAAACAATATCAGACTCTGTTGTAATGTATCTGTATTATATATTAACCATTTAAAATAATTTTTAATATATTTTTTAAGATAATTATCATAAAAGTTGACTAAATTACCATACATGAGATGCTGATAGTACAAAAAAACTTTAAGCTGTTGGTGCATTCTAATTAAATATACTAAATTTATACTTTTTTGTTGTTTCAACTTGAAAGGGACCAGAACAGAAGATATATCTCAACTCAGCAGTCAGAAGGGTGAGACCATTATCATTGGGCCTGGAAATTTAAAGATGTCCTTTTCCTCAACCTCTGGACAACTCAAAAGGATGTATAATTCCAGAACTGGAGTAAGTATTTGGCAAATTTCATACAGCACAGTAGTTTCCACTCAGTGAACTTCAAATTGTCTTATTCCATGACCATTTATTTTGGCACATAATGAGCATTTATTCAACAGAAGTTCCCAACTCATGACCATTTATTGTTAAGCTTCATTTTGTATACTGTTGAGTATATTGTTTCAGCGCATAGCAAGTATGTTCAAGGCACATTTTCTCACTTGTGTTTTAGTTTTATTGATTTCATGTCAAGACATATTTCTAAGGGAGTGATGGAGAGTATTTCATGACTTTCAAAATTTTCCAGGTTGATATACCTATTCAGCAAAGCTATCTCTGGTATGGATCTAGTGAGGGTGATAGTGATCCTCAGGTGTGGATTTCTTTGCACATACAATTCGTTCCAATAACAAATTAAATTAGTACAATGTATGCTTCAATGGTGTGATTTCTTCCATAGGCTTCTGGAGCATATATATTCCGGCCTAATGGATCCCCTCCAACTATCGTTTCAAGATCAGTAAGCTTCTTCTTGGAATCTAGTAACATGTGACATTAGTTTTACATAAGAATAGAGTTTCTCTAAAGTCTAAATGGACAACAAGACATTCACAAAAAGATATAACAAATTATCTTGGTTTGCTATTTTTCTAGCTATCTTACTATATGCCTTTCCATTTCCTTTTAAGCTTTTTACATTTCCAATGCTAAATTTATAGTCTATATATTTTAATTTTGATTTATTTGATGTATAGGTGCCCACCAAGATAATCCGTGGACCACTAGTTGATGAAGTTCATCAGAATTTTAGCTCTTGGATTTATCAGGTCAGTAACTTTGCAAATTTATTAGGTGTAGAATGCAGAAAGTATTTTTCATTCAGAGTCTTTTAAAGATTATGCTTTTTGTTTAACTTTCATTGTCTATCCCATATATTCTATGTTGTGATAAATTTATGATTTCAAGACACAAAGGTGGATGCTTTGTATAATTGTTTAGAGGAGGTGTCTTAGCTTCCTTCTTCAGGTAAGAACAATCTAATCTTTAATGGAGTGAATGCCTTCAAGGCTAGAAGGAAGGGAACCATATCACATTATCTGGGATCTTATTTGAGGACATTTAGCACTAATTTTAGACTATAAGTGTGTGACAATATTCAAAGCCTACACATTGCTGGGTATAATTCTTTGTTGTGAATGACCTTTTCTTACTATTTGTTTATTTACTTTTTAGGTTACTAGGCTTTACAAAGACAAAGAGCATGCTGAAATCGAATTCACTGTAAGTTGGATTGTCAGGTTTATGTTAATTGGCCAAACATGGATTCCGTACGCTTGAGTAGTAAAATAACAAATAAGGTTCTGACATAAGTTTATTTATGAAGATTGGTCCGATTCCTACTGATGATGGAGTTGGAAAAGAGGTGATCACACGAATGACAGCAAATATGGCCACAAACAAGGAGTATTATACTGATTCCAACGGGAGAGATTTTCTAAAACGAGTAATTTGATACCATTTTTTTTTTCTTTAATGAAATTCTCTGGGGAGAAAAAATTGCAACATTGACTTATATGACACTTAAAAATGTCTATGCAGGTTCGAGATCATAGAGATGATTGGCCCCTTCAAGTAACTCAACCAGTAGCAGGAAACTATTACCCAGTAAAATTCTTTATAACTCTCTTAATTTCGTAAGGACTTCAGGTTTTAGTTGTAGACGATGCTATGGCATCCAAGACTGGAAAATTAAATGGAAGAACTTGAGAGAAAGAGAGAGAGTAGCATATACTAGTTTTGTTGCTTCAAAGTTGATGGATTTCAACAATCTTGATAAATTTATATAAAAATATGCTATTTGTTTTTCTCTGTTCAGCTTAATCTTGGAATTTATACCAAGGATAAGAAATCCGAGTTCTCGGTCTTAGTTGATCGTGCCACTGGTGGAGCTAGCATCATAGATGGTGAGGTGGAATTGATGCTTCATAGGTATTCAAGCTGTCTTTTATAGTCTAATTCAATACTATTTTATTGCAAACAAACTATTAACACAATTTTTACTACTCAAGGCGTATTCTCCATGATGATGGTCGAGGAGTTGGGGAACCACTTGATGAACAAGTTTGCGTGGACAATAACAAAATATGTGAAGGACTAACAGTATGACAATCTTATCAATTAATTTATATTTCTCTGCATCCTTCTTTATCATTGATTGAGTGACAAATTCAGTTTGTTTTTGTGGAAGATGTGTATTGAAACACTCTTTCACCGACTTCGTAGAAAGTAAATTGACTATGTTGTCCTTCCTTCTACCTATAAATAGCATATCTATCCCTTTTTTTTTCTGCAATATCAGGTCCGAGGAAATTATTATATCAGCATAGACAAACTTGGAACTGGTGCACGCTGGCGCCGTACAACTGGTCAGGAAATCTACTCACCATTCTTATTGACTTTTACGCATGAGGTATGACTCAGTTGCATGCACTTATCATTTAATCATCACCATATTAATGATTTCTTATGAGAAGTTTATTGATCAGAACTTGAATAGTTGGAAGTCCTCTCATGTGACCAAAGGAACAATCATGGATCCAAATTACAGCTTGCCCCCCAATGTGGCTCTGATAACTCTTGAGGTAGAACAAATGCTAACGATATCTGTAACACATTTGACTATCTCTGTCTAACCAAATTATTTTGCAGGAGTTGGATGGTGGAATTGTGCTTCTCCGTTTGGCACATCTATATGAGGTTAGTCTATATATACAAATGTTTATCACTATTCATATTTAACTTCAGATGAACCGAGCCAAAGTGATATAATAAAACTCAATAAGATCATATACCAACTCTTGCATAAATACATGTTTTAGTGTGGTTCGGTTTGGATTAAGTAATACTGTAATATCTCTCAGTTCTAATATCATATTTTCTCATGTTTTCAATGTGATTAGCCAAGTGAATATGCTGAGTATTCAACTCTAACCAAAGTTGAACTGAAGAAGTTGTTTGCCAAGAAAACGGTAAATAGAGCTTCCTCTCACCCTTAAGAAAAAGGATTTAACCCTTTTGGCTTGTCTTTGTGATGCACATACTTTCTTAGATTAGCATTGAATAGAGTTCACTTTTTGTGCTATGAAAGTTTGTATGCCTGGTTGTAATGTGTGATGTGGTGTTTTATTATGCAGATAAAGGAGTTGAAGGAGGTAAGCTTATCTGCTAACCAAGAGAAGTCAGAAATAAAGAGGATGACATGGAAGGTTGAAGGGGACAATGGACAAGGACCTCAAGGACTTAGGGGTGGCCCTGTCAACAACCCTAATTTGGTTGTTGAGCTTGGCCCCATGGAAATACGAACTTTCCTATTGAAATTTTAAGATACCTCAAATCATCATTGATGATTTTATTTGAAGGAATAAACATTGAAGAAAATTCTGCTAGTGACATAATCTCGCTGATAATTTGGTTTTTAACTAAATTTAATGGCTTATAGGCTAATAATGTAACTAACCCACCTAATGAAAGATGATTATTGTTGTTGTTTTGTAGTAGTTATTATCAAACAAGCATGTTGATGTTTCTATCTTTTGTCTTCAATTTCTAATTTCAAAAGCTCACTAAATCGTATACTAATTTTCACAACTTTCAATTCTTTTTCTTCTTTTATTTATTTCTAACACATTTACCACTTTATTTTCTTTCAATTTCTTTCCTTTCTATTCTACTTCCCTTATTCTAACAAAAGGGTAACTAAAGCACCAAATCCATGTCTCCAGGCATCATTATAATTGCACTTCTAAGTTCTATGTACATTTCAAACCATATAATTAGACTATTATTTTTTAATGGTTAGTGTTTTCACATATTAGTAATACTCATTTCATAAACAAGAACATATTAAAAACTTTCCAATTAAATAAACTTTTTAGTCGTAACTTTTTAACACTAGCTGTAGAATTTGCATATTTATTTTTTTCTATAAATTTAAAATGAGCAACTATTTTTATAATTCATATTTAAAGATTCATAATATTTTTTATTTAAAAATATGAAAAAATATTTTTAAAAAACTTTTTAAACATAATTTGTGTTTGATTTTTTTTTTACAATAATTAAAATATGTATTTTGACATCGAGTCATTTTCATGTAAAAATTACAAAAATTTGGGATATTATTTTTTTAAAGTATGTAATTAGTTTATTTGATAAAAGCGTTCAAATGATAATTTTTATAATTTTTATAAAGAAATAATGCATTTATTAATTTAAATACTAACAAAGAAATTTCAAAATCCTAAAATATAATTTTAATTAAAAATATATCAATTACTTAATAATAATAATAATAAAAAAAAAACACTCACGTCGGGGACTCAGAAAAATAACAAAAGCAGTTCCGCAGCGACATCGCGGGAAATTTCAGTGGCAGTTAACCAATTATTTCGCTAAATGCCACGTGTCGCTTCTCCGTTTGTCAGTTTGTTTTCCGTTTCTTGTTGTTACTCCAAGTTCAGATCGACACAACGGTAACGACCTTGGAAGTTGGCAGTTAGAAACTCCGTTCATCAATGGCGTCTGAAAACCCTAACGGGAAAAACTCTCTCAATCCGCAGGTAATAATCGATGCAAGCCCCGAACCATGCTCTTCCAACTCTTCCTCCAATCTCTACCCCAAAATCGATGAGGTTGGAAATCTCCTCCCGGACAATTTCAGTCCCTCGGCGCCACCGCTCGCCGCCGCCGAGGAGGTTCTCATCAAGGTCCCCGGCGCCATCCTCCACCTTATCGACAAGGAATGTAGCGTGGAGCTCGCCTGCGGCGTCCTCACCATCATCTGCCTCCGACAGGGGACAAATATAGTCGCCTTTTATGCAAGAGTCGGTGACATACAGTGGCCCCTGGCGAAGGACGAGGCAGCCGTCAAGGTCGACGATTCGCACTACTTCTTCTCTCTCATGTCGAAGGAATCCAAATCAGATTCCTCCAGTGATGAAGAGGAAAAAGGTGGAATACTTCACCTCCGCTGGAACAGGAAGAAGAAAAACAAGCACTCCGGTTCAGATTCCGTTCCCGACGTACTGAGCTACGGCTTAACGATAGCGTCGAAGGGGCAGGAGAATTTGCTGAAGGAGTTGGACAAGGTTTTTCAGGAATGCAGTGCTTTCTCGGTGCAGAAGGTGTCAGAGAAGGCCAAGAAGGAAGGGGAGGCGTTGGATCCATCAGTGGCGAAGGAGGTATCACCGACGGATTTGAAGACAGAGGAGAAGAAGGAGATGTTGGAGGAGAACTGTGCGGCCTATTGGACCACGTTGGCTCCTAATGTAGAGGATTACGGTGGAACCGCTGCGAAGCTTATTGCGGCTGGTTCTGGACAACTGGTGAAGGGAATTTTGTGGTGTGGGGATGTGACGGTGGAACGGTTGCGGTGGGGGAATGAGATCATGAAGACGAGGATGGCTCCCGGTTCGCAGGAAGAGATTAATCCCGAAACCCTGAAGCGGATACAGAGGTCAGTGTGCTCTTAATTAATCTTTCTGCTTAGTAACTCAGGTTGAATTTGTTCTGTATTTATGATGAACTGATACTTCAATTTGTTTTATGCTATGTTAACATGTCTAATCTTGATACTCTTAAAGACTGCACCCAAATCTATAAAGTATCTACGCCTTGAAAATTGTTATGAAAATCCAATCATATACACATAGAAAACATTGTGTCATTGTTCCTTGATGAACCAAAAATGAGCATTCCCGTCTTTATGGATAATTCCTAGAAAGAAATTAGATTTATACCATTCCTGTTATGATAACAACTACTTATAATTTTTTATATTTTATGTCTAGGTGTTCAAGAATTATTCTTTATTTTGCAGAATTTCATCTTCATATGTATTATGTTTTATGAATTTTTATACATATCTACATATGTGTCTTACATGTGTTGTATGATATATATTTCTGGAGTAATCGTGTTACGGTTTGCGATGTGTATTGTGTTAAACATCTGAAACTAAAATTGTTCTCTCTCTGCATTGCATTTATTTATTTTACAATGGATAATGACTAAAGGAATTTTCAGCACTCTGCTGTATGTTGTCTATTCAATGTTTATTAGACAAGATTTTTAGTCTGCGACTTTTAGGTATTCATGGTTATTTGTTCGTTTTATTTTTTTGTCTGCTACTCTGCTTGAACATGAACATTTAAATAACTGATATTATCTTTTGCCTTAATATTTATATAGGGTTAAGAGAATGACCCAAATGACAGAGAGTGTAGCAAATGGGGTTCTCACTGGGGTTGTGAAGGTCTCTGGATATTTTAGTAGTTCAGTGGCAAATTCAAAAGTGGGAAAGAAATTTTTCAGCTTTCTACCTGGCGAAGTTGTGCTTGCATCATTGGATGGATTCAGTATGTCAGTTATCTTAGTCCTGGCTTTTAGGGGGCTTATCTACGGCCATCACTACAATGTTGTTTGAGTTCTAAGCACTAAGCAAATATCCCCTAGCAAAGAAAAAAAATAGAAAACATTCCATCTTCTTTAGACATTATATTTCATTTGCCAGATAAAATTTCACATGTTTGGGCTTTAAGATCAACCAGCCCTGATCCTGTTATTTTAGTATGTACTATATACAGTTTACTGAGTCAGTTTATTATACTGATGATTTCTTGTAAATAGGCAAAGTGTGTGATGCGGTTGAAGTAGCAGGAAAAAGTGTCATGTCAACGTCAAACACTGTTACAACTGATCTTGTAAATCACAGGTAAAGTCAATAAATGAACTATCTGTGGTAAAATACCTATAGAAGAATTTATGAAACTAGTTATTGAGTTTGATGACACTATCTATGATCTTTGGTCATGCTCTGATGCTATTATGACAAGAATGTAAAAAACCCACGTTGAGCACGAGAATTGAAGTTTTAATTGCGGCTATGATACGTGAGAATGTGGATATCTTAAATCCCCAAGTATGCCACCCAAAATAATGGGGTTTGTACGACACCTTCAGCTGAACAAACACCTCCTATGAGTTAACTGCTAATAAAAGAAGGATCTTGCTGATCTGTGCCCTTAAAATGCTTGTTAAGAAATTAGAAGTAAAGAGTTTTTATTAGAAATCATATGGAAGATCATTAAAGAATCATACGAGTGCATTGTTACACATCTCATTTAATGATTTTCCGTTTTAACTCTTTAATCAGTATCCTGAGGATAGCGTTTTCCATAAAAGAAATTAGAAATGTAGAAGGCATTGCGTTTGGGTATGCTATTCCTGGGAACTAGTAGCCCAAATTATTTCCTTGCTTGCCTTCTTGATGTAGTTCGTCTATGACATGCTTTAGTGGTTAGAGTGAAATCCATGTTCCTCAATTTATTGTTTTTCCATTAACAATGACCTGGTTTGAGAATTTAAGCATACAATAAGGGGGGAATGCCAGTGTTCTTTTCTAACTGTTGTGTTGTGAGCAATTTGGTAATGTGTACACTCGCAGATATGGAGAAGAAGCTGCTAAGGCAACAAGTGAAGGGCTGGATGCTGCTGGTCATGCTGTGGGGACTGCATGGGCTGCATTTAAGCTTCGACAGGCCTTGAATCCTAAGAGTGTTATAAAACCTACTGCACTGACCAAATCTGCAGCTCAAGCTGCTGCCGCTGAACTTAGGGGTAAACTATCCAAGTGATTTATGGCATCTACAATTTAGGATAGGAGAGAATTGAACGATAGAATGGTTGATTTAATTGGAAGAGATAAAGAGAAAATATGAGCTGTAAACAAGTGTTTTTAAGAATTGATTTGTATACACTCACTGTCATTTCAGTTAAAACATAGTTTTCTTCAAAGTCATCTTTCACTGATTCAATCCCTTGGCCAAGGCTGATTCATAATATACTGCGATAAGCATTGAATTTTATTTTGCTTTCTCCTATTCTTAATTGTTTCTTGTTTTAGAATTTTGAATTCTGACATATAGGCTTGTGATACCGAAGTTATGACTTTTATCTGTTCAATGCAGACTTTATTATCTTCATTGTATTTGAAAAAGCAGAATGTCATAAATGCAAACTTTATTATCTTCAATGTACTTAAAGCAAGAGAAAGTGAAAAGAAAAAAAGAAGGTAAAATTAAATGGGACTTCTTTTTCTTGGTTTGAAAAGATAGTAAATGACACTCGTATTTTTTTTTCTAGTTTTAATATAAATATTTGTTTTTTATATTTTAAATAAAATAAGACTTATATTTATTGTAAATATTAAATAAATGTATATTTTAATCATATTATCTTTCTTAAATTTGTAATAATGTGACACTAGTAATTCTTTCCCCCAAAATTATTTGTTAATCTTTGAATTATGTTTTTAGCTGAAGTATCTCATTCATAAGCATGAGTTAATTACTATCAAGATAAGAAACGGGATAGTGAGTGTGTGTCATGTTTGGCATCTTTAGTTGATGATGACACTTCATCATTTTTACTTTTGGGTGTGTGTCCATTATTGGAGTATCAACCTAATTGATTAGGATGTTTTCCTTTAATTTTATCAATATTTTTCTACAATTTTTTTAAAATATATTAGTAGTTTCACTTGTATTCCTCTTTTAAATATATCTTAAACTTTTAATTATCATGATCACTTTTTATATCATTGTATTCACATATATAAGTTACTTATAATTAATCAAAGTTATTTATATTAATCAAAGTTATTTATATAAATATTTTTAAACAATTTATGTGAATTTATAATAAAATAATATATTTTATTCTCAAATAATTATTGTTAACCACTCTCCTTAAAAATATTCTTAATAATAATAATAATAATAATAATATATAAGATAATATATGTCTTCGTCCAAATAAATTAACATGATATGAAACACACTCAGGTATAACCCGTTACAAAAATAATAATATCAACATTAATACATAGTATGGTATAATAGAATTATCCATTATACCATAATACAAAAATAATAATTAAAAAGGTGAGTGGAGTTAAGTATAAGCTTCAGATTACATAATAATCGATGTTAATTTGTTATGTTCTAAGATTACATAATAATGTAGTTACGTCATTAGGAACTCGAACTCATCATCCTAAATAAGTTAAACCAACTATTGATTTTGAATATTTCGAAATTACAATTTTGGTCAACTTTAATTTCTTATTTGACATTTTTTTATATAATTTTTAATTTCTAAATAAATTTATAAATCAATTATAATTTTTTAAATGTAATTTTTTATATAAATTTTGGTTAAAAAGTAATTTTTTTTAAAAATATAAGAAAAAATATATAAAAAATAAAGGTCACAAATAAAAATTATAATTTAACCTTGAAAAATAAATATGATAGGTATGTGATTATTTTAAATAGAGAAGAAGCAAGACAAGTTAACTATTATCTTAATCCAAGTCAAAACCATAGCCATAGCCCCTACTCCTATGGAAATGATGAACTAATTTTGTAATTGTAAACCCTCTTTAATGATATGACAATACTTTCTTTATCAACTCCATCCACAATAAATAAACTATATATATATAAAAGATATTAGGTTTTCACAGAAAGAAATAGAAGAAAAACTTGAGGATGATAAAACAACACAAAATATTAATTAAATGAATACAAAATTACACAACCATTTCATAAATATATATATATATATAAAATTTAGAGGGACTTTTGTATTCATTGAAATAGTCTCCATCAATAGTTGCAACCTCGTAATTGAAATCCATGATTGTTGTTAAAATTGTCTAAGAGTAAAAAAGATTATTCCTTTTTTTTTTCACTGCAAATAAAAATTCAAGTCCCTCAAAGTGATTCCTGAAAACCTCACATCTAAAAATTGGCACCTCTCACTGGACTTTAGGAATGTAATTCCTTCATGCTCTATACAATTGGTATCGAAATAAAAATCCAAAATTTGAATATGACACTTATATGCTCCCTTAACCTCCTTTGTTTTAACCCATTTATTGTTATTGGATTATACTATTTGGAACAAACACTGATTTATGTTGAAAGTGTAATATAGCATGTTATTTGTATATAATCGATTATGGTTATTTATTTTTTCTTTTTTACTATTATTATATTTTATAATAAAAATAATATTAAAAAATAGTAAAATAATAAATAAAATCATATTACTTTTCATTTATTTCTATTATCTTTTAACTCATTCAAATAACCTTATTAAAAATCATCTTTTTTCCCACACTATTAGTGACCAAAGATTTTGCATATCTTCCAATTTCCAACATGTTTGTGTATGAATAGTAAATTAAAGAGTATTACAAGAACACAAGTTGGGAAAATGCATAGGTTCATGTCATTGTCGTAACTTATTCTATTAATTGGCCAGAACTTTATTTGTCTGTTTTGTAAAATACAGATGAAGGACCAAGTTGAGAACCACATTATCACAATCAGGGTACTATTTGAGGGAACAAAGAATTGCAAGTAGAAGAATTTTGAGCATGTAAAAATTTAAAAAATGTGCACAACTTGTTTGTGTAGTATAATGACAATAGTGTTTGTCTCTGATCTTCATGATTTGGTTCTTGATATGTTCTCTTTTTGGCCATGCAATGGGAATGGAGGGTGTCATCAAGCAGTTCAATCTTCTTCCCACTATAAGCCATTAAAGAGCTTAACCCTACTCTCAGTTAGTGCTTCAATTCATATTATATTGTAAGTTCTCTATGAACACCACAAAAAGGGTTTGTGTGGAATAGTGACTTGGAGCACAAAGTGTGTTCTAGAATACTTGAATTTTGGTTTCTCTTATCTTATCACTTTTGGATCTAAGTTTCTATTTTCCAATATATATATTTTAGTTATTGTATCAGCTTGTCGTGTTATCTTTGGGAGTTTTATTATATTTATGATTAGAATTACGTGATGTTGAGTGATGGATCTTCTTACAAGCTAAGGGGTTCGTGGCCCCCCAAAATTTTGTAACTTTCATGTAATTTATGATTTTGATCTCTAAACTTAATTAACATTTAATATATTTACTTGTATATTTATAATTTTATCTTCTCAGTATCTGTCAGTTTTATAACTCTCATATATAATTTATGATTTTGTCTCTCTCTAACTTAATAATCATTTAATATATACTTTTATCTTTTTTTTTATATTTATTAATAATATATTATTTGAACCAATTTGAATAGTGAAGATAAGCGGCTGATGATGTTTTGGTTACCAGCTACCACCCATTAACACAAAAATATATAAAACACATGTTTGCTCTTTTTGGCTTAACATTTGTCAACAATTGTTTCAAAACTTTTGTTCTACTTTATTTTGGGTTTATCCTTTGCTATAGATGTGTTTATCAGATTTTAAACCTTACACCTAACACTGACATATTTTAAAGTTTCAGGTCATTTGAATCGGATTTGGTGTTATGCTTCTCCTTTTTATATACAGTTTTAAAAACTATTTAATAATAATAATGCTGTTTGATTTAAAGGAAATAATATTTGTGATATCAACGTTTAAGAATATTTGTCATCATGTATTTGTATTATATTGATTAATGGAAATAGACCCATGTGTCTACATTTCCCTGTAATTATTTAAAATAATTTTTTTTATAATTATTTTTTTCTCTTTATATTTTCTTATTTTTTTAAATATATAAATTATAATAATTATTTTTTCTTTAAATTATGATATTTTTTTCGCTAATAACACCAAGAAGTAGTTAAAAATGGAATTATCATTATATATAGTTATAAATTAATAATTTTTTTAAATAAAATAATTTAAAACAAATACATAATATATATTAATATCAGTTAATAATATTAGGTTATCAATTTAACCCACTAAAATTGATTAAAATTTTTGAGAAATATATTAGATTAAAAAAAAATAGTGATCCAAGAGCTTGTTTTAAATTATTTCAGATTAAAAAAATTAAAATAATTTTAAATGAATAAATCTAAAAATATATAACTTTTTCAAGTTCCGACTTATGAAATATAAAATATAATTTTATAATTTCGAAAAGATTGATCCAAAAAGTATTTGGAAAGCTAAATCTGAAAATGATGTTTCATATATATGAATTAAGGTTGGGATTCAAGTCAAAAAGGTTTTCGAAAGCATTTTGAATTGATTTTTTGAAAAGCTTCGAAGATATGGGGTGCAGGGTGAACATATATGTTGGAAGAATGTGAAAAAAATTGAATTAGGTTAAGATAGTTCGAATGTTTATCAGTTATATAAAATAATAATTATTTTTTAAACAAAAATAAAAATAATATTAATTCATTTATATATATATATATATATATATATTATAAATTAATTTAATAAAAAATCTATTTAGTTTAAGAATAAGTGTTTAGCACCTATTTATTGTAGGATTTAATAATTAATATTAATTATTATTTTAAATAATTAGATTACTAAAAAAATTGATTGATAATAATAAAATATAAATCTTTAATTCATATTTTAACTGTTAATGAATCACTTATATATTATTATATCTAAAATAAAAAATAATTTTATTAATATAATCTAAATTTTAAAATATATTTTTAATTTTTATTCAAAATATTTTTTTAATTAATTATTTCAACATTAACTTATTATTAATTATTATTATTATTATTATTATTATTATTATAACTTAATATAGGATTAGTATAAAAAAAATATGACTATTTTAAAATATAAAAAAAAAATCGTCAATTTTTTTCCTTAATATGCGAATCTATAAATAAGGGGTTGTGACGAATAATCTGTTTTAAAAGTGGACAACTTATTAATGAACAACCAAGATTAAAATAAAAATAATTTTTTTATGGACTATTTTTTCATTAAAAATGTAAAATAAATATATAAATTAATCAGGAAAAAAATGTGTTACTTAATAAATAGTTTATCATTTAATGAAGGCCAATAAATAGTATAAAGTAAAATAAAAATAAAAGTTTTATGGAGAAACAAAACATAAAAGACCTATGTTATATATGATTCTCACATTAAATAATAATAATAATAATAATTATTATTATTATGATATTTAAGTTATGAGATTTTTCAACTAGTTGATTGAAGTGTAATTATTGAGAGATAACACGTTCAATGAATAACAATGTATGCCAACTTGAGAAGAAAGATAAGCATTACATACACAATAATTGTGAGGCATTTTGACATTAATCTTTCAATAATTTTTTCTAACTTTTTGGCGAAGATAAAGTATCAGTAAAATGCAAAGTTTTGTGATTTGGCTATTATGTGGTTTCGCCCTTTTCTTTTATTTTATGCTTTGAATAGCCAAGACATTAGGGTAGTATAGAATGGTGGTTGTTCTTCTGATTTTTGTGTTTGATTTCTCCACCCAAAAGTTTGCATTGCAAAAACACTCACACTCACACTCACACAGACACATCCAAAGGAATGTGTTATTGGACCGACCAACCAACCAGCTAAACGACTCAGACTGAAACTGACTTTCTTAAAAGTTTATAAGTCACTGCTTGTAGACCAAAACTGTTTCTGCAATCACCCTAACTTTAATATGCAAATCAGTTTTTATTTTTCACAACATATCACATGTTATATGTTGTGTAATGTGTAACATAATCAAATGATGGCTTGCATAAATGTATTCTTAGCTTTCCCAATAACAGAAAAAGAGGACCACAGAAAGAGGATTGAAAATAGGAAAGAAAAAATAATTGGGATTCGTTGACCCTTGCATTAGTTCCTGGTGAAAGGTTAATGATTGAAGAGAAAAGAGAGTGTGGGCACCACTGCACCCGATTCATGGAATCCAAACCCAAACACTGACACGAGTATGTTCCTCGGCCATGGTTCTTCCCTTTGTTCCCAGTAATGTAATGGCCACATTTATGGTTCAAATTATGCCAACGGTCCAATGGGGCCAAGCCTTAGGAAGTGGCAAATGTGGCATAAATATGGATAAGGAAGGCATAAGGAATAAACAAACCACATCATATCTGTGACATGGAAGTACAACTGTAGCATAATTCAAAAGACCAATCATATTTCAACTTGAATTTGTCACAGAATATAAATTAGCAGTTCAATTTTGTATCTCCTTTATAATAATGGATACTACTACACAAGTGTTAAAAGGGTGACAAGACTTCCACCTAAGTAGAGTCTAGGATCATAGATGTACGCAATCTCAGCCTACACTGGTTCAGGACTTAAAGTGTTATCCAATCAAAATTCGCGAAAAGCCATTGCCCTCTCATCCAAGCACACAAACAATGTTGAATTGAAGTTCTACTTTATATGCTCTTAGCTGCTTCATGTAACACAACAGTGAATTTTATGTGACCGAAACAAAGATCAAAGTTCTTCTGAAAGTTCTGTATGGTCGGTCACCTTGTGTAAGGTAACCAATGGGTACCAAGTGCAGACACGTTTTTGATAGATTAAAGAGATTGAGTTTTGCCAACTGCTGGAAGAAAAGCACCACGCCAACTGGCAGAAGGATTTTCCACAGGGATGTGGAAAAGGAAGAATTCCAGTATGCCAGCACTCAATGTCTCTCATCATACTACAGTGTCTTTGTGGTTCGTCTAGCAATCATGGTTAGTTAATTTTTCTCTATATGATTAGGAATTTGGTCTCTGATTGAGTGTTGTAGCTGCACCTACAATATGATTGATGTGCAGAGAGAGATTGTTTAAAATGCTCAAAGAAAGACGGTTGTAATTGAAAGATTAGACCCTTTGTGTAATATGATTAAAGTGACAATTTGTTGGGCTAAGCTGTTATTATCTTGCTTTGTCCAGGCCATGCTAGCTATCTTGATTGGTCTTCTCACTTTCCTCACATGGCATTTCACAAAGATTTATACAACAAAATCTCTTAATAGCTTGGCATATGACCTGCGTTATGAACTTCTGCAACGCCCCATCTTGAGGATGTGGAACATTTTGAATTCTACTGCTGAAATTACTACTGCTCAGGTTAAGCTGTCTCAGTATGTGATCAGAAGCCACACCACCAACCTTGCCACTCAGGCAGACCAAGTTGAGGTTGAATTAACTGTTGATTTTTTTCATTATTTATACTCTTGTTACGCTATTCTTATGTTTGATTCCATTATCACTTACAATTTGAGTATGTTCCAACTCTTGCCAGATGTATGACGCGATGAGAGCTGTGACATGGGCACTGTTTGCTAGTAAAAAAGCTCTCAATTCAATAACTGTCAAATACAAGAATGGATTTGTCCAAGCATTCCACAGAGACAGGAAGGATAACAACACATTTTACATTTATTCTGATCTTGTAAATTATTCCATGGCTGCCAATGGCCACAATGAGATCAATTCGCTTTCATCGGACGAAGCTTGGAATGATAAAGACATTCACGGAAACAAGTCTGCAATTTGGTATCGCGAACCGCTTGATCCGGTCAGCGGGGAGAAGATTGGAAAAGAAATGGCAATTGCACCAGAAGACTCAATCAATATAGCAGGCCTCCCCCAAGTACCTGATGGTGTAGCTTCGTGGCATGTTGCTGTTAGCAAGTTTACAGATTCACCGTTGCTTTCTGCAGCATTACCAGTTTGGGACTCTTCAAACAAAAGCATTGTGGCAGTTGTGGGTGTCACAACTGCACTTTATAGTGTGGGGCAGCTCATGAAAGAGCTAGTCGAGTTGCACAGTGGTCACATGTATTTGACCTCCCAAGAGGGTTACTTACTTGCAACTTCCACAAACGCACCTCTACTGTCAAATTCTACAAGGCCTCCTAAGCTTAAGATGGCCGTTGACTGTGAAAATGATGTAATAAGAGAGGGAGCTCAATGGCTACAGAAAACCTATGGAAACAATTTCCCTCAAAGTCATGAACTTCATGTAGAGAATGTCAGGCTAGGCCCCCAGCAATATTACATCGATTCATTCTTCCTTAACTTGAAGAGGCTTCCTCTGGTACATTTAAAGACACTGCAAATGTTCCTTATATCTGATCTTATGTGTAACATTTCTTTCGAAATCTTATGATGATCCATAGATGATCAAGTTTTACAATTTCTTCTAAAATATATTCTACGAAAATTTCCTGCTTCTATTATTTTATTTCTGTTCTGACTAACCATCTGCCCTACTATAATTCATACATGTTGTTTGTTTACAAGTTACTGGCTTAAACATTGTGCAGGTGGGTGTAATCATCATACCTAGAAAGCATATCATGGGGCAGGCAGATGAAAGAGCCTTCAAAACATTGGTTATTCTTATATCTGCATCAGTGTGTATTATTGTCATTGGATGTGTTTGCATTTTGATACTGACAAATGGAGTGTCAAAGGAAATGAAACTAAGAGCAGAACTGATCAGTCACCTGGAAGCAAGAAGGAAGGCAGAGGCATCAAGCAACTATAAAAGTCAATTTCTTGCAAATATGAGGTTGGTTTTTCAAGTCCAGAGTGAATTTAAAGAAATTTAATTAAACTGAAATCATATAAATCAGAGAACGAACATCTCCAGTCTCAGGTGTCTATCTTGTTTTTATCAAACACGTGTATGTCATATGATTTATCCCACTTATCATTCAACTTATTTAATTTAGTAGTGCGTTTGAAGGAGACAGCAGCTACATTAAACATCTTTTATGTATTTGCAAACCTCGTTGTTTGAAATTATATTCACGTGTCTCAATAAACAAGATAATATAAATAACCCTATAAACAAGCTCTAAAAAAAATACATGTTCATTTCCATCGAAGCGAATTAGTAACATGCCTAAGACCTGGTTTACATGTATGAGAAAATCCTTCCTTTGATGAGTTCACAAATGTGCTTAAATAGCTTTTTCTTGGGTGCAATACAGTCATGAATTGAGGACACCGATGGCAGCAGTGATCGGGTTACTAGACATTCTTATATCTGATGACCGTCTCACAAATGAGCAATGTGCAACAGTTAGTCAGATAAGAAAATGTTCAACTGCCCTGCTTCGTCTACTTAATAACATCTTGGACCTAAGCAAGGTGAGCTATAAACTAATAAACGTTTTGTTCAAGAACGTTTAATCTCACACATCAATTACTGAATTGAATTCTAAAGCAAAGTTCTTTCACCACTGCTTCAAACCTGCATTCATTCAATAAGACTTCTAATATTTTATAGAATATAGGTGGAATCTGGAAAATTGATCCTAGAAGATGCAGAATTTGACTTGGGGCGGGACCTTGAAGGGCTTGTAGATATGTTTTCTGTGCAGTGTATTAACCACAATGTGGAGACTGTTTTAGACTTGTCTGGTATGTGTCTTCTTTCTCTGATTAGTAGTTTAATTTAACTGAAAAGCATGTGATAAGAAATCATCAGAAGAAGTTTCTGATGCATAGTTAATTTGTTGCAGATGATATGCCAAAGCTAGTTCGAGGTGATTCTGCTAGGGTAGTTCAAATTTTTGCAAATTTGATCAACAACTCAATTAAGTTTACTCTATGTAAGTCAAGCCTTTTTCTCATATAAAGCTTCAATACAGAAGTGGTGGTTGAAGACGTGCTCATATCAACAGTATTTAACATTTTTCTAAGAATTTCAAAGATTTAACGAATAGTTCAATTACCAATTAAGCTCAGAAACTCAGAAGACTGATCTTAACTCTTTCCAATGATTTACAGCCGGTCACATTATTCTGAGAGGATGGTGTGAAAACCAAAATGCTTGCAGGGATAATACAAATTCTCCTCTACAGAAAAAGAAATCATGGTATTCACAGAAGAACAGAACAAAGCAACATGAAAACCATGCAAAGAGGACTTCCAATAGAGATAACAAAATGATACTTTGGTTTGAAGTTGATGACACGGGTTGTGGTATGTTCCAAAAACTTGACTGGAAAAAAAGTAATGAAAAACCATCACTTTTGTGGCAAAAGAAAAGTCAGTTTTCAGGCTATTGAAATTTTATTTTTTCACGTGTTTTTCATATATATGGCTATCTCATATTCACATGCATCCCTTTCATAGGAATTGATCCAAGTAAATGGGAATCTGTGTTTGAAAGCTTTGAGCAAGCTGATCCATCAACTACTAGACTGTAAGTTACTTGAATTTTTAACGAAGACAAGATATAACTGCTAAAAATTACTTTTTAGCTAGTATATTAGCATGGCCTCATTATGATTGCCGTCGAACTTTCAAATTAATTTGAACATATTTCCAGCAATAATTTAAGGACCTTTATGTTGGGAAATCACTTGAACTTCAACACTTTTAAATGCTATGTACTGAAGATTCAAGAAGTTCTGAAACATTTACTCGTTTCAGGCACGGAGGAACTGGTCTTGGTCTTTGCATCGTCAGAACCTTGGTGAGTAAGACCTTAATATGTAAACATTCAATCAAGTCAAGAAGACCTTTATATTTTAGGGAAAGTCAGACAGAAGGCCTTAATATGTAAATTTTCAATGAAGTCAAGAACAATTACTATTCATAATGCATATTTTTTATGACAATCAAAAGGTGTCCATCTCTGCTGGCAAAACATGCAATCAAATCACACAAATTGTGAAACTTACATCAGTTGCATGTTCTAGACTTGACATGAACGAGAAAATCATGATCTTAGTTTAGTAGAGTAGGATTTCCACCTCAAGGTCTATAAATTCACTTCCATCTGTCCTTTCTCTTCTAAAATGACACAAGTCTCCTGGTTTTAGGTTAACAAGATGGGTGGAGAAATCAAGGTTGTCAAAAAGGAGGGCCCAGGAACAATGATGCGATTATACTTGCGTCTCAGTGCACCTCGGGATGCCTCAGAACAACATTGCCCAGTAGATTTTGCTAACAAAGGTTTAGTGGTGAGTGAATCACCTTGGCTTTGAATGAGTGCAAAGATAATAAGCAGACCTTGAAATGAAAAGTGTCAATGCAGGTACTTCTTGCACTACATGGCAGCATGGGTCGCTCTGTTACATCTAAGTGGTTACAGAAAAATGGGGTAGTCACTATGGAGTCATCAGAATGGAATGGATTAACACAAACTCTCAGGGTACTCTTTCATGCAAGAAGTTCATCTCATAATAATGCCTTTGACGCAAATTATTCAGTGCATGACAATTTAAAGTCAAAACTACTGAGCATACAGGAATTGAAGAACCCAGTTTTTGTCATTGCTGTTGACATTGGACTACTTGACTTGAGCACAGATATATGGAAGGAACAGCTCAATTTCCTTCACAAATACTTTGGGAGAGCAAAATTCGTGTGGATACTAAACCATGACTCATCCAATACCATTAAGATGGAGCTTTCCAGGAAAGGACATACAGTGACAGTGAACAAACCCCTTTACAAAACAAAAATGCTTCATATTTTGGAAACCATTAGAAAGGAAAGAAGTGATGAGCTACAAAAGAAAAATATGACTACTCCAAGAGCTACAGTGAAAAAGGGTTACTTGCATGAGAGTCTTGAGATTGATTATACTCAATGTGATGTTGCAAGCTCAGATGGTTCTGACATATCAGAAACGCGAGGTTCTAATCCTGTTTGTGAAAGTAAAGATAAAAAAAGAGAGAAGGAAGTGCGATCCGAACTATCATCACAACAACAGATAAAAAACTTAATTGGATTAACAAATGGATATATAGAAGATAATAATCCTTGTAAGGAAGAGTTATGTCAGAGAAGCCTCAACTCTAACGATGTCACTGCAAATGATACACCAAAATCATCCTGCACTAAACAAGCATTGTTTGCGAAAGGTAATCGAGGTGAAGAGTCTGAATATGGTGAAACACAGCGGGCCAGTAGCTCAAGTAAATCAGTGAGTGGAAAAAAATCTCTTGAAGGTCTGAGGATATTACTTGCAGAAGATACACCAGTAATTCAAAGGGTTGCAACCATAATGCTTGAAAAAATGGGAGCCATTGTTGTAGCTGTAGGTGATGGACAACAAGCAGTGGATGCTCTGAATGGCATGCCTGGTGTTGAAGATTGTAGAAGGGAGACTCTCCTGAAGGAAAGAAACACAAGATCATCCCAAAATGAGATTCTAAGTTGCCCTTCATATGATTTGATCCTAATGGATTGTCAGGTATGAATTAAGAGAAAAAAGCATATTAATATTAGCAATGCTTCAATTTAAATAATATAGACTTCGGATAAAACCATAAGCAATTACCATGATAAAATGTAATTCACTGAAAACAGTGGTAAAGAACAGAACCCCTTAGTGCCTAGGGTCTATTTGTGCAGTAGTGACTAGGTAAATTTTCTACCACTTTTTATGAACAGAAATAGAACCCCCGAATATGTTAAATAGTTATTTTCTACAAGAAGTCAATATCATAAAGTATTTTAGCGTTCGTGTTCCAAATCCTTCTCTTTGTGTAAAATAAAACAGATGCCAAAGATGGATGGCTATGAGGCAACAAAAGCAATCCGGAAATCAGAAGTGGGAACTGGCTTGCACGTTCCAATTGTTGCTCTTACAGCCCATGCGATGTCATGTGATGAAGCCAAGTGCCTAGCGGTTGGCATGGATGCTTATTTAACAAAGCCAATTGACTTCAAACTCATGGAATCCACCATTCTTTCACTCTCAAGAAGGACATCCTGACTTTTGACGCTGTAATGAAGCTAATAAAAGGTTGTCGTCGACATCCTAGAATGTGTAGAAGTTTACCAAATATTAACATCAAGAAGCAGGGCTTAACATAAGAATTCCAGAAATGTAATCCAATTTCCTGAATTAACTCATTTGTACAGCAAAGGACTGAAACTTGTTACCTTTGTTTCTTCAACTATACAGAGAAGGCCAAATTTTATGTGAATGTGACAGCATTTTGAGCAAGAAAGAACATTTTGCGTATATTACCTTATCTATCTACCTATTTGTTTATTATATATAAAAGCTGAATTATGAGCTTTGAAGTACACAATTAACGTAACTTTTGCTACATCATCAATATGTCATTGATTTCACATTTTAGTTAAATTTCTGATTTTTTTTTTTCCTTCTTTACCACTGAAGCTGTGTGTGCTATTAGACATGTCATCTCTTCCATTTTGTCACCGGTTGGGTCCAGATTTTGGATGATAATGTAGTAGCTACGGACTCATGGCCTGTTTTATCAAGGTATTGGCTATAGGTTTCAATAGAGCTATCTTCTGGAACCATGCTTGCTTGCATGTAAAATGTTATAAATCCTAGCTTTACCACTGCACTGTTAAAGCCAAGCCAAAAGTTTTTGCTTATACCGTTGTGATTTATTCAATGTATTACTGATTTCATATCATTTGAGCAATTAAATGCTATCTGGGACATGCAAATTAGTAAGAGAAGTTTGTTAGAAAGTATGGCTGTATGCAAGAGGGAGTGAATTGGATATCTTTCTATTTTAGAACTTCACACCCCCTTTTGTTTAAAAGAAACTTTTCTTGCCAATTGATTTGTTAAAGTGAGATGAAGCCAGCTTGATCATATTCTCTTGTCAACGATTATGTATGCGATGATCTTAGATGTATCACACAAGATGTCAAGTATGGTAGATAAGAAATGAGAGAGAAGGAAAGAAAAATACATTTTATACTGGCTCACTTGGTACCACTAAGAATTACTTTGTCATCAATCAGTTCGATTGAACATTTTCTTCACTATTAATTCAATTTGTTTTTAGAAATTGAATTAAGCAACCAAAAACAAAACCTTCAAGTTATTTGCAGAAGGGATAATCTGTTCGTGATAGTATTCCTTAAGTTGGTTTTTAGCTAATTTGACATTTCTTTTATTGCTAGTGTATTTAAATATTATAAGGACTTACTACATTTATAAGAGTTGCAAATAGCATTGTTCGGTCTTTTGTGTGTAAATGAGTAAGCACAACATAAATAAACAAATGTGCTACCATAGACTGGACCAATATATTATTTACATTCCCTTCTCGGCCTAAACAAACTTATCAATATTCTTTTTCAAGGCCTTTGAAACAAGTATGGTGTAGGTTCTCTCTGTCGGGTGATAACCGTCCCAGAACACATATTTGGAGGCATCTTTGCAGACATTCAAGGAGAGAAAACTACAGATAAAGTCAAATTCCACGTTTCCAATGCCACAGCATGCCTTATCCACCACTTCAAATCCTGTAGCACAAGTAATGAGTCAGATTGAGAATCATAATTCATGTAGAAATTTAGTTGTTAGTCTTTTTCCTCCCTCAGAATATTTTCATAATGATAAAAATATTAAATATTAGAAGCTATATAAGTAGCACCAAAGAAAGTGATTTTATTCATGTGAGATCTTCAAATTTAAGAGTACAAATTCTCATCATATAGAAGGAGAAATTTACCAAACTGATTGTACCGGTGGATAAGTCCACTGAATTCACTATAGTTTTCAAGGTAGACAAGCCTGGCATCTGGAAGACTTCTGTTGAGAGCCATAATTGAAGAAGAAAGCTTGGAGTTATACACCATGGATGCTTGGTTCACTGATTCTACACAATTCCTTTCTCTGCCTCCTCCTAACGTTCTTTGCGTTGGCACACATCCTACTGGTGATAAGCCAATTATTCCAATCCTTCTTGCTCCCAGTTCATAAAGTTCCTTCCATTAAATTTATGACATGTTCATCAAAATGTGAACTTTCTAATAAAATGGATGATAATGCTAACATCTTAACCAATTGAAAAACAGTTAAGATGATTTAAACTTGTCCCTTCTAAAATTTTCATTTGATAACAAGTGTACATCTTAATAGAACATTTTGTTAACAAAAGCCAGAACTGAATGGTTCAATTGATTATGACATAATGATAGAAATAGAATGCAGTAGTAGAACAGAAAACACTGTTGAAAATCATATGGCTTTGATATATGTTTATTTCTTGAATTCAAGTATTGATCACAGATTTAACATGTTCACATGAAAAGCATACCTGTAGAAAATTGGAAGACATCTCGACCAGCATACTTGTATACCTTTCGATATCATACTCCTCGTTTCGGAATGGTACCAGAAAATATGTTATTGAAATATCATTGCTTCCCATGCTAACAAAAAACATGCTTTTTGCTAGAATAAGAGCTGTCCTTTCTTCCCCTATAGCTGCCTTCAATTTTCCTATGTACTCTTTGAACATAAGTAGTTGATCCTTTATTGACAAAGCCATCTGATATAACAAAGAAAACACAATTGGAAATACAGTTATAATTTGAGTTTAGCTTCAATGAACAAGTAGTGTAAACACTAAATCAACAAAAAAATCATAGTTGATATGACTTTTAAGGAAGTGACTGTAAAAGTTGGTAAATTTACTATACATGAAAAGTTCCTATCCAATTATTATAATAAAAACATTCTACACTAGCAGTGCACGAATCCAGAAAAAGAAACTGTGGTGGTGGAGTGGTGATTACAGATATTTTAACTGTAACAGGATCATATCCTGAGCCAGCTGAGGCGAAGGACACCCCGGTTAAGAGGTCTTCAATCTTCAAATTTGGATCAAGATAGGGTGGCAATGTCTTCTTTACACCAAGTATTTCCGCTGAAATTACATGAGAACTCTTAAGCAGAATGAACGATGACATTGTTTCCTATTAGTAAGTTCTATTGAATAGAAAAACTGTTAAATAATAATCCTTAGTTAGCACATGAAGTACCAAATAAGTCTGAAGGGATCTTGCCATTGCTAAACCTTCCTGTGGATTTCGCTCTAATGAAATCCCTCCCGTATGGTTTGAAATTAGCCTTCATAAATGTTTCAACATAATTGTTGTTCCCCGTATCCAAGATTGAGTCACCAAACGCTATAATAGCAGGAACATGAAATGAATGGTTCACACTTTTAGGTTGTGACACGGCTGCTAAAACAAATGGATAAAAATAGAACAGAGCAAGAGAACAGAAAGGAAGTAATTTAAGAGTGGAAAGCTTCATCTTGTGATTTGAACTATACTCTTCTCAGGAATATGAATTCATAAGGAGTACCAGCTTTAATCTATCACCTTTTTGCAGCATGGTCTAACAGTTGCTTCTTTCTTTTCCTTGATATTTGTTAAAAAGAAAAATATACATCACACACAAGTTCATTTCCAGTAAGATGATGATGTAATATGTTGGATCAGTTTTAACACGAACACAAGATGAATGTGTTCTGTCTTCTTGGTAGGTAGTTTAGTACCAATCTGCTCTCGCCAAATCACCTAAATGATGATGTTTAACAGCAACAATATTAGCTAAAGAATACTATAACGTTCGAGCAGGTAGAAACTTTAGCCAAAAAATAATGGCAAAAGAGAGAGAAACATGACTCAGTCACCTTCTCATGTGTAACGCCCTCAACTCAGATTCACATTGATGGCGGAGTTGAGAATCTTCTGTTGCATGTGTACTCGTCAAATAGCAGGAAGTTTCAGCTGTATACTCTCACAACACGGTTTCAAATGCACACATCTTGAACAAGTACTCGAACTCCTCAATCCTTTACAGTTAAAAAAATTGTGAGACTGATAACATTTTTTTTACTAGTTATTTTAACTAATTAGATATATGTTTCTAAAATTCTATTGTGAGAGTTACTATCATAGGAAAACTGTGAAGCTTTGCAAATTTGTTTTTCCAGTATCTCTCTCTCACACACACACACAAAAAAAAAATTACTAAACTAAAAGAGAAAATAATATTCATAGTCGCTACAAACTTCTCATAAATGTTACGGTAATATAGAGTTGTAGCTAAGTATTATTATAAACCAAAATTATCATTATACATTAAAATTGCATTTATATACTATCTTTTCCATGTTAATGAATATTATATCAAACAAACATCTAAATATAAATATTAAGAATAATATGTATATATATTAAACCAACTCGCTAGGTATTTCTCTTTACAAATAAGAAGACTTAAAAGTTATTTTCATTCTTATAAGTATAATATATGCTCTATCTAATCTTTTTAAAATGAATGGTTAATTGAAGGGGAATATATGAATTCAGATTTAAACTTTAATAAGGATTATGAAATTTAATCAAAATTTTAAAATAAATATTCTTATAATATAATAATTATATAATAATTTTATTAGTAATAATATTTTTTAAAAATAATAATAAAATTTATTATTATTATCGTCATAAATTATAATAAAAAATATAAATATAAAATATATTAAAGATAAGATGAATAATAATTAAAATAAAATAAAATATAATAAAATAAAATAATTATTATTTAAAATTAATGTAATCAATTTAAAATAAAAATAAATTATATCAATCGATTTTTTTATTTTGATTTAATTAAAATTTAATTATTTAAAAATAACATGTCAATTTTTAAATTAATTCTCATTTGGACGGTTAAGGAGTTAATTGAGTATAAATTTCATTGAGAAATTCACCTTTATTAGATAGCATTTGCATCTTTTTACCGTATATTCAACCTTAAAGAGCATAAAAATTATGAGAAGATATTATCAAGTAATTATTCTCCCAAGTTGTTCTTTGATTCAAGATTTGAAAGAAGAGAGGAAGAAATATTGGAAAAAGAGAATCCGCTCAGCGTAGGAAAAGATGCGCTCAACTGATTTTTCAGCGAGAGAAGTTCCAACCTGAGCTAAAATCCGCCCAGCGCCTCAGAAATACGCCCAGCAGATTTCTCCTCTCTTTAGACCTAATTTCTATTTAAGAATCAAAAGAAAAGACGTGGGAGATAGTCAGACAGAGGAGAAAGGAAGAAAAGACGGTGGGAGCTCGTGGGAACGCATATCCACTTGAATCCAATCAGTTATTGTTGTAGTTTCTTCTCCTTCTTCTCTTGTTTTGTAATGGGTTCCTCCATGAGGGACTAAAACTCTTTGGGTTGCATTACATGTAACTACTTTTAGACCATTTCTCCATATATATGATTTTCGTTTGCCACAGTTGTGTTTGATTCTATTCTTAATGCTTTCTTCGGAGTGATCAACTGATTTAAGATCCGAGGGTTTTGATTGTGTTGGAAAATGTTTTCATTAACCAGAAATGGATCAAATGTTTAATAGACAACCTCTCTAGGAATAGAAGTGTGTTTATTAATCACGTTAATCTCAAGATCTTTTCGTAAGACAGAGTGTTGAGTTTTAACACCCTAGGACTTGTTTTCGAGGAATCAGGCTAAGTTATATACTGAGAGTGAAACTGTAAAACAGAAATGATATAGTTGGGAAATAGGGTTGGAAGTAAGTGCATGTAATTCAATCTACTTTATTTATAATCACTTTTCATTTTACTAAATATTGCGCTTATTTTTAGTTATTTGTCTCAAATCATACTTTCGATCCATGATTATAACTATATCTTGTCTGCAATATCAGTAAGTCACAAATCCCTGTAAATGATAATTCTTTACTACATTGAAATTTGGTACACTTGTTGAATAATTTGAATTCATTAATGAAAATAATAAAATGGATCCAATCGAATTTTCAAAACAATAATACTATCAAATATGATTTATAACATGTTAATATCATCCAACCAAAGTCAAGTTATAATTTTCTTAGGATTTAGATATTTAATATTTTGCGTAATTGATTGATTCGTTCATGTACACATCACTCTCATATTAAATTGTTTTTTCGGATGTTATGGATTTTTTTTTCTTATCATTTTCTTCCTATAATTAATTTCTCACAAGCAACAACAAAAAATAAAAACATTTTTAAATTATAATTTAAAATATATTGATGATTTTATTTTAAATAATAATATAATTTTATATTATATTAAGGAAGAGTCTTTAAAAAGTCTCTCAATGTCTCTCCAATGACTCGAGGATGAAAATTTTACAAGCAACAAACTTTCTAAGAAACAATTATACAAACACACATCTTGTAATTGTATATTTTACTCAATCTTGGATAAACATATTTCCATCTATCTTATGTACACATTGTAAATAATTAAGCAACCTTTTTTACTTCTTTTTTTTGTCTTGGAGAATGCAAAAATCCTTACTTGAGTTTTTTTTTTTTTTTTTTTTTACATGTTGATCACATCATACTAAATTCACCCAACTGAACACTTTACTAAGGTACGTATATCAAAAGATGAAGGACTAAGGTACTTATATCAAAAGATGAAGAGGAAGAAATAAGGAAGAGTAAAATATTTTATCATTTAGTTTTTATATTAATATCTTTATGTATTGGTAATAATGAGAATTAGAATAGCAAATGCCGTTAATTTAATACCCATATTATTGTGTAAAAAGGAGAAAGTGATATTATAATTCTAATATGAAGAGAATATGTTACCATTCTGTATGGTCAAAATAAAAAGTAAAATGGAAGAAAAAAAATATTAAAACAGTGGGTGGTGACTTAGCAAAACAGTGGTGGGAATAGTAAGGCCTGCCCATAATAGCTAGGCTCCAATTCCAGCCCAACACGCTACTCTACTTGTTGCCTAAGCAGCTGCAGGTATCAAAAGCACACCAACAGACCTTGTTCGTTTTCTTCGTCTTTACTCTTCACCAAGCGAAAAAGCTTGACTAGAGAGGCAGAGAGAGAGGTTTGAATCGCAACTCAGAAGTAAAACGAAGAAGCAAACACAAAGGAAAGCACAATGGCGAGGTACGATCGAGCAATCACCGTCTTCTCCCCCGACGGCCACCTCTTCCAGGTCGAGTACGCTCTCGAAGCCGTCCGCAAAGGTAACGCCGCCGTTGGCGTCCGCGGCACCGACAACGTCGTCCTTGGCGTCGAGAAGAAATCCACCGCCAAACTCCAAGACTCCAGGTTCTCTTCCAATTCCCCCTTTTTTTCAGATCCCTTTCCCTTCGATTAGGGATCAACGAAACAACGGCGTCGTTTCAAACTATACTTAGCTCACTCCCTAATTGATTCTCTGTCGATTCGCAGGACGGTGAGGAAGATTGTAAATCTTGACGATCACATTGCGCTTGCGTGCGCCGGGCTGAAGGCCGACGCACGTGTGCTCATAAACCGGGCACGTGTGGAGTGTCAAAGTCACAGGCTCACCGTCGAGGATCCCGTAACCGTTGAGTATATTACCCGTTACATTGCGGGGCTTCAGCAGAAGTACACACAGAGTGGTGGTGTGCGCCCCTTTGGGCTTTCCACCCTCATTGTTGGGTTTGATCCCTACACTGGCGCGCCCTCACTGTACCAAACGGACCCCTCTGGCACGTTTTCCGCGTGGAAGGCGAACGCCACCGGCCGAAACTCGAATTCGATTCGGGAGTTTCTGGAGAAGAACTACAAGGAGACCTCTGGGCAGGAGACTGTGAAATTGGCTATTCGTGCATTGCTTGAAGTGAGTTTCATTTTTGCTATTCCTACCTGGTTTTATTGTTTATCTGGAGTTTTGTGTTGTGCCCAAGGTTTTAAGTTGCGATCACAGGTTGTAGAAAATAGAAAACAAATATGGCCACAAAAGGACCACCCCAAAAATCTTGATGTTGTGACTGCAATTGTGGGTTTATAATCTTGGTAGAGGACATTGCATTCCCTTGCCTTGTATTTTGCACGTGTCTGCCTTTTAATGTTCTTTATGGCTTGGGAAGAATGTTAAGGTAGTGTTTGATGGGAAGACAAAATGGATTGGAATGGTCCACCCTGATGTTTTCTATTTGGTTCTACTTTTTTAGTGGAATCAAAACGTACAAGTTTTATAATCTTATGTTCCATTCTGTTCAATTTTAAAAATGCACCGAACATAGCATAAAATCTATAAGTTATGTTCTGTCTCGTTCTAACCTGGCTATCCCAAGCTACCTAGTTGTCTTGAGTTTGATATGCCTTATAATACTTTGGGCAGTTGAGTCGAAGTAACATTTTCACTAGTTTAGACTGGCCTAAAGTACCCTTCATACATAGATTTGTCTCTTTTATTCTTGAGGTAGACCCAGATTCTTTGTAACAAACAATAGTTAATATGGCATATAAGTTGTTATTTAACACATATATAGTACTATTATTTTGGAATATGATCTTTCTGTTAGATTAAAGCACACTGATATATGTTTTATTGATGTAGACATCGAGCATGTTTTAACATAGAACTCATTCTTACCTAGACTTTGTTGATACATGTCTGTAAGCTATCTGGTACATTATTCAACCACAACTTTAACCATTAATTCCATTTTAATCTACTAAACAAACATTTTTTTTAGAATGTCATGATAACTTCTCAGATATCTGATAGTTTACATCTTTCAGATTGTCTTTGTATCAATATATAACAATGATCTCCTAAGTCTTCGTCTTCTTTTCAGTAATTGTATGTAGGAATGTAAGCCAAACCAAAATGAATATATGAAAAACAATGAGATTATGTAATACATTTATTTGGTACCTGTGATTCTCTTTGTTGAAGAGCTCTTCATTTGAAATAAAATAAAATAGAAGATGAGAGCTAGAGCTGGACAGTTGGAAGGGATGAGGATGTTATTGGTTCTTAAGATGTTCTATTTATTCTCTTTTATGAATTTATTTTCCATAGATGCAAGCTAACTTCATCTTTACTGATAAATTAAATTATTAGGACATAAATATATGGCTATTAGATTATTTCTAGATGATCTAGTATTGTCTGCAACTTAAAGTCAGTATTCCACAAACCTTAGCGCTTAATTTACCCATTTTTGTTTTGAACGAAATTATGATTTAGGAATTTCAGGTAATATATTTATTGTTCGGGAACAATATACCAATCAAATACTTAGCAATGTTGTAAGATTGATTAATGGTCTAACCATATATTTGCTTCAATGAGCACTTAACTGGTTAATTTTACTAAAATGGAAAAATATTTTTGCTTGTAATTTCCATGTTTATGCTTTTTGTATTTTTCGAACTCTTAACTTGTCCTCTTTTTGGGTTGTTTTATGCATAACTTGGGAAAGGAAATATATTACCCATTGAAGACTGACATTTGCAGTGCTGCAGACTGGTTCTTTTGATTTGAAGAAAAATTGTATTATTGAATTAAATGTACAAATGTACACGACTTGTTTGCACTCATAGCTACGTAAAATGAAATTTTTTTGGCTGCCTAACATAATGATATTCACACCTATATTTTTGATAATGTTTTGAATCCCAAATATTGTCAGACCAAGCTGATAAGGCTGATAGTTGTAGATTGCCTATTTAAAATCAAACTCTGAAATAGATCAAGTAGTTCTGCCTATTCCTGTTGCATAATTACAGTATTTGTGTAATTACTATATGTTAATAGTTTGTAATGCATTTGAACATGATTTATGTACTTGTGATTTTTATTTGACATCATATGTGATTAGGTTGTTGAGAGTGGCGGGAAGAACATAGAAGTTGCTGTGATGACAAAGGAGCATGGTCTGCGTCAGCTGGAGGAAGCTGAAATTGATGCCATAGTTGCTGAGATCGAAGCAGAAAAAGCAGCTGCTGAGGCTGCTAAGAAAGCCCCTCCTAAGGAGACATGATTTTCTGTTTATTAGTGTGTTACGCGAGCAGTGTTCTTGCTAGATTGAAACAGAAAACGGTTGTTTAGGCTGCAAAGAATACCCTTTCTGAGGAGACACGATTTATATTACTTTTATTTAACTCGTGCATTGTTCTTCTAGATGTTGGCCTAACTTAAAATTGAATGCTTTACTGATTTTGGGTACTTCTGCCATATGGGTGTTGGTCAAATTAATTGCATCTGTAAGAACTGTCTATTTATACTGGCCATTACCATTATATTTAAGAAATATTTTTCCATTGGGTAGAAGATATATATATATAAAAAAAATCATGTGAATTGATTTATATTTAAGAATCGTAATTTGTTCATTTCAAATGTTAAAATATTTCATAACATTCATAATATTGTGATTGATTTAAAAGTTTGAAGGTAAGCTAAACCTGACATTTTTGTTTTTCTTTTGTACTGATTTTCTAATTGTCTAAAAATTATTATACTGATATTTGAATTTAATTATTTAAAAAAAGACGTATCCGTATACTTCAACGAGGAAGTGATGAAAAAATAGGAGTTCGTGTAATTACTCAAAATGTGATGGTTCACCGGTTGTTAAATCGATTCAATAATAGATTATTAGTGATTCTAAGAGTTGGTTAGCCCCAACTTATAATAATTAAGTTTTTTAATCTTTGACTTAAATATAAGAGCATAATAAATAACAAAGTAAAGTTACTTGTTAGTTTAATTTTATTTTTCTTAACTTATAAGGTTTATTTAAGCTAAAAGTTATTTAATAAATTTGTTAAAAGATTTGTTTTATTTTTTTAAAATAATAAAGTTATTTTGCCAAACATTTTTCCTTTCATTTTCTAATATTTAATAAACAGGTAAAATAAATATAATCATAGTGTTGTATTATAGTATAAATATATAAAACATTTAATTCTTAAAATATATTTTTTTCTTTAATAAAAAAACACTTTATTTTAATGATATAGCATGCAAATAATGTATGACCTCAATTAAAGAAAATTGCTAGGTGGGAGGTGGAAGGCAACAAAGTAAACATAAGCAATAAATCATATACTAAAATTATTGGCCTATGCAGGTTTCGAACCTGCGACCTTCGCGTTATTAGCACGACGCTCTAACCAACTGAGCTAATAGGCCCTTTATTAAATGTATTAAGATTAATTTTAATTATATTCTAAACCAATTATGTTTCTTGTAACAGCAGTTCTCCATAACCTGCAAGCCTTCTATCATCAAATTGAGGAGGAGGAGAACAGAGATTTCGTTACACCATGAAAGAAACAAAGGAGGATAACGAGGTACTTTCCGTTTTTCAGAGGAGAATAGCTCGCTCCTATCATTTTTATTTTTATTTTTGCTTTCAACTTTCCTTACCATCAAATCCCCAATTCATTTCAGCAACCTCTGAAAATAATATGTAAAATCTCATTTTTCAATATTGAAAAGAACTTGTTGGTGTCACCAAGCTTGTTTTTTTATTATTATTGTTGTTGTTTTCATTTGTTTGTTGTTCCTGTATCTCGTAAGGTTAAGCGTTGGTTACATCTCTGTTTAATGTTGAAATCTGCTTGGACGTCGCTACTCTAGTCAGATTCTGTTTATTTATGGCCAAAAATTGTAGCTTTTGTCTCTTTTCTACACACAAATAATCACTACGAGAGAATTTGTTATTTTGCTTTGGTAATTTAGATTGATGCATTTTAGCGACAAGGTACCATTCACAAATCCCGTTATCTTTTCCCTTTGGTAAAATCCCATCGACTAGAACATCCAGAAACAACTTAGAATTTTCAAACTTGTCTATGAGAGTTTGCATATAAACATCATCATGTATCCGTGAGGGTTTCGTTTGAATTCCTTGATATAAGGATTCCGTTCAGGTTATTAGTAAGTTGTAGGTTAAGCTAGCCTTGAATGTCCATGTTGATCAACCTCGCGAGTGGGTGTTCTTTCGGAAGGTTTGCATTTTCTGGAATTAGTGGTGCTCCCTGTTAAACGACGGTCTAGTTTTTTTTTTTTTTTTTTTTCTGATTGAGATTTGCATTCCTTTCTCTTTTGGTGAAGTTATGGCTTTAATGATTCTATTGGCATGTGAAGAAATCCATCCACCCTTGTCTGTAACTACCCGCAATGGTCACTCAGACTTGCCTGAAGCTCAGGGACTGTGATTGACTTGGAATTAATATTTGTTGGATGGGTACTCTTATTGTCTTAACTGGCTCTCTCAATATGAATGTATATGAAGGCAGGATAATAAACTTACCTAGCCATCAACTGAGGATCTTTGACATATGGTTCTTTGGAACTTCATTATCTACATTGATTCCTGTTTCTCTTGAAAAGCTTTTTTTTTTGGCACATTGGGGGATTAACAGTGTAGTTTCATCATGATACTATACTCTATCGTATAGAATTTGTGCTTTAAAGGAACAAGAGAAAAGGTGGGAGTGGCATTAAATGTGTATGTTAAGATTGATGTGTGACCACAAGAAAAGGATTGTAAATAACCTATTGAGAAGAAAGAAAACAGCAAATCGGTAAACGTTGTTTGGACACATGCATAGTGCAAGTAAACTAAGAAGGCCATCGGAGACACGAAGGAAAGTGGTTTGATTTCACATTTTATACAATATTCTTGTTTTAACATTGGCACTAACTTAAACATCCCTGAAATTCAATTTTTTCTGCACTTTACTGATTTTGACCAAACATTATTTATGTTTCCTTCTTCTGGCAGTACTTAGATTTGTCCACTTACTGTCATATTCTCCAAATCATTTATTTGACAGAAGTGAATTTGATTTCAGACAGAAGATAATAAGCAAGCTTCTGCTGATGTGTTGTTTCATTATTCAAGATTTGCGCTGGCCTGTATTGGATGCAAGATTCGACCATTCAATTTGAGGCTTCATTTAATGAAGGTAGAAAAGCACATATTTGATATTTTCTCATTTACATGATATATTTTGTTATATTTTAATCGATCCATACTTTTTATGGACATCACAACATTTTTCAGGAGATTTCGGGTATGCCCTCTTCTCTAAATAGGGAATCACCACAGAATGCAGCATCACCTGATCCAATGGGTGAATCATCAAGCACAGGAACAGCAAGACTCGACAGAGGAGACAGTTTCCGGGCACTATAATACACTTTTTTCTCCCACATACTATGATGGTATACATGTAGGAAGAATTATGTTTCCAACTACCATTTGTGCAATGGTTCATACATTGTTACTGATTACCACGTTCAGTCACTCACTCAGTCATTTCAAATTTGCTGTAGTGTGGTTTAAATTTAGTTCATTTTAGTTAGTAATTATGGTTTTGAGTGATTCTACCTTACTCTACATTCTACCTTAGTACTTATATTTGTAACAAAATATGTATTAATAAGTAAATGCATGTATGTATTCACTCACTTTTCAACTTATGCCTTCACACACACACATATATATGTATAAGCTCACTGCATTTTATTGGAAATAAAGGGCACAATGAACACTCAAGAGGTAAATTTTTCATGATTTTGGTATGTTGGTTAAAGGAACATTATTAAATCTTTACAAGGTTGAATTCAGATTGTGTTGTCAAATATGTTTTGTACTTTTAAAATTTGCAAAAGTATGTTTTAGTATTTCTAATTTTTTATTTTTATTTTCAATTTTTATGTCTTCTGAATTTTGAAATGTATTATTTGTAATGCACAAAGTAGTTTAAATAGTACTTTATAAAGAGAAGTAAAAAATGTTTTAGATGGCTTCTCATGTATTAGGACAGTAATTGTACAACTTAAAAAAAATAAAAAATTATCCATATTCATATAAATAATTCAGCTCCTATTCTCTTTCTTTTATTCTACACAAACAATTTGACACAACTAGTCTTTGGAATGGTTAAGGTTTGAATAGTTTTTTTTTCTATAAAATATATTTTTATCTTTGTAAGTTATTTAATTTTAATATTTTAAATTTGGCTTAATATTTTTCTAGTGTTCTTTATTTTATTTAATTTGATCTCAATATTAATAAAAAATTAAATTAAATCTTTTATTTTCTAAAAACACAACAATATAATATTTTTCATATTAAAAATTAAAAAGTTAACAGATAAATATTGATGGTTTTAATTTAAATATAATAAACTATATTATATATATAAAGTGAATCGTATTATTGAAAGAATTTATCGTCATATTTTTTAAATTAAAAAAATTGATTAAACAATTTTATTAAAAAGATTAGATTAAATAAAATAAAATAAATAAATAAATAACAAAATAAATATATAAATAAAGTTAAAATTATTTATTTTTTATATTTCTGTAATTTTTATTTATAGGATAATGCGATATTTTTAACATATTCTTAACAGTAAATATTAAAAAATTCAAAAAAAAACTATAATGGTAGAGATTACATAAACTAAAAGTATGTGGATACTATTTTTTATATAATTATTTATAGGCAAAGGATATTTATGGTATAAAAATTATTTGAAAACAAAGGAAGCTGTATTTAACAAACATGTGTATAGAGAGAGAAAAAATAACCCATGTAACGGCTACTTCTTTCACAATCTCAACGGCTACTTTTTAAGAAATTTAAAAAGGTCACTCTCTTCTCCAAAGCACATCCTTCTTCCCTTCTTCTCCGCTTTACAGTGGCTTCGCTGTCTACTCTTTCAAACCACTGTCCGATTGTTCCTCTCTGTTCTTCTCTAGCAGAAGAAGCATCAGATCCATTCAGTTTCAAACTTCCATTGCCATTTATCACATCACAATGCAAGACATGTGGAATGCTCCACCGGGTTTCAGGCCCTCCAAATCAGCACCTTCTTCTCCTGCGAAGCCTCTCGGCGCTGTTCTCAGAACACGGTCTGAGTCCTTCCATGTCACTCATAAGGTCCCAGTTGGTGACACTCCTTATGTCAGAGCCAAAAACGTTCAAGTAAGACTTTTTTTTTTTTCCTTTTTGTTGCAATTGACAAGGTCCTTTATGGAATTTTGTTTTTAGTCTCTATTCAAGTGTTGATTGTTCTGTTGTTTGTTGTTTAGTTGGTGGATAAGGACCCGGAGCGAGCAATTCCATTGTTTTGGGCAGCCATTAACGCGGGAGACCGAGTGGACAGTGCTTTGAAAGATATGGCTATTGTCATGAAGCAGCAAAACCGGGCTGGAGAAGCCATTGAAGCCATTAAATCGCTTCGAAGTAGATGTTCAGATCAAGCCCAAGAATCTCTGGACAACATCCTCTTGGATCTTTACAAGGTATTGACACCTTCACTGACCAAGTTTTATGTTATTTTATTGTAAAAGCTTTTAATGAATTAGTTGGTTATAAAAAAATTGTTGTAGTATGTGTGGAATGTTGTAATTGTTGTTGTCTGTGCCATTTATGTATAGTATCAAAACTTATATTTATATGAGTGAAAATGCTGAAAAAAAATCTTGTTTTTTTAACAGCGGTGTGGGAGACTTGATGATCAAATAGCCCTCTTGAAGCATAAGTTGTACTTAATTCAACAAGGGTTAGCATTCAATGGCAAGCGCACAAAGACTGCAAGATCTCAAGGGAAGAAGTTTCAAGTCTCTGTGGAGCAAGAAGCTACTAGACTGCTGGTAAGAATAGCTCATGACAGTGAACTTTTACTCACTTTCACAGTGTTCACTCATTTCTGCTGTCTTCATGAAACTGAATTGAACTTGTTTTAATGTAGGGAAACTTGGGATGGGCACTAATGCAGCAGAACAACTACATTGAAGCAGAAGAGGCCTATCGGCGGGCACTTTCTATAGCTCCCGACAACAATAAGATGTGCAATCTGGGCATTTGTTTGATGAAGCAAGGAAGAATTGGTGAGGCAAAGGAGACACTGTACCGTGTAAAACCTGCAGTTATGGATGGTCCTAGAGGCTCAGATTCTCACTTGAAAGCCTATGAAAGGGCACAGCAAATGCTGAAAGACCTTGAATCTGAGATGATGAATAAGGGAGTTGATAGGATTGAACAAAGCAGGCTCTTTGAGGCCTTTTTGGGTTCTTCATCGATCTGGCAACCCCAGCCTTGCAAGGACCACCACACAACCTTACCAGCAGCAACAAATTCAGCCAAATTTCGTGATGATTTTGCTGATGAGAACATCAATTCCAACATAATGACCAAAAATCACACAGCACTGCCACCATCTAAAGCGATCACTACTACTAACAAACATGTTGTTGCCATGTTGGGGAACTCACTCAATGTTGCAGCTCCTCCATTCTATGCATCAAAACCCATGTTGAGGGAACCAGTTGAGAACCAGTTCTCTGAGACCCTTAAGAGAACAAGGTCTGGAAATGTTGCAGGGTCCATGAGAGCAGTGAGTGATGTGAGAGAGAGCAACAACAAGTTGCATGTGGAATTAGGTGTGCCAGTGCCAGGGAACAAAACAAGAAGGCTCTCTTCAGAGGCTGGTGAGAAAAACAAGTTAACAGATTTATTACCTGATGACAATGACTTTGAAGAGGCCATTCTTGCTGCAATTTTGGGGCCCTCCAACGATAGTAAAGCTACCGAGACAAGCAGGATTTTGCAGAGGAATAGTGACAAGAGACTTAAGGTTTTTGAGGATATCACGTTATCTTTGAGTCCAAGAGCCTGAAGTCAACGAATTTTTAATCTAATGAATAATGAATTATCTAATAACATAGTGTTTTAGGTTGGAGATGATCTTGCTCTCCACTTGTTGTTTAACTTCATCATCCATCTTCTGTAGAAAGAAGAAGCATGCTACTTAACGGATAGGAATTAGCTTCATGACTATTGGCATGCCATTATTTGTTATCATCTGTTTATTTGTTATATTGCCTTGTAAACCAGGCACATCATTGACTTAATAAATTTTAAGTTTTTCATTCTTGAAAAGGTTATCTTGTGTCCTCTGTACAAATTATAAATTAGAATTCTTTTATTTTATTTTCTTACTGGTGGGGTGGGTTCAGAAGTTAAGAAACACAATTTCATTTTATTCTACTGTTTCAGGATCATCATTGATGTTGCCATTTATAAATCTTTGCTAATTAAAAGCAGTTGAAAATTGTAGTACCTGTGTTATGATCCATATTTCAAAAACATAGGTTATATGTTGTTAATAAACACTGCGTTCAGAATTTTTTTAGTTCATGTAGAAATTATGGGATTTTTAATGGCAATAATAGTGTCATCAGATCAATTTCATCAACTCAATAATCAAAATAAAATTAATTAAATTAAATATACATTATTTTAACATTTATATCTAGAAAATTAGTATTAGTTTACTCTTAACTTGTAATAGATTATTAAATTTAAATTTTGGAATTTGAAAGAAACAATGATAATTTTTATAAATAAATAAAAAAGATTAAGAGGAGACTATAACTGCTTTAATAATAATGACTATTAATGTTGTTGTTATGCGCTTTGATGACACGAATTTGAATTTTTGCTATATTTTTATTTCATATATAATTTAAAAATAAAATGTTATTAAAATGATTTTTCATGTATTATATCTTTTATTCTTTAAAATATATTATTTTTTAAAAAAATCAACTATTCTTTTACTTCCTGATTGGTTTTTCATATATATCCACGATCCGGGATGAGTGATAATCAACTACATAATTCGCTTTATATAGAGAGAGAATATCAGACTAAGTTTATTCAGAAGTAAAATAGAACATGTTATAAAATGAAAATATTACACAATTGTTATTTATATTCACTTAAATATTTTTCAATAAATATAAATGATTATGATATTTTTTTAAAATATAACTGTTAATGTACATATAAATTCAAACATATAGAGTTAATGAAGGTTAAATTGCGTGAATAAAATACTATAAAAGTTATATTAGATTTAATTCATTTAAAATATATTTCATTTTGACTTATGTGTCATATTTTGATCAATAATTTTGATTTTAATGTTTATAGTTTGTTTTACATAACTTCTTTTTTTATTATTATTAATCATTAGTAAATTAGTCTATATATCTAATGATATGTCAAACTTATAAAAAAATCTTAAATAAGCTTTTAAGCAGATTAATAACTATCGGCATGCTTTAAACATGTCACCAAGTATATCCACTGGTTTGCTTATATTACAAATTTTTAGATAAATTCCTCTCTAACCATTTAAATAAAATAAATTCATTCATAATTAATGCATAACTAGTTAATTTATACAAGAATTCTCACGTAATTTCTCTAAAAAAATTTAACTAATACAAAAATTATTTTTATAAAAGAATATATATATATATATATATATACACACACACACACACACGAGAGAGAGAGAGGTCCAACTTTTTTTTTGGATGAATTTTAAGGTAATGTCTCGTGCTGCCATTGATCTTATAGAAAATGCATTTCCTGGAAAAGTTCCTCTTTGGTTGACCAAAATGTAATTTGGAAAAATAATTGAATTAGTATTTCTATGAGAAAATTGACAACTCCACCATCTTTGCCCAAAAAACAAATTGCCAAAACCTGTGCCTCTCCCTCCAAATTTCACATGTGCTGCCAATTCCATTATGGAAACCCCGCAAGACTTGGCAAACTTGGAGCTTTACACCCTTTTTCTCCTGAGGATTAATTCCCTGCTTCAGCAACTTACGGTGCAAATATATTAGATCCAAGTTCAATCCATTTATTTATCTCAGGCCAAGCTTGAATCCTGAATCGAACAAGTGACCGTACGCTTGTAGCTACTAACCAGTGGTCACTTTCTTCAAGAACACCATTAAATCCTCCATTCTTTTTCTCCATCATATAGCAGGTTAAACCAATAGTTAAAAATAATATAAACAAAAAAAATGAACAATTTTAGTGGATGACTAATAACTTTCTAATTGCTGCAAACTATCCTTTCCTTCCTCGACACTAACTGTATCAAATGTGCATTTCACGCTCCAACCACTCAACAAGGAACCAGGTCCCTTCTTCACGATTATCTACTAATTCTGTATATATTCAGTTTGTGAACTTTAATGTAAAAATAATATATTTCAAAGTAACAAAATAAATATTTACAACGGCTCTTTCTCGCTAAGAACTTGTTTTCAAAAACTCATTAGTCCCATCAAGGCTTGAGTACCAACTCGGACTTGTGATCATGCATCAGAACTCATAAACTTGTTTCCTAGTAAAGCTTTAGCCTCAATCAATATTAGAGAAGAATTACTAGAGAAGCTTTGAACACTATGCATTAAAGTAAGATCTGCAAGCTGAACAACCCATATATTACATGTTGCACACCTACCAATCTTCTATGTCATCATCAGAAATGCTCCTAGATTGTTCATCTAAATCCATTTTGTTAAAATCAAAGTCTTCCATTTCCAAGCCCCTTGATGATTTCTGACTTGGTTCGTGATAATCACCACATGCTCTATTTCCCAGCAATTTAAGCATGGGCATGTACTCAGTGGCCATAATTGACATGTGATAAGAACTAAACCGTTTACGGGCAGGGATTCTGAGTCTATCCACTTCATTCTACAATTTAAGATCACGAACGCATGTCAAATTTCAATAGTGGCAGAAATAAAAATCTAGAAGATGAAACAGTTGAATCTTCTATTGAGAAAGCTACCTTGCCAACAGCACTAAGTAATGTAAACAAAGTTTAAAAATAAAACTACTTGAAGTACTATATTCCATTGATGCTCTCCGGAGTCCTTTTTTCTTTCCAAAGGTAGTTGAACTAAATGTAATAAATTTCTAATTCAAATTACCTACTTCAAATACATAATTGAAAAAATGCGGGATAAGAAACTATAACATAAAGAGGAGACTTAATGAGTTTACCTTGTACAATGATGCTTTCTCAACTTGCCAGAGCTTTGGTCGCCGAACTGCATGCCACCTGTACAAGTGAACAGAATAATATATAACAGAAATATAAGGTTCTATCACACAGAAGACTGAATGTAAACAAGTGATAACCTGGAGGGTAGTGGATGAGAATTTCCAAATAGAACCCCGCGAACAGCTATAGATGCAGCAGCTGACTGTAAAATACCCTCTGCCTCGTTATAACTACATAGCATTCCTCGGAGTTTAGCAAGAAGAATGTCAGCATCACCTAGATATGAAGACAGAATCCATGCGTCATCTATTGCCTCATCATCCAAAAAATCCAGAACTGCAAAAAATTATCATGAATTAGAAAGCTACTGGATTTGGTTTAGAACATTAAAGAAAGATATCATCTTCATTGTAGAAATGTTTTTAATTTTTACAGAGAATATCAACACAAGCATATCAGAAGGAAATACCATTTTCATGCAGAAAATCAGCAACTGGACCAGGTTGCACATGGGCTTGACAAAGAATCTTCTCGGGGACATCCATTTTTGATGGTAATCTTGAAAGTCTTTCACAAATAACAAATCCATGATCTCCACATAAGAAAATCCACTAGTTAGAAAGATGTAGCATAACGATATCAATATATAACTTTGCCAACTTATATTGCTACTTCCTCAAGTACAAGAAAGACAAGATAAGGAAGTCAAATTTTGCTAAAGTACACACCATATTCTGTTCCACCTCCAGTCTCCCTTTTATTATGCAAAAATTTCCCCAAAGCATGAAATAAAGATAATGCCTCATCTCTGCCAAAGTGCAATGAATATCCATCATCTGATATAACAGGTTTATTACTTTCCTCTTTCAATGAACCATGAGAGCAAGTTGCTGGGGGGAAAAGGGCCAAAGAATGCATTAGATTTGGTTTCAGGCAGAAAAACTGTAAAGAAGTGATTGCATGTCTGATGTCACCCCCACTTGTTTTTGCTATTAGATCAACATACTCAGCAGTCACATCACACTGCTCCATTTGGCATATTCTTAAAAGTATCTTCTTCATAGTATTCGCTGTAATTGGATTGAAAGCAACCTGAAAGTTTCCCAAACTATGTTTAACATATAAATTCTCTTATAACATGGCATAAAAAAACAGAAGATAATTCTTCAAGGATGTAACCTTACAAGCCCCAGAACTCTCCAGAGATAGCTTCAGTTCTTCCAGGCAACGAGCATTATAATCTACTGAGTCAGCATTTCCATAGTCAGTTAACAATATTGCTGTGGGTATCCGAGTTGAATTCACCAAAAGTTGCAAGCAATTTTTAAGTCTTCCAAAAGCAGATTTCCCATTAGTCATTGGAAGATCATCTATTACAAGTATGATGGAAGGCTTTGACTCCCCAGTATTGGAAGTTAGCAATAATCCATATTTTCGTACTCTCTCAACAAAACTTTCAAATTCATCCAATTTGGACGAGTATTGTGTCCCTGAAATGAATTAGAAAATTAAAAACAAAAATTAAGGTCACAATCAATATGTTACAAATTTCAATCATTAGAATCCCCCAAATAGCCTGTATTCTCCCGTTTGGAATGTAAACACAATGCACATTGTAATTTAACAATACATCCTCAAGGACACTAATAATTTCACAGAAAGAATAGATGTTTAACAAGGGAAGCTAAAGGGGATAAGAATCATGATTTTTTCACACTAGCTCATCAAAATATAGTTGCTGAACCCACCTGTACCAGAATTATAAAGATGTTCCTGCCAAATTACAGGTGTAGGTGTGTTCCACCCATAAACTATTGCTCCCAGATGAGATGCGATTACATGAATAGCTGCCTACGTAATGAACAGAAGAAATGCTTCAATACCAATGTGGTATTTCTATTTAAGTACATTAAAATAAGGTTCTTCATAGCTATGTAAAGTGAAGTGCTATTCAGTAATAATTAAATTAAAATCTGCATATATAAGAACAAAAAAAGCCAAACCAAAACAAACATAGATAAAAGAGAAGATTTTGACACCAAGCCACAGAAGCCTAATGCTCCAAATATTAACATTTCCAAATTCTCCTGAGTGGCACAGCCAGTACATGAAAGAGGCCAAATGAGGAAGGTAGTGCTACATACAGATTTTCCAACTCCGGCCTGACCACTGATGAGGAGAACATTATTAGTGTAGACACCCTGTAAATTTTCCATAAAGAAAATAAAGAATAAAGGAACTCACAATATGAATGAAATAAAATCAACATAATGCATTTATAATATAAAGTTCAGGGAGGACAATTTATAGTAACTTAGAGTATAACCTAGTACAGGGGAAGAAAGTTCTATAGAAATGTAAAATCTGGAATTAAACACATGAGAAAGAATTTATAAGACTCAAAACGACCAACAACGAACCACCAAAAGATGATGATGTTACCTTTTTTAGACCAAGACAAAATATCAAACATTCTAGAAATATTGACAATTCAACATTAATTTATCATTACGACATTCTAAAAACTTGTTCTTCACTTTACAGGAACAATAACAATCTCGATAAACTATCAACCCTAGTGCGTGAAAATCAAGAGAACAGTCATGCAGAATTAATTAAAATCTTACAGCTCTATTCCTAGATTTACCTTGGAAGGTCTCAACCTCTCTTCAAACCACATCTTAACATCTTCAACCTGTAAATGCAACAAAAAATGGAGAAAATGTGATGGTATTCATATCACTACCAAAATCAAGACAGTAGGAATCAGATTCCTTGACCTTTTTCTTGTGAACAGCAAGCTCTTCCGGTGAATGGGGCTTGTATTTATCAACCCATAGCTCCTCTGCAAAACTCCTTTGAGTACCTGTTGTATCCATGTAGCACTTACAACATCTTAGAGCATAAAAGAAAAAGAGACAGATCCAGAAGGCTCAACAATTGGGAGTTGGGATAAATGGTGCAAATTGAAGATTTCAATTTTATTTTTATTTTTTTGTATTTGTTAAGTTGAAACTCAGGCTGTCTGTTTAATAAACCTTCACCATTTTAACAAAGGTCCATGTATTAGTATAAAATTGAAAATTACTACTTGCATCCTTCAAAATGAGGAGGCACACTTTAGAGAATAAGGTGAAGCTTTAACTGTCGGTTAGAAAATTAACTGATTAATATTGTGATAAAATGCAAATATATGTGTAAACAAACTAAAGATCTGTTCAACTATTGCTTTTCTACCCAAGGATCATAAATGCACTTTATTCTCTAAAGTGCAACCTCCTCACTTTAAAGGAACTATGCATATTGAATATTAATCTCATCAGCCTTAGTTTATTTGAAGTGAGCAAGTGTAAAATTAGTAATCTCAGTAGTTGACGAGAAGAACAGTTAATACTCTAACAGACTCATGATTTCTTATGCAATGGCTAAGCTTGTTTACTTTGCTTTCTAACTAGAACAGCTCAGTTTAGAGGAGCCGATTCCATTAGCCTCATGTTGACGCAAACAAATAATAAATTTCCAATAAATTGATTAAACAAAAAGGTTTTAAACACAGCAACAGCATACCAGCGGATACCTTTGACCCAGTAAACACTTCATTGAAGTCATCTCCAAACAAGTCTATCTGCAAAAGAAAAAAAAAACACTCATCATATTAAAAAATATGCAAACAAACTCGGCCTTCACATTGGTTAGTAAAAGTTAAGTAACAAAATGTCAATAATAAACACACAAAAACTGATACCTCGTGCAGTTTGGAGAGGTGAGAACGAGAATGCCAAGCACGAGCCTTCTTCCTTCCCCGAGAGGAGATTGAGGTGGACCTCGACTTCGACTTCGGCTTCGTATAGCTGCGACTCGAACTCGACGAATGAGCGTTATAAGTACCGTCTTCATCTTCCGATGACAGAATAACGACGCAGTTTCTCTTTGCCATCAGAAAACCCTATTTCCCTTTTCTATTCCAGGGATTTGTTACAACAAGGAATAAATTACTCGCTCAGTTCTTAGTCAGATTCGTAAAATGAAAACCACGGAAACCAGGATTGGCCATCAATCGCAATCGAAAAGTATTTGGGGGGTTTTGTTTTGGAGCGCAAAACGCAGAGGTGAAACTACGCGCGTTTTCACTTTTCTTTTCTTTTTTTTCTTTTTATTACTCTTTGGCATTTGCCTGAGCGGAACCAACGGAGAAGATTTTAAAATTTAAAATAAAATATGTTTGTAGTTAACAAATTAGCGACTTTTCATTTTAGTTTGTATAAACAATTATATTTATTTTTTATTATTATAAATTACCAATTATTATTTTAAGTCTTTATAAAATATTGAAATTTTTGTTTTAATTTTTCTAAAACATTGTTCCTTGATTTGCATCCTCTAAACTTTTAAATAAATATTTTTAATTCTTCATATTCATTTTTAATAAATAATAATATTTTGTTTAATTATTTAGAATTTTACAGGTTAATTCTTAATATTTATTTTCAAATAAATAAATAAGTAATATTGATTTATTTTGAAGTTTTTAGGTAATTCTTATTGATATTTTGTTATTTGACTTTTTGTTTAATATATAAATAATATGATATAGTATTAGAATTAAAAGTGTTTTTTTATTTTAACTGATAAAAATTTAAAACTAACTCATATTAAAAATTATAAACCTATTTAAACCTTAAAAAATGTATATTATTTTAAAAAGATAATATTATATTTTAAATTAAATAAATAAGTTGTTTTTCCCATATAATTTTTTTCGTTTATCTAGTTGAATAGAAGTGAAAGGATATAAAAAATAGGTTTCAAATAAATTATTTCATAATTTTTATAAATGTTTAACTTTTATGTTTTTTTATCACACTATGTTAATTTAACCATAATTTAAGAGATGAATATATTTTATTAAATTTTTAGAAATTATAAGATAAATATTTATACATTTATATATATTACACGAAATTTACAAATTTACATGATTTTTATATTAGAAATAATTATTGAAATTGATAAAAGAAATTATTATTGATTCATTAATTATATTTGTTTTTTATCTTGACGTCTCTCATTTACATTTAATTTTATATTTTAGTTGTAACAAATACAAAAAATAACAATGGAGTCAACAAATTATCATTTAAAATGATATAATCTCATGATGATATATAAAATATATTTCTCAACTTTTTTAACATATTTCAATTATTTCATATTATGAATATTTGAATTAAATTTGTATTGACTAGTCAGGATAAATTAGTCAAATTTTAATTACATTCCCGTGATATTTACTCATTTTAATTTCAAAGATCTAACATTCATCTACGATATCATCAAATCTTCGTAATACAGATATTATTATTTTAAAATAATATAGATATTAATTAATAAATAAATAATAGTGCATAATTGAAGATAAAATAAATAAGACATAATAAATAAATAAATATAAAACAAAATCATAACTAGAGATAAATAAAAAAACATAAAGTAAGACCAATGCATACAGATAATTAAAATAGAACTAGTAAAAGACTGAAAATAAAATAAATAAATAAATAAATAAATATAAGGTAAGATAGTAAGTGATTGAAAATAAATAAATAACATAAAATTGGATCGAAAATAACTCGAACATAAATAAATAACAATGCACAATTGGAGATAAAATAAATAAGACATAATAAATAAAAACAAAATCATAACTAGAGATAAATAAAAAAACATAAAACAGGATCAATGCATACAGATAATTAAAATATAACTAGTAAAAGACTCGAAAATAAAATAAATAAATAAATATAAGGTAAGATAGTAAGTAACTCGAAAAAAATAAATAACATAAATTTGGATCAGAAAATAATCGAAGATAAAAAAATAACAAGTGCATAATTGGAGATAAAATAAATAAGACATAATAAATAAAAACAAAATCATAACTAAAGATAAATAAAAAAACATAAAGCAGGACCAATGCATACAGATAATTAAAATAGAACTAGTAAAAGACTGAAAATAAAATAAATAAATATAAAATAAGATAGTAAGTAACTGAAAATAAATAAATAACATAAAATTGGATCAGAAAATAACTGAAGATAAATAAATAACAAGTGCATAATTGGAAATAAAATAAATAAGACATAATAAATAAATAAATATAAAAAAATCATAACTAGAGATAAATAAAAAAACATAAAACAGGACCAATGCATACAGATAATTAAAATAGAATTAGTAAAAAACTAAAAATAAAATAAATAAATAAATATAAGGTAAGACAAGTAAGTAACTCGAAAATAAATAAATAACATAAAATTGGATCAGAAAATAATTGAAGATAAATAAATAACAGTACATAATTGGAGATAAAATAAATAAGACATAATAAATAAATATAAAACAAAATCATAACTAGAGATAAATAAAAAAATATAAAATAGGACCAATGCATATAGATAATTAAAATAGAACTAGTAAAAGACTGAAAATAAAATAAATAAATAAATATAAGGTAAGATAGTAAGTGATTGAAAATAAATAAATAACATAAAATTGGATCAAAAAATAACTGAAATAAATAAATAACAGAATAAATAAAATAAGATTAAGATATATTACTCCACAATCATAATTAAAATAAAATAAATAAAATGATAAAAGTTTTATCCGTAGGTTAATATATACTCTCTGTATCTCTTCTCTTTCTTCCTTCTTTCATATTCTCTCATTTCCTTTTTTTTTTCTCTTCTTTATATTCCTTAACCTATTTTATTATATTATTTTTTTCATTAATTGCTAGTAGAAGAGATAAACACTATATATATATATATATATATATATATATATATATAATAATAATAATTATTATTATTATTTTCATAATATATATATATATATTATTTAATAAAAAATTATTTTATTATAATAATTAATATTATTAGTTTAATTAATAATAACACAATAGTAATAAATAATAATTTTTGTTTAATAGATATACTTTTATATATAATAATTTAATAATATGTATATTAATAAACAAGTTTTTTTAACTATTTAAATTATTTAAAAAATATTATAATTTAGTCTATTTTAAAATTGATAATTTTTTTTAGGTGCTACACAACCAAAAGAGCTAAAAAAATGTTTATGCATGATATTTTTTCCAAGACAATTATGATTGAAATAGAAATTATCTTTATTGACAATTGTTTTATACATATAACTGGAAATCAAATTCTAATTATGTGATATTCTGCTATTTTTCAGCCCTAGCTGGTAATTAGATATTATTAAGTTAACTAATGAAAATCTAGAAAAAAATCATTATTTTACCTAATTCTTGACCAAGGAAAACAGGAGCAAGAAGTGCTTCATAATTATTGTACATATCTTGTACACTACTTACTATTTTGAAGCTTTCTAATGCTTTTGATCTTTAACTGTGATTATTGTGCTTAAGTTTGAATAAATGATTTTTTAGCTTAATTTCAATTTTATTACTTCTTTATTCATTTTTTTTTAGAATTTTGTAGGTGTTTGCTCGAGGATTAAATTATGAAAAAAAAATACTAAACCATTCATTTTTTTTTCATACAACTATCCAATAAGACCATCTATTAATATAATAATAGTTTTAAATTATTTTTTTCTAATTGAATTATATTATATTAATACAGGGATTGTCTTGTGATTGTTTTCATATTGATTCTCTACCAGTACTCTTAAACATTATACGAAATTTCAAACTTTATTAGAACAATATATATATATAGTTTCACAAGGATCAATTTTTATATATAAAAGAATTATTTTGAAGATTTATTGAAGTGTTTTTTCAATTAGAAAAACATTGAAAATGAATATAGCATATTAATTTTAGAAGAGAATTAAATAAAGTTAAAAAAAATTCGAAAATATGTAAAAAACATGTAGTATTTGAGTAAATAATACAATATGATATGTGAAAAACTTTTTTTTTCTCAAACAGAATATTGATAAAGCTTAAGTGTATGAGGTGAATATAAATGATAATTTACGAATATAAGATAAAAGCATAAAAAGTTATTTTTATAATAACGTATTCAATTTAAAAGTTTAATTCTCCTTTGAAATAATCAACATAGTACAGTAATTTTTTTCACGGTCATATATAATTTAAATAAATACTAGGTCACTTCTAACATACCTCTTAATTTTTCTTTGAAATTAAGGTTACTAATCCCTTTTAACTTTCAACCGGAATATTTTTATTGTCAACTTAAAAAAATATATTTTTTTAAATAAATATAATATAACTCTAATTTATAGAGATATACAATTAATTACTCCAATAAGTATAAAACTAACTTTAATAGTGAATGTTTCTTCTCAAATATAAACATCTCTCTAAGAGACAGTGATATAAAACATTTTTTAGCACGTATAATATTTCTTTAACATGATTGTGCTCTATGTTATGTTTTTTCACCTACTTTGAACGTTTGTATAGAAACACACATCAGATAAAAAGCCTCAGTATTTACAGAACTAAAGAAGAAGTGAAATAAATAGAGAATCTATAAATATTGAAAGCATTATATAAAAATATAAAATAAATTAAATATGTTGATGCAAACAATTCTTAACTGGGATATTCTTCCATTATTTTATAAGACAATAAGTTATGAAAACTGTGAGTAGCATGAAAAGCAAATTTGACAATTAGAATTCACAATAATTCCAAGGAAGCAAACACATGAACCACTTTGTGCTCCAAGGAGACCTAGAGTATGTCAAATGAACACCCAAAAGACTCCATCTTCTTCAACGACAAAGGAATGAAGAAATGGAAGAAGATGAACAAGTCGGCATCATCAAGTGTTTAGGCTCAGTGAATCACAATATTGAACAGGCTTTTTGACCTTTAGCCTTCTTTTTCTTTTGCTTTGGTGGTTGAAGCACAACTCTTATGGCTGCATCAAACACTGCTTTCACATTCTGCAACAAAGACCAAACGAAAAATGGTAAACTACCAATTAATTAACTTATCCATTGTGTAAAGAAGAGATGATAAACTACCTCTTGTGATTTTGAACTGCATTCAATGTAAGCAGGTGCATTAATCAGCTTCCTAAGTTCTTCCCCCTTCAAGAAGATTACAAAATTTTAGATTCAAAACTAAAGTGGATTAAAACATGCAATAGAACTGTGAAACAATTAATTCAAGGACAACAAAATATGTACCTGAGCATTGGTAATGGGTACAGCACCAGGATGGTCTACGAAGAACTGCTTATCATCTCGAAGATCTGTCCCATTTCAAATTACAAAACAACTACATCTTAATTGACAAACAATCATACAATTCGTAGAGATCAAGAAGGTTTTTAGTAGAATCCTTCGTCCCTTAAATAGAACAACAACACATGAAAGTCATTCATAGATTTTGAAGATAAGATGTTGAGTTATTTGTGCTGCATCAATAAAAATTTAGCCATGTTGAATTTCAGTTTCTAACATAAAATGATGAAAGTTTATTAGAGTAAGATTGAAAGCAACTTTTTTAATTCGATGTTAGATATCACATCTCTATAAGGAAACAAAACAAATTCTAGCTTTATCGTTGCATAGACTCCCAATGGAAAAAAAGGAAAAAAGAAAACAAAAGGAAATCATTACAAGAATTTTATTAAATATTAATTATAGAAAAAAATATTTAATAACATATTAACTAAATTATAATTTATTTTAACTAAAGTGATTTAAGCAGAATTTAAATTAGTCTCTAATCTTAATATCGATAGATTTTAGTTACTAATTAAAAATTAGAGTCTAATTTTCAATTATTAATTAAAACCTTATGAACTAAAGCTAAAAGTAAATTAAAATTGTAATTTATAAATTAATTTAGCTAAAATAATTTAAAATTTAGTTAATATAATAATTAAATATTTTTTCTCTAAAGAATTTTTTGTAATGAATAGTCATATGTTATTATCTAATAATTTATAAATTCATCAACGATGAGCATTATAAAAATAACTAAAAGCAATCAATCACTTACTATAAAATAAAATTCGCAATAAATATCTACACCACGGAATCCGTATAAATACATAATTTCGTAACAAGAATATTTGTTTATATTATAAATTAATACGATGGAAGGGAGTAATTAACAAATACACAATATTAGAATATAAAACAATTAGGTAGAAATTAACTTACCAAGCTTTGTGCCAACCAGAATAATGGGAACACCAGGTGCATAATGTTTTAACTCTGGAATCCACTGGAAATGAAAACAATGAACAAATTATTATTATTATTATTATTTTAATTGTGATAGTTTTTCGTAATTGTTATGGAAATACCAGATTCCCATCAAAGGTGATGAACATGTTAAAAGAAAATGCATTATAATTGATGGAAAAGGAAAATGTAAAATCTGAAATAGAGTGAGAAGAATACCTTCTTGGAGACATTTTCATAACTGGCCTTGCTTATGAGAGAGAAGGCCAATATGAAGACATCAGCACCACGATAACTCAACGGTCGTAATCTGTTATAATCCTCTTGTCCTATTTTCACAGAACAAAACAATGAAAATCTTAAAAAACAAATAAACATCCCATGTTTGACAAATAAAAATGTCAACAATACCAGCAGTGTCCCACAATCCCAGATTCACAGTGGCTCCATTCACAACCACATTTGCGCTGAAATTGTCGAAAACTGTTGGCACATAATCCTGTTTCCAAGCAAAGTGAAGATATGCCAAAATAATAATCATCTTTCTTTCTCAACAAGCATAACTATAAGATGTATATCAGTGTACGTGATTATTGTGTTCTTCTTCTACTTTTTCTTCTCATTGTTGCTATTGTTATTATTATTATTATGATTCTCACCAATACATAAAGACGATGAAAAGAAGAAAGAAAGAAAAAACTGACAGTAGGGAAGGTATTGCTGGTATAGGAGATTAGCAAACAAGTTTTGCCCACAGCTCCATCTCCAACAGTGACGCACTTGATGAACCTCGAAGCGCTCATCTTCTTCAATTACCCTCTATTCACCTAAAAAAAGAAACCCTCAGATCATTCACTGAGGACCTTGATCGATAACGCACCAACACCCAAACACACAACCTTCCAATTTCTTCTCCTCCACCCACTCTTCTTCAATCATGCATTTGGTTGACCAGAAATGAAAATCTAAAAACCTCCATAGATGCAGAGAGGGGAATTGTAAGACACCCGAAAAGAAAAAGACCCAAAACAAATTCGGAAGTTCGAGAAAAGAGGTAGAGAGGGGAGTTTGGGATGAAGAAGGAAAAAAATGAGAAACCCTAACCCTTTTGGAGGAGATAGAAATTATGCATGGGGAATGTGAGGTGTTGTTGTTGTTGTTGCGGAATGAGTTCAAAGAGAGAAAGAGACAAGAACCTTTCTAGTCCGACAAATTTTGCCGTTGAAGCGTTCATTATGCGAAACTTTGTTACTATTATTGTTTGTTTTCGTTTGGTTTATTTTTTATTTGTTACAATTACACATTTTTTGTGTGTGAGAGTGTATTTTTCTTTTATGGGAAAACTTTACACACCACAATAATAGCAACCAAACTCGTTCCTCCGGGAAATGTTAGGATCAGTGTATAAATTATTTTAAGCCATAAATCATTTTTTATTTTTAATAAAATTATTAATTTTGCATTTAGTTTTTTTGCAATTTCTTTTTTTTTTTTTTTTTTTTCATTCATGTTCTACTATCTTAACGCTTACATTGTTATTAGCCTTTTCATGTTATCATTTATGTATATCTTATTCTTACTTTTTTACTTGAATATTTTTTATCTTTCTTTTTGTTTAGACTTTCATAATTTTTTAATAATTTATTTTTATTTGAGGTTGACAAAAACTAGACCACGAAAGATTGTTGATGACTAAATCGAAAAATTATTAAGAGATTTTAACATTTGTTGTCATAAAAAAACATTTGAAAAAAAATCAACTTTATTTAAATCTCTTCCATGTAGAGTTCACTTGTTATTTATTTCACATGTACTATTTTAGAATTTAAACACAACAAGGATTTCAAAATAAACTTTCAATTAAATATTTGAGGGTAAATATTAAAGATTAAGAAAAAGTTTTAATTTCGTAATCATCTCTTGTGCTTCACATAGTTGATTGAGACAAGAGTGTTAAAGATTATAAATTGTGGTATTTTATCTAAAAAAGTTTGTTTAGTATGATGACATATTATTTATTATGATTTTATTTTTCATTCTTAGACATCACCTACTTATTTCATAATAATAATAAAAAATGTATACTTAAATAATAACATGTATATTTTATTAATAAAAGCAACGAGGGGAGATTGATGACAATGTGAAACATGTCTCCATATTCACAAGAGATGATTTTGATAATGATTCAAGTCAACAACATTCAAGACTCAAGCAAGCCAATATATGATTTGATAAAGATTCTATTCAACATTCAAACAAGTTCAAGATGATTCCTGAAGACTAAATAGAGTCTTAGAATACTAGATATGGAGGTACAAGTTGATGAAGTAATATTATGCATAAGCCGTCAAAGCACAAGTGTGATAAATTTCGTAACATGATATTTTTCATTGTCATAATCAATTATGATGCATCAGAAATGAAAAAACGATTTTCTCTATCATAATTGATTATACTGGTAACATAATTAATTATGACAGTTCAAATTTGAAAAATATCCGTTTTGAAGAATAAATATTTTTTAATACATCTTGATTTTTTTTCTCTACAAAAGTATTAATGTCTAACGACCATTTTCTGATGTTATTTTTCTATTTAATTAAGTTTTGATGGAAAATAAAAAACACACAATTACAGAATTCGAAAATATAATTTACATTCAATCAGTTTTGAGAAAAGAATTATGAGCAAGACAATAGAGATATTTTACATGTTTTGAGAAAAATCTCTTCTCCATTGTCACAGAGATATTTTACCAAAACCCTCCTATCCATTGCATATTGTGCTTTCATTGTTGTTGGCGCGGGGATTTCAATATTTGTGAACAGTTACGATGGATGACTAAACTCCTGTGTTTTTGTAAAATTATGTAGTCAACGCTTTTTAGGTTGTCCAATAATCGGGTTGGACCTAAAGGCGAGGTTTTCGAAAAATGTTATATGGAGTCGTCACCGATATTTTTACCATAAACATCGAAAAAGGAAGAAAGGACGTTGGTTTTAAAAAAATCAGTTTTGGCCATTACAACCAGAGTTGGGTAAGGGAGTTAGTTACGTGTGGGGAAGGTGTTAGCACCCCATAACGCCCTTTTTGGGTTCCTTATGATGGTCTAGTTTATAAAATAAAGACTGAAAGAAACTATATTTTTACCCTTTTTATTTATCTACTGGAAGAATTTAAATATCTACATGATCCTAGTATCTAATGCATACAAGGAAAACGGTAAAGAAAGCAGTAAAAGAGAGAATAGAAAAAGAACATCTGAAGCGAGCTTTTATACTAACTCTTCAAAACTTGAGGACGCTTTTTGGCAATCCCCTCGCTCTACAAGCACGTTCATCTCCCACAATAAAGAAAAAGATCACTCTACCGAGGGTCAGATGTCTCAAGAGAAGACCTCTTTAACCGATTTCTACCTTAATAGAAATCGGAAAGCTCACTCAAACTCTAGAATAATGCTCAGAGTCACTCTCAAGTGTCAAAAGACTTCCAAGAGAGTAGTAGGAGTGTAAGGGATGTGAGAATGTGTGAAATGAAGGAGAGGGGGGATGTCTTATTTATAGGAATTCGTGCTAGGTAGGCTGAGACGGTCGTCTGGACTCTTGTCAGGCGAGACGACCATCTGGGAAAACGAGACGGTTGTCTCATCCTTCAAGGAAGGCAAGAATATCGTCTGGCCAAACGAGACAGCTGTCTCGACCTTCATGAAGGCGAGACGGTCATCTGGCCAAATGAGACGATCGTCTCGTCCTTCAGGGAAGGTGAGACGGCCGTCTGGCCAAACAGGACGACCGTATCGAGCCTCCACTACTACAGAAAACACTTTCTATGACACAATTCGACGTTGGTTTTTATGAAGACCGACGTTGTACAAAATGCAGTAGCAAACTTGTAATTATGAAACAAATTTAACGTCGATTATAACAAAACCGACGTAGGAATGAATAAATAATGTCGGTTAGATAACATACGACGTTAAATGTTTAAATTTAACGTCAGTTATGTATAACCGACGTTGAAATCCCAAAATCAACATCGGTTACATGATTTACCCGACGTCGAAAGCATTATCCACGTCAGGTTTTTGAATAACTGACGTCGAATGTCCTAACATATTTTTTATACCTAATTCGAAAGTGCGCAGTTCTTCTTCTGCTTCTTCTTCGTTCTCTACTACCTCAGTCCCCATCGCCGTGTTGTATGCGCCCACCCTTTAGTGCCCTGCATCTTTGTTCTCTGCTACCTCAGTTCTCTGCTTTTTCTTTGTTCCTTGTTTGACGTGGTAACGTTGCCCCCTCGCCGCCCCCTAGCCGCTCCTCGCCGCGCTCTTAGACGTCATTGCACCGCCATTGTTGTCCTGTGCGTGGTACCCCTCGTTTCCCTAAGGAAACCCCTTCTCATCAGGTTAGATTAAATGGTATGGATGATTTACAGCTTGCATTTAACATAAATATGGATGATTTAGAGCATTTCCTGCATATGAACAGTGGAAAGATGATGGATGATTTTTGTATGGTTTGATTTGATCTAGGTTCCTTTAGGCTTTGGAAGTTTGTTTTCGGTTTCGAAGTGGTATATACTCTTTCATGTAAATGTACACATTTGACTGTGACTGTTTTTGGGGTTATTTTCCCATTCTTTACGTGGGAAATCAAATTATCATTATGAGCAGCTTGTTTGCTATCTTTTTTTTTTGTATTGTTTTGTTAAACCTTTTCCAATAAACCTTCAATATCTAGGCAAACCCTTTTGTGTAGTTAGATGGATCGAATTTGAGTGAATGCAAGTCGCATGTCAAAAGAGTATGAGAATGGAGTTGACTCCTTTTTTAAATTTGCAGAAAAAGATGCTCCCAAAACGAATGGAAAAATCTATTTCCCATGCGTTAATTGTGTAAATGGCAGAGTACAAGAGATGGACACAACGCGGGAACATCTTATTTGCGATGGGATGATGAAGAATTACACCATATGGACATGGCACGGTGAAGTGGTTGATATTCCAACAGTATCACAAACTATTGAGGATGATGTGACCTGTGAAGATCGAATAGAGGACATGCTTTGTGATGTGGGTCAAGAGAGCTTTCTTGAAGCACATGCATCTATATATGATACATTGAGGACCGATTCAGAGACACCTTTGTATCCCGGATGTACAACTTTCACATGGTTGTCATCTGTGTTAAGATAGACCAATCTAAAAGCAAAATTTGGTTGGAGTGATACAAGTTTTAATGAATTACTCCAACTTTTGAAGGAGATGCTCTCAGACAATAACACCTTGTCGGACCGTATGTATGAAGCAAAGAAGATACTTTGTCCGATGGGTTTAGAATATAGGAAGATACATGCTTGCCCTAATGACTGTGTGTTATACAGGAAAGAATTCTCATCTTTAGACCAATGTCCAACATGCGGTGTATCACGTTACAAAGCGAAGGATGGTGATGATTGTAGTCAGGAGAGTGATAAAAAACGTCCTCCTACAAAAGTTTTATGGTATCTTCCAATAATTCCAAGATTTAGGCGGTTGTACGCTCACGAAGATACTGAAAATTTAATTTGGCATTCAAAGAGAAAAACCTATGATAGACAAATGCGACATCCATCTGATTCTCCCCAATGGAAGAATTTTGACCGTCTATTTCCAGGTTTTGGTAGTGATGCAAGAAACCTTAGACTTGGATTAGCAACAGATGGGATGAATCCTTTTGGAAATTTAAGTAGTAACCATAGTTCATGACCCGTTTTATTGATGATTTACAATCTTCCATCATGGTTATGCATGAAGCGCAAAT